TCTTGCACACCCCCTACTGGGGGATGTGCCCGAAACCAATATACATGCCCTTGACCAGAATCGAACCCGGGACCTTTCAGTCCGCAAGCCAACGCTCTATCCACTGAGCCAAACCGGTTTCGGCTCTTCCTTCCTTTTTAAAATATGTTTTTATTGGTTTTAGAGAGAGAGGAAGGGAAGAGAGAGAGAGATAGCAACATTAATGTGAGAGAAACATTGAGATTGGGTCCTCCTGCACGCCCCCTACTGGGATCGACCTGCAACCCAGGCATGTGCCCTGGCTGGGAATCCAACTGGTACTTCCTGGTTCATGGGTCGATGCTCTGCTCCTGAGCCACACCAGCCAGGCTCCAGCACCTTTCTGATCAGGAAATCCTGATGCATTTCCTAGTGCTGGGGATGGCAGCCCTAGATGAGCAATGTGGCCTTTACAATCTGCGGACAGACCTTCTGGCCTGCACCCCAGGGTCATTTGAGTTGAGTTCTCTGTGGCACCTAGAAAACCCACGTGTCCAGACCAACCATCACAGCGGCCTGGCACCAGAAGGAGGGCCTGACTCAAAGACACTGCCTAGCCAAAACCGGTTTGGCTCAGTGGATAGAGCGTCAGCCTGCGGACTGAAAGGTCCCAGGTTCGATTCTGGCCAAGGGCATGTACCTTAGTGGTGGGCACATCCCCAGTCGGGGAGTGTACAGGAGGCAGCTGATCAATGTTTCTCTCTCATCGATGTTTCTAGCTTTCTATCCCTCTCCCTTCCTCTCTGTGAAAAAAAAAAAAATCAATAAAGTATATTTAAAAATAAAAAGAAATAAAAGCAATAAAAGACACTGCCTAGATGTTGCTCTCCTTGGCACCCCCACACTGTGCCAGCCACTAGGAGCTCCCGCAGGGCCTCCTCAAGAGCCTGGGCCCCCGCCCTTATTTGATCTGGAGAAATTAAAAACGAACACTTGCCAAAGCAGATTTTTGTAATTTTAAACATTTACCTGTAATGTAATTTAAATGTAATGTTATATAATTTAAATATAATTTAAACATTTACCTGTAACAAATGAACACATTTTATTTGTGCCATTTCACTGTGCCATTCGCAGGATAATTACACGGACCTGCCTCTTCCCATAGTTCAAAAAGCCCTTATCCACTTCTCCTCAGTTCTGGCAACTCCTTTCATCATCTCATGCTTCAAAGGTCCTTGTGCTGGCTGGGGTGACTCAGTTGGTTGAACATTGTCCCATGCACAGAAAGATCAGTGGTTTGATTCCTGGTCAGGGCACATACCCGGTTGCTGGTTTGATCTCCAGTCATAGTGTGTGCAGTGAGCAACCGATTGATGTTCCTTTCTCTCCCTCTTGTTAATAAAAACATATTTTAAAATATATATATTTTATTGATTTTTTACGGAGAGGAAGGGAGAGGGATAGAGAGCTAGAAACATCAGTGAGAGAGAGAGATTGATCAGCCACCTCCTGCACACCCCGCACTGGGGATGTACTTGCAACCAATGTACATGCCCTTGACCAGAATCAAACCTGAGACCTTTCAGTCCATAGGCCAACACTCTATCCACTGAGCCAAACTGGTTAGGGCAATAAAAACATTTTTAAGAAATTCAGCTCCTCTGCTATGCATTTTTCTTTGATTTCCTCTTGAGGATACTTTGAACTGCTGGAAGAGACTGTATACTTTTATTATTGTAAGTCTGGGTTTGTGGTGTCATTTCCCACTGGCCTGGAAACTCCTTGAGGAAGGGATGGTGTAAGCTGTTGTCTGTAATGCCAGCTCCTAGGAGTGGGCCTGGCAAGCAGTAGATGCTAAATGAATGGATGGAGGGACAGAGAGATGAGAAGGCTCTATCAAAAGCCGTGTTCAAACTGAGAGCAAGGGAAGAAGCCCCAAGACAGAAAGCAGTTGAGAGAATCTCCCTAGAAGTATGACACAGAGGTGGGTCTTGAAGGATGGACAGGAATGGAATAGGCCAAGCAAGGCAGGAAGGGTATTCCTGACAAAGGGACTCACATGTTCTCATCTTGGGTTCCAGGAAACTGGAACAGGTATGAGGAGATAGCCTGTGCTCAGAGTGGGAAGGACCGCTTTCCTGCATCTCTCTAAAACCATAGATACATCATCCCAGGTGTGGTGAGGACTGAATAAGATAATGTGTGTAATGACCTCATGTAGTGCCTGGTAATAAAGTCAGCTCTTACTGATGCCTCCAGGTACTAAGGGGCATGAAATTGATCTTTAGCAGTTGAGTCAGAATAGGTGTGAACTAGAGAAACATTATCTTAAAACATTTTTATATGCTCCATGACAAAAATACAAGTTTATATTAGAAGAATTAGAAATACAGAATACATACTAGAGGTCTGATGCATAAGATTCATGCACTGGGGGTGGGGGTGGGGCACATCCCTCAGCCTGGCCTGCACCCTCTCACAGTCCAGGAGCCCTCGAGGAATGTCTGACTAACTGCTTAGGCCCACTCCCCACTGGGAGTGCTAAGCCATCAGTGGGACATCCTTAGCACTGCCTCAGAGGTGGGTGAGGCTCCCGCCACTGCCACTACGCAGGCCAGCCATGAGCCCCGCTTCTGGCTGAGAGGTGCTTCCCCTATGGGAGCGCACTGACCACCAGGGGGCAGCTCTTGCATTGAGTATTTGCCTCCTGGTGGTCAGTGTGTTTCATAGCGACTGGTCCTTCTGCCATTCAGTCGATTTGCGTATTAGCCTTTTATTATATGGGGTAATTCTAAGATTTTAGCTGGGTACTCCTCCCTCACTATAGGTGACTTAACTGGGCCAAACTTTTGTATAGGTGGTGGAGAGGAGAGGGAGACAGCCCAGGGTTTCTCATATTTCAGGTGGACTTTCCTATGTCTAGGAAGACCACAGGGTGGCAATGGTCCTATGAGGGGCAGGCCATCATTCAGTCCATGGTAAATAGCCAACATCTACTTATTCTGAGCATGGGACTCTCCCTGACTCCTGGAGGTGGGGGATTGTCAAAAAGCCAGCAACATAGCCGAAACCAGTTTGGCTCAGTGGATAGAGCGTCGGCCTACGGACTGAACGGTCCCCTGTTTGATTCCGGTGAAGGGCATGTATCTTGGTTGCGGGCATATCCCCAGTAGGGGGTGTGCAAGAGACAGCTGATCAATGATTCTCTCTCATCGATATTTCTAACTCTCTATCCCTCTCTCTTCCTCTCTGTAAAAAATCAATAAAATACATTAAAAAGAAAGAAAGGAAGGAAGAAAGAAAGAAAAAAGCCAGCAACAAGGCCACTCATAGTTGTGGTGGCCAGAAATGGAGCCCCGCCCACCTGCCCCCAAGAATCAGGGCTCACCTCCAGAAATCCAATCAGCTGCCATGTAGCCAGGGAAAGCAATCATTCCTGGCTCGGCTCCTCTCAGGCCAGGCCCAGCCCCCTGAATTAGCACCCTGGGAGTCCCACAGCTCCTCTCCTGAGAGCACTTGCCACAGCTGAAGTCATACATGCATCAGTAGGGTTCTTGGCTGTCTCTCCCTCACCATTCTAGAAACTACAGGGCCTGTTTGCTTCACTGCTGTGTTTCCAAAGGCTCCCCAACATGGTCCCTAAAGGGTACTCATTAAATGCCCAGAGTGAGTAAAGAAGGGAGGAAGGTAGATAATGCTGTTCTCTTTCACAGGTCTTCTGGCCTAATTCCCATGGAATACAGAGCCACACCCAACAGCCTCCAAGGCCCTCACCACTTCCTCTGCCTCTGTCTCTCCAAGGTCACCTCAGAGCCAGCTTCCAGCCCCCAAACAAGACTCATGTTCCGGGAAAAGATCCTAGGGCAGAAATGGATCAAGTGAGGGCCTACTACCCTGTTTCCCCGAAAATAAGACAGTATCTTATATTAATTTTTGCTCACAAACATGCGCTAGGTCTTATTTTCAGGGGATGTATTATTTTTCCATGAAGAAGAATACGGTACACATTTATTGTTAAATGAAAATAAAGGAAATTTATTACCTGTATACGATACGGTAGTACAGTAGTTGTCAACACAAACCAGACAAACTGTGAATCCTACAGCATCAAGAATTTACTACTCATTTATTCAATGACAATCATGTCATCATCTTCTGGAACATCATCATAACAATCCAACTCCTGAATTTCCTGGTGAATTTCTTGTGACTTCATTTCTTTCAGAATCAGTGGATCAAATTTCTCATGTTTAGCCTAGGGGGGGCCTTATTTTCGGGGGATGCCTTATATTTCACTCAGAAGGAAACCTGTAAGTAGGTCTTATTTTCAGAGGATGTCTTATTTTTTGGGAAACTCGGTAGTACCAATAATAGCGCCTACAATTGTACCAGACACTGTTCTTCCACAGCAACGCACGCTTCGAGGCAGGCTCTTCACCATTTTAAAGGTGAAGAAACGTTAGCCCAAGGGAGGTACTGGTTTGTCCAAGATAGTAGCAGAGTTTCTACAACAGAACGGAGTCAGTAAATAGAGCTTGAGGCTGCACAGTTAACCCACGCTGAGGTACAGCGCAGGACTTGTGCATAGGCCGCAGAAGTCATGTGTTTTATCACTGGGGCCTTGAGGGCCCCAGGCCCTGGTTCCCTCCTCTACCCATGGGGATCTTATTTAATAGCGGCTAGTCCGTAGAGTTATTGGGAGGTTAAAGCGCACAGTTTCATACACAGGGAGCACCCAGGAACGATCAATAAATGTTGAGTACTGATGTTTTTCGGGAGCACCCAGGGAACGATCAATAAATGTTGAGTACTGATGTTTTTCTTATTGCCCGTCTGGGTCTGGAAAGGAGGGCTGTAGGGCAAGTGTCCTTGCACAGTTTGCAGGTGAGGTCACCGGTGAGCAGGCTCGGGGCGAGACTCTGTGCACAGAGGTCTGGCCCCGCCCCCGGCCCCGGCCCCGCCCCCGGCCCCCCGCCACGCCGCGCGCAGGCGCAGAGAGCCGCGCCGTCTGCCTCGCGCCAGCGCCGAGCGGCACGCGCATGGAGCGCTCGGAGAGGCGCGCGAGCTCCGCGGGCGCGCCCCGCGGCCGCCCCGCGGCGAAGGTGCTGTTCCGCGGGCCCGTGGGGCCGATCGTCTTCCTTGCCAACTTCGCCTTGGTCCTGCAGGGCCCGCTCACCACGCAGTACCTGTGGCACCGCTTCAGTGCCGACCTCGGCTACAATGGCACCCACGACAGGGGCGGCTGTGGCAACCACAGCGCGAACCCCATCTTGCAGGTAGCGGCGGCGGGGGCGGCGGGAAGCGGGGAGCCGACCCTGTGCTAGCGCGGGCGGGGGGTTGGGGGAAACACAGATGAGGGTTTGGGGCGGAGCGGTGGGGTGGGCGGGAAGGTGGGGCCGCCCAGGCGGCTATGGATGCTGGGTGGCGGGCCTGCCCCATGACTGCAGTAGGAAGGATGCGTAAAGTCCCTCTAGCCTTAAGAGTTAACATAAAGATCGTCATTCCGAAACCGGTTTGGCTCAGTGGGTAGAGCGTCGGCCTGTGGACTGATGGGTCCCCGGTTCGATTCCGGTCAAGGGCATGTACCTTGGTTGCGGGCACATTCCTGGGGGGCGGGGGGGGTGTGCAGGAGGCACCTGGTCGATGTTTCTAGCTCTCTATCCCTCTCCTTGCCTCTCTGTAAAATATATTTTTAAAAAGTTAACAAAGGAGGGGAAAGGGCCTAGGCCCGTTTTCTATAACCCTCCCTCTAGTGCCAGTTTTTAGGAGTTGCACTAAAATTCTCTGGAGTTTAGGGCTCCCAAGAAAGCCCGCCTCCCTGCGTCTCCCCACAAGCTGGTGGTAGTTGAGCGGGAAGTGGGGGTGCAGGGAGCTCAGCGTGGGGAAGAGCACCCTGGTGAGTGAGACTCATGCCCCCACAGGAAGTGGAGAGCCTCACCTCTCACTGGACCCTCTACATGAACCTGGGCGGCTTCCTGCTGGGGCTCTTCTCGTCCACCCTGCTGGGAGCGTGGAGCGACTGTGTGGGCCGTCGTCCCCTGCTGGTGCTGGCCTCGCTGGGCCTGCTGCTCCAGGCGCTGGTGTCCATCCTCGTGGTGCTGCTGCAGCTGCATGTCGGCTACTTGGTGCTGGGCCGCATCCTTTGCGCATTCTTCGGCGACTTCAGTGGCCTCCTGGCTGCTAGCTTTGCCTCGGTGGCAGATGTCAGCTCTCACCGCAATCGGACCACCCGAATGGCCCTGCTAGAAGCATCCATCGGGGTGGCAGGGATGCTGGCGAGCTTCCTTGGGGGCCACTGGCTCCAGGCCCAGGGTTATGCCAACCCCTTCTGGCTGGCCTTGGGCGTGCTGGTATTCATGACTTTCTATGCCGCTTTCTGCTTTGGTGAGACTGTGATGGAGCCCACGCCAGCCCGGCTCTTCACGTTGCGTCACCACCGGTCCATTGTCCAGCTCTACACCGCTTGGGCCCCGGACAAGTCCAGGAAGCATTTGGCCCTGTACTCGCTGGTCATCTTTGTGGTGATCACTGTGCACTTTGGGGCCCAGGACATCCTGACCATCTATGAGCTGAGCGCACCCCTCTGCTGGGACTCCAAGCTGATTGGCTACGGTTCTGCAGCGAGACACCTCCCGTATTTCACCAGCCTGCTGGGCCTGTGGCTTATGCGGTTCTGCCTGACAGACACCTGGGTGGCTGAGATTGGCTTGGCCTTTAACATCCTGGGGATGGTGGTCTTTGCGTTCGCTACCAGCACACTCCTTATGTTCACAGGTAATGTGTGTGGGCTCAGGCATAGTTTATCCCAGAGGTGCAGGGTGGAAATTGGGGGACAGCCACTTGCTGGTTTATGCCTTTGGAAACATCGTTATGTTTCTAGTTGGCACCGGAAGACAGACAACTAAGAAACCTCATAAAAATGGCATCTTTTTAAAAATACGTATTTTTATTGATTTCAGAGAAGAAGTGAGAGAAGGGGGCGGGAGGGGGGAGAGAGAGAGAGAAACATCAATAATGAGAATCATTGATCAGCTGCCTCCTACAACCCCCTCTCCCTCCCCCACTGGGGATCAAGCCCACAACTTGGGCATATGCCCTGACTGGGCATCTAACTGTGATTTCCTGGTTCATTGGTCGTAGCTCAACCACTGAACCACGCCAGCTGGGACGGCATCTTTGTTATATGTAAAGTATTGAGCTTCAGTAGCCAAAGTAATTAACCCACATTATCAATCATAAATATTGTTAGTAAGACAGAGCCACCGACACAAGTATGGCTCATGCACTAATTGCTTCATTCCGTGGCCTCCCATAGCCAGTATTCATGATGCTCTCAGACAAAGTCCATGCTATTACTGTCTTAATATTCACTTCTCTCATAATCACGGGACCTACCTCAAATACCCGTAGTCAGCTGCTTTGGGTGTTTAAAAGAGCCAACCTTTCATACCACAGATTTCAAGTTCCTGCTTGCTCAGTTCTTATTTTGGTGTGGAGCGGGGAAGCTGGGAATGAGGAAATTAACTTTTTTAAAGGGACAGATTTATTTTGATAAAGCTGTAAGGCTTAGAGTCTGAACTGCGTAGTGTACAAAGTGAGCCATTTGGTAATCACAGGTTTATTAACTTGGCTGCTTACCTGGACAGTGAGGCTGAAGGGGACCAGGTACCTTTCTCTCCTTGCCCACAGCATCTCCCATAGACCCGGTGCTGGGCTCAAAGCCCTCCGGGGTGCAGAGATGATGAAGACACTGTCATTGCTCTGGGAGCCTCGGCAGAGTGGGATTTGGGAGCCTGGCACCCGAAGGGGCCCTGTGGTGCCTCATCATATACCCACTTGGAAGGATCTACTATCCTCTAGGGCAGTGTTTCCCAAACTTCTCTCCTGATGAGAAGCACCTGGTAAAGTCGTTAAAATACAGATTCCTGAATCCCAACTAAGAAGTGCTAAACTAGAATTTTTGGGAACATATAGGTAACATTGTACACTTAACTAGTGCTCTAAGCTTAGTATCCAGGTTACTTAAAATAAAAAGCTTAGAGCACTAGTTAAGTATACAATTTTACCTATATGTTCCCAAAAATTCTAGTTTAGCACTTCTTAGTTGGGATTCAGGAATCTGAATTTTAACAACTCCACCAGGTGCTTCTCATCATGAGAAGTTTGGGAAACACTGCTCTAGGGCAGTGGTCGGGAAACTCATTCATCAACAGAGCCAAATATCAACAGTACAATGACTGAAATTTTTTTTGAGAGCCAAAGTTTTTTTTAAACTTTAACTTCTTCTAACGCCACTTCTTCAAAATAGACTCGTCCAGGGCGTGGTATTTTGTGGAAGAGCCACACTCAATGTGGCTCTCGAGTTTGCCAACCACAGCTCTAGGGCAGCCATTTTTAACCCTTTTCATCTTATGACACATGTAAACTAATTACTAAAATTCTCAGCACACCAAAAAATGTATTATATATTTTGCCAATCTGACAAAAAAAAAAAAAATAGGTATAATTTTAATTTGTTCATGCTGGATGGCTGTTGTCACTTTTTTTTTTATTCGGCAGTCTAAGGGAAAATAGGTCAGTGCCCCTGACTACATAGCCAGGTATTGCATGTCTTAAAAATTCTTGTGGCACCTGGTTGAAAATTGTTGCTCTAAGGGTTTGCAGTTTTACGGAGGAGGCAATAGGCACACAAGGGAAAGAAATGGTCGGAAAGGAAATAGTGTAAGCCTGTGAGTAACAGAATGCAAAGTGAAAAGGAACTATGTGTTTCCTATGCCATGCTCTTCATGGATGTTTCCTGATGTATCCATTTCCTAGGGCAGCTATAACAAACTAGAGGCCAAAATTCTTGCAAGAAGCTCAGGCCCCCACCCACTGTGGTGGCCACCTACCTTGGCCTCAAGCCACTACAGCTTCATCCAGAAGGTTGTCTGATCTAATTAGCATACTGTGCTTTTATTATTATAGTTTACCACAAATTTGGTGGCTTAAAACACAGAAATTTGTTCTCCCACAGTTCTGGAGGCAAGAGGTCAAGAATCCATATCACTGGACCAAAATCAGAGTGTCAGGAGAGCCATAGTCCTTCCATAGTTTCTAGGAGGGTATCTGTCCCTCATCCCTTCTGACTTCTGAGGGCTGCCAGCATTCCTTGGCTCCTGGCTGCATCACTGTGATCTCTGCCTCGGTGATTACATTGCCTCCTCTTTTGTGTGCCTTCTCCCTCTGTCTGTGTCAAATTGTTTAGGGCCCAACTTATCAGGTTGTCATCATCCAGAATAATCTCCTCATCTCAAGATTATTAACTTATCTCATTTTCCAAATGAGGCAACATTTATAGATTCCAGGGATTAGGACCTGATATCTCGGGCCATTATTCAACCTCCTACCTCTCCAGAATTATTCTGTGGGGAAGGCCTTGTTTTCTTTTACAGATGGGAGTCAGGCCCAAGGCCACGCAGTGATAGCATCAGGTTTTGAACTCAGGACTGCCTCCCAAGTCCCAGGCTTGTTTTATGTGCCCTGCCATCTCCCTACTATGTGGGTGACACCTGCTGGGACCACAAGAGGTGTTCTGACAAAAACGCCATTGGTGGGGAATCAGTGGCATTTATTCATAAAAGAGGAAGCAGGTGGGCCAAAGCTTGAGAAGGGTAGTCTCCATTCCTCCTTAGTCCTTGTGTCCTTCTCTACCAAGAAAGTTCTTCCTGTCTAACCTGAGTCCCATCCGGGGTGGTCTAGGAGCTCTGCTTCCATCTTGCTTGGGCACCCCCGTCCCTAACCCCGTTTTCCTAATGATTGTTTCTCCACAGGGTACGGGCTCCTCTTCCTGTCTCTAGTCATTACACCCATTGTCCGGGCCAAGCTCTCCAAGCTGGTGAGCAAGACAGAGCAGGGTAAGTGTCATGGTCAACCAGCATCTGGTTCCTTATACCCCAATGTTCTCTGAACAAATGGCCCAGGGCAAGCAGAGGACCACGGCCTTGGGCTTTCAGACCACAGAGTTGGAATTTACAGTCAGCAGAGCACTATTTTGTTCCTTGGGTCACCCAGACAGAGGATTTGCCCTCTCCAGACCTCAGCTTTTCCATCTGTAAAATGGATGTGGTGACGCCAGTGTGCCCTGTTTCACTGGGGTCAGAGCGTACAAGCTCAGAGGGAGTGAGCAGCCTTATGGTGTGGGTTTCATTGTCCCCAAGTGACAGATGAGGAAGCCGAGGCCCTGAGGGTTAAACTGACTTACTCAAGGTCACTCAGTGGTGGAGCTAGGGTGCAAGCCCAGGTCTGTTTTTAAGAGCAGCAGATCTTGGGATCTGGGTTTTAGTCCTGCCTTGTTACCCACTGGCTGTGTGATCTTAGGCAGGTCCCTTTTCCCTTTCTGGGACTGTTTCCTCGCCTATACAAGAGCGTTTTGCTGTTATTTATTTTTAATGTTTTTATTGATTTTAGAGAGGGAGAGAGAGAGAAACAATGAGAGAATCTGATCAGGCTGCCTCCTACAAGTGTCCTCCTGGGGACCAAGCCTGCAGCCTGGGCATGTGCCCTGACCAGTGCACGGGACGATACTTAACCAACTGAGCCACACTGGCCAGGGCAAGACTGGTTTGTTCTTGATGACGTCTACAGGCCCTTCCGACTCTGATGGTCGGACATTTAATCTCAACTTCTGTTGGATTATTGCCCACTTCACAAAATTAAGCACTCATGCACCACACACAGCTACTAAGTGTTGGAACTGGGAATTAACTCCACAAGTAACCTCACGCGGGATATGATTCTGAAGTGGTTAAGCCAAAAACCATTTTTCTCAGGCTTTTGCTAGAGGATAGTCACATGTACTTTTAACGCGTGGATTTAACAACAGCCATTTGTTTCATCGCCCCTGTGTGCCAGGTGCTTCCCATGCATGACCTCATTGAAACCTTTTCACAACACGTGGCGTAGGCTTTACAGGTGAGGAGGGTGAGGCTCCGAGAGACTCAGGGATCTGCCCCCGTTCACACAGCTGCGAGTCGGTGGTGCCAGGACTCAAACCTACGTCTTTCAGACTCCACAGTGTGGTGTTTCTTTCTTCGCAGGTGCTCTCTTTTCTGCCGTGGCCTGTGTGAATGGCCTGGCCATGCTGATGGCCTCCAGCATCTTCAACTCGCTCTACCCAGCCACCCTGAACTTCATGAAGGGGTTTCCCTTCCTCCTGGGAGCTGGCCTCCTCTTCGTCCCTGCCATTCTGATTGGGTAACTAAGGGCTCTGTCCCAGGCTCCTATTATCCCAAAGGTTCCCTCTCCCTCCTCCTCCTTACTGAAGTCCAGTTCCCTTCCTGTAGGTATCAAGTCTCCTTCTGGCCTGCGTGGGGCCCAGGCTAGGGATCTCATGGGTGAGGCCGCTGGTTGCCAGGATCCAGGTTATTTTCTGGATTAGGAGCTGGGAGTGGTGTGGTCAGGTCTGGGTGCCGTCTACTTCAACAGCCGTGAGCGTGCTCAGGGTAATAGTGTAGCGTCCCTTTCAGGTTGGGGTGAGTCCTTGGCAGTGAACTTCTCAGTATGGGAACTTCTCAGTATGGGTAACATACTGAGTCCCCGGGCTGGAAGGGGTGTACAGGCTCCCTGGTGGGCACTGGCAGTGCATCTGGAACAAGCTTATGGGTGGCTCTCTGGGTAAACTGCAGAGCCTGTAAGGACTTGAGCAAGGGAATAGTTATGAATTTCAGCTTTCAGTTTCTCCTTGATGTTGGGAAAGATGGAGAGAGGTCTACCATACATGATCTCAAAAGTGGGGGGAACCCTTCCCGATAGGAGGTACACCTGGCCCATAAGAGGGCAAAGGGCAGGAGGTTGGTCCAGTTTTCACTGGTTTTTAGGACATGTTTAGTTAAACTCCTTTTTAGAGTCTTGCTCATGTCTGTCCTAAGGTTTGAGCTATATATTCTGAGATACCTTGGCTACAAAGGTGGGGCTGTTATCTGATCCTATGACTACTGGCAGCCCGAATCTAGGAATAATCTCCTGGAGTAATTTCTTGACTACTATAGATGCAGTTTCTGTCCTAGTATGGTATGCTTCAACCTAATCTGAGGTGTTTATAAAAACTAGTATGAACTTGTACCCTGATGCTGGTGGCTTAATCTCTGAAATCCACCTTCCAATGCTCTCCTGGGGAATTTCCCTGGGGCCCGAATTCCCAGGGGGACCCTCTTGCCTTGCTTAGCATTTACCTGTATATAGACAGTACTTCTAGTGACTATGCTTTTAATTATCTTATCTAAGCTTGGTAGTATCTGCCTCGCAGAAGTTCAGAAGTCTTGGTGACGCCTAAGTGAGTAACCTGGTGTAACGGGCAACTAGCGTCCGACCTAGAGCCTCTGGGACCAACAGTCTGTCATCTGGTAGGGTCCATTTTGATGGCTTGCTTTTGTTCTGCCAATTCCTCCTCTTGTTTGGTGTAGGAGGGGGTCCATCATAGGTCGGGGTCCGGCTGGGTTACTAAGACTTGTAAAGGCCCTCTTGATTTTGGGGCATAATGTCCTTTCCGGCTGCAGTTGGTAACCCTCTTTCCCTGTGGATGGCCACAGTGTCCCCATCAAAGGGCCTGGATTAAGGCCAACAGTTCAGGAACTGTGCCCAAATGGTGTGGTCCAGGGTGACTACCGCTGCCTCTGCATATTAGATACCATCCTGAACGTAACTGCTCCCATCCGTGAACAGTTCCTTGTCGTCTGTTACCTCCATGCAGTCATGAATGGGTTCCTCTGGATCATCTGGAAGCAGGCTGGCAGGGTTGATGGTCAGTGTCTTATGGAACCGGACGCAGGGCTGGTCCAGGAGAAGAGCTTGGCACTGGGTGATTCTGGTGTTTGACATCCATCTCTCTGGAGCACCTCGAAGGAAGGCCTCTATACCATGGGGTGTTGTCAAGGCTAGCTCCTGGCCCAGAGGTTCCTTATCTGCCTCCTTCACCAGCAATGCTGTGGTGGTACTGCCTGGAGGCACGCTGGCCACCCTGCTGCCACAGGGTCTAGTCTCTTAGTTAGGCAACAGGTCTCTTCTAGGGACCTAGAGTCTGGAGAACCCCTTTGGCAATACTCCTTACCTCACTCACGTAGAGGTGGAAGGGCTTCGTGGCATCTGGCAAGGCTAGGGCAGGTGCTGAGACGAGAGCCTTCTTTAGCTCCTCAAAGGCCCGTTGTTCCACTTTGGTCCAGTTCAGCGGCCATGTTCCCCCAGTACGTGTTCCTTCTGAGGTCCATAGTCTTTCTTGATGTCCAAGGAAAACAGGCAGTTTGTCCAGTGGCTCCCTGGACTGATGTTTTCTTAGAGGTTACAGGTCCCATCGGCTCTGTCAAGACTGAATAGGCTTTCCAAATGTCCATCAGGAAACGAATAGGTTTGCCCCCAACTAATAGGTTACCCTGGGGGCTTAATGGAAAGGAGCCCCGGTCCTGTCAGTCCTCTTCCTCTAAGTTAAAGACCTTTGGAGTCTGAGTCTTCCTTTTTGCTTCTCTAGCTATCCTGCCAGGATATTCTCTTTCAGTGCCTCTGCTTCCTAAAATATAATAAGTATACTAATTCCTTCTTATTTGCTGTTGGCTTTTTCTTCCTTTCAACCCTTTCTCTGTTCCCCTTCTTATTATATGTATAACCTTTATAAAAACTTTCACTATTTTAAATTAGCCTTTAAACCTTTTTTATGTCCTTCAAAAATGTATAACCATGCCTCAAATTTTTTATTATTTTAAAATATTTAGAAAAAGGCAGAGGGAGGAGGGAGCAGGTCCAGTGCCCTGTTCCCAGGCCTCCAGCCACTTGAAATTTAAAATATCATATTTTTCCTACAGATCCGGGTCTCAGATTCTGAAAAGCCTGAAAAGGGGAACGGGAGAATTTCTAGCTGTACCTTTAAGCCCCTAACAGAACACGGTGAAAAGTGTTCAGGGGGTCGCTGGGGGTTCTTGGGTCTCATTGGGGCACAGGGGGTCACAAAGGATCTCTCTCTACGCCACAGCCCACTGCCGCCCCCGGCTACTCTAAACAGCCCCTGGAGGGGATGGACGCCAGGTGGGTGGAGGCAGGGAGCGCTGCTCGGGTCCCCGGCGGCAAAGGAGATGCTCCCACTAGGGCGTTTTTATCTGGCGGTCCGCTGGGAAAATCGCTTGTCTCCTGCCGACAAAGGTGGCGTGGCGGGGGACTGGTGACCTCTAGACTGTAATCAGACTACCTGACCTTTTTGAAAAGCTCCTCTGCTTGAGTGTGCTTCTATTAATATTACTGATTTTAAAATTGTAACTTAAGAGTTGATATACATATACATAAGGACCAAGTGGCCCATAAAATATTTTCCTTGCCTTCTAAAGATTTTACAATGTATTGTAATCATTAATCATATCAAACTTAAATAGCCAATTGAGATAAACAGTTCTGAGACCGTTCCTCCACCACTGATTAAGACTGGGTGGTGATAGGTGTCAGAAATAACACCTATTTAGTTTTTTTTTAGTTTTTGAGGTTGCTGGGCAGACTTGGTGACTTTGCCAGCTCAAGCTTCCTTCTTGTAAATAGTTAACTTTAGAATTTGGTCCCTGCTTTTAACCCTTTGGACCACAATTGTTATAACTCCATACCTTTAAATTAATAAACATAGACAGAAATTTTGTTAGGTGGGCCGATCCCCCCTCTGACAGAGAGCAAGCACCCCTGGGAAAAAGGAATCCCAGTGGCAACTTGGGGCGGTTTGCTATGTGTCAGAGCACTCAGCCTTAAACAAATTAAAGGTTTCTTTCTTTCTCTTTTTTCTTTTTCTTTTTTATAGATTTTCACACTTATATGAACAAATAATTATACCCAAGTAGACATACAAAATATCAAACAAATGTCTGTACTTATACCCTTTCAGTAAACAAGTACTATTACAATGTTTCAGCAAAACAGAAATGGCACTCATGTTGGACAAAGGAAACAAGACTAATACTCTAGGAACTGTGAGGGGAAAGTTACCCTACAGACCGAGTTACCCTTGCGGCTTCTGTCTCCGGCTAAGGTCCCCGATAGGAGGGAGAGCCTCCTGCCCCTTCTGAGGGGTCCCTCTCTCCTCCTCTGTATTAACCATTTACTCTGTCCTTAGCAGGGGAAATAAGGCAAGCAGTCTATCTAAACCTGTAACCTTTGTTTTCCTCATGGATTTTTGCTCTAAACCCCTTGACTCTTAGAGGATCTTAAATCCTCCTTTACTACTCTTGATTCCTCCGACCACCCCCTCCCTATCCTGTCCCATCCCCCAGTCCAGTTGCTTGTCTCTCTTTCCAACTGTGAATCAGAGGAAGACAATTTCTACAGAGGGGGAAACAGAAACAGTGGGAGTTTCAGAGAAAACTGCAGACTATCGCTGTAGCCGTCCTCCCTTTCGAAGGCTGAGTTCTGACCTGGGGAAAAATGACTATTAGCCTGGAAAGATAGGGAGGCGGAGGATAAGGGTGTGTGAGGAGATTTCTTGCGAGCCGAAAGCCTGGATGGCCTCCTGAAAGAAAAGATCTTTAATCCAGTTATGGATGCTATTAGAATTGGGGTCCATAGATGGTTAACAATAACTCCGGTCTTAGTTCCACGCTGGACTATGATGTCACCGGCAGGGACAGGGCCTGTACATCTCTCCACCCTGCAGAGCTGTAAGCTCCGTCCTTGAAAAGTTTCCAATTACCAAAAGAGATAAAGATATAAATAAAAGTTCTTTGTTCCTTGAAATGTAGTAAATTTACAAATCAGAGCAAACGAAACCCCTACTTATACAAACATACAAACAGAGAGAGACATTTTTATTAGCCCTCTACTGTGATAGAGAGCAAACATCTCTGAGAAAAATGACTCATCAGTGCTGTTTACAGACCATCACAGTAGGACTGCCCTATTTTTCAATAATTTAAATAACAAAAAGATAATAGAAAACTCCTATGTATAACCAGACAGCACAAAGTAGCTTTCATTTCATACAGACCATTTAATGAGTAGATAATTATGCTAAGACAGATAAACCAGGGGCCCCAAAGAACAGCCTTCCAGCCCCGTGGAAGAAAGCCGAAAATCAGATGGCGGCCTCACGCCAACCGGTGGGAGCGACCCACCTCCTCCCAGAGGTTCCAGGGGTTCTGAGGACCCCAGGTCAACAGAAGGTCTGTAGAGTTCAGGAAATCAGAGAGTTAGAAAGGAGACATTCGAGTGGGGTGCGGGGTGTCGATCTGCCTTGACCCATCCTGTGGGAAAGCAAGAAGCCGGCACACAAAACGAATAACACAGAGACTGAGACAAGGGAAAACGGGTGGCCACACTCACACTCCAAATCCAAATCCAAAACAACAGCCTGGGAGCGGCGTCCCGTCCCGACCACGGGGGAGGCAGTTATGCCGCATCCCGCCTGCCTCCACCCACCAAACCTCAAGGATCCAAACCAAACCAAAACAAAGAGAGTTCTCTCTTACCGACAGACGATCTGCAGGCGCTTGGAGCCAATTGTAAATCCTCTGAGGCGGAGGGATGGGAGGCACCCTCCTCCGCCGCCGTCCGAGGAGGTCGACCCAAGAAGGGGACTTCGGTTATCTCGCAGCTGGGGCCTCCAAATGTTGTAACTCAGGAGAGACACCTCACTCGGACACAGATCAGAAGTGTTTAGAAAAGCACGTTTATTTCCTGCGCAGTGTCTGCCCCCGTCTCGTGCAGGGAAGACGGACCGGACTGCAGCACCAAAATCTAGAAGCCTTTTGCTTATATAGGCTTCTCATCCTTAGCAAGCAAGCAGGCTACATGTACAGAAGCAGATATCTGTCTTTAGCCCATCAACGATTCCTAATTATTTTTTTTACATTTAACATGTCAGTTCTTCCTTCCTCTTCATGCCAGCTGGCCTTACCCCTCTTGTATCATAGTGGTCAGCACATCCTGCTTTTAGTGAGCTTGTTTTAATTTAATATATTTTATTGACTTTTTACAGAGAGGAAGGGAGAGGGATAGAGAGATAGAAACATCGATGAGAGAGAATCATCGATCAGCTGTCTCTTGCACACACCCTACCGGGGATGTGCCCGCAACCGAGGTACATGCCCTTGATCGGAATCGAATCTGGGACCTTTCAGTCCGCAGGCTGACACTCTATCCACTGAGCCAAACCGGTTTTGGCTTAATGAGCTTGTTTTAACGAGCTGTGCAGCGGCTGCCGCGCTGGCCTTGGGAATTTTTCAGTCCATAACATCCTGACCAGAAATGGCTGCCTGGAACCCTTCCTGTGGGTGTTTCAGGCCCAGCCTGACTCTCCCCTTGCAGATGGCTGCCTAATCCTCTGGAGCCCCTTCCCGAGGGCAGGACATGGGTCCCTAGGGGAAGGGTCAGGCAAACATTGCATCTTGCCAAGGTTGGTCTCTCCCCTTCGTCCCCCTCCATTTGCATTTTGCATTTGATGGATGGAACTACGATGACGAATCTGCCAGAGGGAAGCTGGAGAGCTTCCTTGGCTAGTTGTGGCTGGGCCGCAGGCTAGCCTGCCCCACTGACTTCTTCCCCCATAGCCTTACGGCTCCCTTTCCAGAGCCCTCTCCGCTGGACATTGCCTTCCTCCTCTGTGTTGGGAGGGAGGATACCTGTACCAGCCCGCCCAATCAAGCCTGTGTTGCTTCTCCAGGAGCTGAAGAGGGCTCCCCCATATGTCAAATCTGAACATTCTCTCTGGTCTCTCACAGGATTCTTGGAAAGACTGAGCCTCACTCTGAATTCCAGCAGTTTTCCCAGAGCCCCTGATCTGCCTAGACGAGAGGACAGAGGACAAGAAGCACGAAGTGAGCGCTCACCAGCTGGAAGGATGCCCTTGGGACTCACCCACAGCAGCACGAGCAGCTGCCCTCAGAGGCAGTTTCCCCCTGGATAAGGTCCCCACCTCCATCCACAGCTTGCCAGCCTATGTCTCGAGGACCTGGAATTGTAACCCAGACAGTCTGTCTCCAGGGCAGGCAGTGGCGGGGGCGACATTTGGAACAGGGGTCTGTTTAGCCTTTCTGCAATTACATAACACCCTCCAGCGGGGAGAGGAGGTCCTGACGGAGGTGATGCCTCAGGGACCAATGGGAGCACGAGGGCTGTCTCTGCTTCCAACCCAAACGGTACAGCTCACAGTTCATTGTGAGCAGCCACCAGCCACTGCTTAATGATGGCTGTTTGAGGGGAGGAAGGGTTGTGGGAATGGAAAGAGTGCGCTACTGACGCTGGAATCAAGCCCCTGGGCTCAGCCGTGCCAACCATCATAATAAATCAGTCTAAGCACACTGACATGAACCTTCTGGTACCCCAGGCTGGGGGGGGGCTGGGGAGGCCAGCTGAGCCAGGGGGGACAGGAGCCTGAGGCACAGCACCAGGCATGGGGAGGACAGAAGGGCAGTAGGGGAAGGGTCAGACAAACATTGCTGGCAGCCCAGGCCCAAGCAGGGAGTGCCATGTAGCTGTGAGGGCTTCCAACCCAGCTGCAGCTACAGACCAGCCAGAGCAGGGGCTGGCTCAGCCCAGTCCCAACCCAGGACGTGGCAAAAGAGGCTGTGCCTCAGGGCGGCCGGGAAGGGACTTGGGACCAGACCAGGTCAGCTAAGGACACTTGAGTGATTACAGGGCAAGGCCACAGGGCGGCAGGAGGAGGTGAGCCAAGGGACCGGCACAGTGTAGGTGTGGGCCCTTTATTTACTGTCCCGCCTGCCGCCATAGGTCAGCCCCTGAGCTGCCATGAGATTGGTCCTGGCGTGGCCAGCCCAGACCTCATCTGCCTGCCCGTTCTCTTCTGAGCTGCTGGGAGATGAAGGGCTGCCAGCAGGGGCTCTGGGAAAACTGCTCCAAGCAGGGAGGCTTGGAGTAGAGCCCTGGCCGCTCATTCTGAGGGTTAGACCCGCTCCCTGAGGGGCCAGTACTGGTCTCCCTGGCAACGACAGCCCTGCAGTGCCTCCCATTGCCGGGTATTCCAGCCGGGCCTTGTGCTGAGAGCACCCCTCAGCCTGGATTGTGGGAATCTCACGGCCCGCGTGGAAAGTGTTCCAATTCAGGGTTCGTGTTCTGGAGGACCACACACAAATGAAGAGACTTGAGACTTGAAGAAATTCAACTTGGCGATATGGGGGCCAGGCGGAGAACTACTCCCTGCTCTGGCCCTGCCATCCCTTTTATTGAGGCTTTGGGGAAAACATCTTAGGCAACATAAACAGAAATTTACATGTAGCCCTTAGGCAGGAAATAACGGAAACACGGGACAAACAAGGTGGAGGCTGTTTCAGCTAACAATATCTCAACTAAAGGTTAGAGCAATTAAGGTGGTTGACCAGCCTCCCTGGCTTCCTGTCAACATCTCTTTTTTTAGTGAAACTGGTTTGTTTTCCAGCACTGGATCTAAAGTTGAAAGGCAAAATTGGATTTAATATTAAGGTATCATAAGCCCCCAAGCGGACCCAAATCAGGCGGTACTTGACTTTCAAACCAGACTTGGCCGCAGGGTCCAGCCCCCTAATGCTGTGTCTACCCCATTCTCTCTGACCAGCCCTGCCAGTCAGTTTTCTGGCTGGAAATCACTCAAGTAAAGTGGGTGTGGCCTACGCAAACCAAGGTCAAGTGGCCTTTACGGCCCTGGCCTATTTCTTCATTCCCACCTCGCTGTCCCCTCTGTCATTGGGAGACTGGAGCAAGAAGAGGACAATCCAATGATTGTCCCAGCAAGAGGCCGGAGGGGGATGGGATAGGGGAGGAAGGGGCTCAGGTCTGGGCTCCACTCCAGCCACTGCCTGGCTCACGGGTGACCTTGAGCAAGCCCCTCTTTGAAAGGCTAGATCTGGTCATGGTTGGACAGGTTAGGAAGCACTGGGCTAGGTAATATTCTGAGATCCTTTCCGCCTCATATGTTCTAGAATGAGATGCCTCTCTTCATGGACCTGGGGGAAGGGTCAATGAGTTGGAGCTGGACTTTTGATCTGAGTGTCCCTGAGCAGTTCTTGGTCCCTGGGGAGGCGTGAGGTGAGGTGGGGTAGGGACCTAGTTGACTCAGCTCCAACGTGGGGACAGCAGCTACAGTCCAGCCGGGCAGAAAGCCCTGGCCCTGCAGGCCTGCGTCAGAGCAGGCTTTGGGGGAAAGGCTAATTCTCAGCTGTCTGCTTCAGGACCAGCCCTGTGAGGCCAGGCCTACGTGGAAGGTGAGGGCCAAGCTGCCTGCCCTGTCATGGCAGGGGGGCAGTCCCGAGAACACAGAGACTTGGCTGGGGTGTGGGAAGGCTGAGCTCTGATTCCCCAGAGACAGGAGGGGCAGCTTTGGAGGGTGTGCCAAACAGACACACACACACAAAACAAAACAGGGGTGGAAACCTCTCTGAGCACTGTCCATGGGGGACCTCAGGAGGGAGTGGGATCGGGGACAAAAAGACAGAAAGCTCCTGGAGAATATTCGCCACACTGTACTGTTACTGTCTGCTCTGTGAGGGCAGTGTCTAGTCTGCCTTCATCACCATCAGATCCCGGGCCCTGCAGCGGTGGGACCCCTGGCGGCATGGAGGAGGAAGTACAGTCAAAGCCAGTGTTGGAGCGAGGGCCAGCTGAACAGTATCTGGCAGGGAGGGGAGTGAAAGAAGTACCAAGGTTGGAGTGAGAGACCTTTGACTTTCTGACCATGTGGCTCAAGAGCTAAGAGTGACCTGGCCAGCACCTGCAGGGGGTGCTCTGGGAGCTGAGCCAGCCTCAAGGCGCAAACACCTCAAGAGGGAGGAGGCAGGCAGGCCTGGTTAGCTGGAGCCTTCCTACCCTCCTGGAAGGGGCAGAGGGATATTCCTGCTCGTTTATTTCAGTGTAGCCCCTGGGTCAGAACCCTGTCCCCACTTGTAGATTCTCTGGGGCGAGGAAGAAGCCAGCTGTCTGGGGAGCGGCAGCCCAGCCGGGGCTCAGCCTCCAGGATGATTCTCGGGAGGGCAGTGCCCCGGCAGAGGGCTGAGCACCAGGAGGCCAGGTCTGGGTCCTGGGCTGCCACTCGTGGCTTAGAAAATGGCACATCATTGGACTCCTCTGTACAACGGGATAACGCCGGGTAAGGTGAAATGGCGCTGATGATTGCGGAGACCGTGGAGTGGGGTGCTGGGAACTGGTAAAGGGGAGTGACGGGGTTGTATTTCAGAGCCTTGCTACTTAAAGTGTCTTTTCTTGACCACCTTCATGGGTTCACCTGGGAATCAAACATGCAGAAATCCAGGCCCCACCCCAGGTCACCTGAATGGAATTTTAACGAAATCCCCAGGTGGTTTGGATGTACCTGCCCTTCCTCCCAAGGAGCTGCAGGTTCTGCCCAGGCCCACGCAGGGAGTGCCGTGTACCTGTGAGGGCTTCCAACCCAGCCGCAGCCGCAGACCAGCCAGAGCAGGGGCTGGCTCAGTCTAGTCCCAACCCAGGAGAAAGAGGCTGTGCCTCAGGGAGGCCGGGAAGGGACTTGGGACCAGACAGGTCAGCTAAGGACACTGAGTGATTACGGGGCAAGGCCACAGGGCGGCAGGATGGGGTGAGCCTAGGGGCCAGCACAGTAAGTGGAGAGCCATCACTGGACTTTTATCCCTGCTGGTTCCCAGGCCCAGGCCGCTTGGCTGGGAGGGCTGGGCATTGCCTTCATCCCTGTCAGAGGCTGCCTGACTTCCCCTACCCAAGCCGGCTGATGTCAGGGCAGGAGAGGGGGTTGTGTGCAGCGAACCCTTGCTCTTCAGGGTCTCCAGAACTGATCCTTGACCCTCCCACACCTGAGCCAGAGAACCTGGTGGCAGGGCTTAAAGGTGGTCTGACCCTTACCACCCCCAATGCCTAGCTTCCCTTTCTGGATACGGAGGAAGGGAAGCTGGGTTTGGGGTGGCCCATGGGGTTGGGGAGAGGGAGAGCCATTTCCTGAGAAGGGCCCAGGCTGTCTCGGCCCAGGGAGGCCGGTGTGCGGGGCTGCTCCTTCCAGCCAGACCATGGAAATGGGGGTCACAGCAGGATTGGGGACTAGGGGCTGGTTAAGTCGGGCCCATGTGTGTAACACCCTCCAAACTGGTGTCAGAGCCTGCAGACGAGTCCCGGGAGGAGCGGCCCTGCAGGAAGCGGATGATCTTCTCAATGGTGGCCTCCTGGTACTCGTGGGACCACCTGTGGGCACAGGCCGGCGGGTCAGAGGGCTGGGAAGGGGGCACTGCTGGCTGGGGGCCCGTGTGCCCACCACCCCCTCCTCACTTGATGCCGTTGAAGGTGAGCACGGCCTGCATGTCCTCGGGCAGGGCCTGCGGTTCTGGCCACTCGAAGCCATCAATGATGGGCACAATGTTCTTTCCGCAGCTCAAAGCAGTCACGATCTCCTGGAGAAAGCGGGGAGGAGGAAGGGGTCAGGGCCCCCTAAAGTCCACCTCGACTTCTCGCTTACCCTTTGTGGAAGAATAAAAAATACTTAGTTCTGCCGAAACCGGTTTGGCTCAGTGGATAGAGCGTCGGCCTGCGGACTGAAAGGTCCCGGGTTCGATTCCGGTCGGGGGCATGTACCTTGGTTGCGGGCACATCCCCAATGGGGGGTGTGCAGGAGGCAGCTGATCCGTATTTCTCTCTCATCGATGCTTCTAACTCTCTATCCCTCTCTCTTCCTCTCTGTAAAAAATCAATAAAATATATTAATATATATATTTTTTTTAATTAAAAAAAATATTTGGTCTTTGTCCTCAGTTCTTGGCACAGAGCTCTTACAATCCTTCTAACCTCCAGATATCGGGTGGGGTGCCTAGATAGCTTCAGGATGGGGAGTGGTGAAAGGGGGGTCAAGGTCTGATTAGAGGGTTGCAACCTACAGCTCCCTCTCCCCAACACACACTGCCAGGGAGGGGAGGGGGAATGGAGATCGAGTTCATTCACCAACAGCCAACAACTGAATCGTAGCCACATAATAAAAGCTCCATCAAGAGCCCCTAAAAATGGTTGAGCACATCTAGGTGCTGGGAGAGTGTCTAGAAGAGGGCATGGGAGCTCTGTGCCTCTCCTGCCTGCATCCCCACCCCCATACCTTGCCCCCACATCCTTCATAAAAGTCCAGTGGGTAAAGGGCTTTCCTGAGTCCTTCACATCATTTTAGCAAATGATTGAACCTGGTGTGCAGAGTCAAGGGAACCCCTGAATTTGTAGCCAAATCAGAAGTGTGGGTGCCTGAGAACCTGGGACTATCGACTGGCACCTGAAGTGAGGGCAGACTTGTGGCGTCTGACACTCCCTGTGGGTAGTTAGTATCAATTGAATTGAATTGTGGGACACCCAATAGGTGGTGAGTTGGAGAATATAAACCCACACAATTTGGTGTCAGAAGGAAAACATCACACCCCCTTGCATCCACATTGATCCACCACAAGCCCTGCGAAGTGTACTCCTTATTTTTCTTTCTACTTTTCAAATCCACCCACTTTTCTCTACCTGTACCCCGCCACTCTCCTGCTCCGTCCTCCTCGCTTATCTTCATCCTCCTCCAGGTCTGTTCTCATCCATTTCTTGCTCCCTTCTAAGTTGTTCTCTACATTGCCCCTTCACCCAGCTACTCTCAAAATGCACATTTGAGCATGTTTCTCCTTCCTTAAAACTCCTCAAGATTTTACATGGCTCGGGAAAAAGTTCAAACTCCTTAATGTCTGAAGGTCCTGCGTGGCTGGCCACAGTTCACTTCTCAAACTCCAGGTCTGCATGCAGCCCCTTCGATTTGCCCTCCTCCCTGCACAGGACCTTTGCACATGCGTTTTCCTCCGTCTGGAAGGCCTCTTCACTGTGCTAATGCCTACTCATTTTTCTCATCTGCAGCCAAGCAACACTTTCCCAGAGAAGTCTTCCCTCATTTTCCTGACCAGGTCAGATCCCCCAATTATAGGCTCTCCTACCTTCTGCAGCACATGCTAGAGTTGCCAATTTAAATTAATTAACGAGTACTTTACTTCATATCTGTCTTCCCCACCAGACAAAAGGGCATGGATGAGGTTTGTTTTTTACTCAGCTTATATCTCAGTATCTCCCACAAAGCCATGCCCATAGTCAGTCCTTGCTTAATACTTAATGGGCGGCTGGATGAATGAATGAATGAATGAATGAGGCAACGCGGCACAGCAGTTAGGGAGCGTACTCTGGAATCATCAGATCCGGGTTCACATTAAATTGACCATACAGACTTTGTGACCTAAGGCAAAAACAGCTGGTTCTCAAAGCCTCTGTTTTCTCACACATAAAATAGGGTTGCCCTGGCCAGTGTTGTACAGTGGTTAGAGTGTCAGCCCGCACACCAAAGGATTGCAGGTTCAATTTCTGGTCAAAGGTATGTATGTTTCGGTTGCAGGATCCTCAGTTCCACACTCAGAACTTGTGTGGGAGGCAACCAATAAGTGTGTTTCTCTCACATTGATCTCTCTCTCTCTCTCTCTCTCTCTCTCTCTCTCCTTCCCTCTCTCCCTCCCTCCTTCCCTCCCTCACTTCCTCCCTCCCTCCCTTCCATTCTCCCTAAAAATCAATGGGGAAAAAATAAAATAAAATAAAAATCAATGGGAAAATATCCTCAGATGAGGATTAACAACAACAAAAGAGGGTTAATGACAGTCCCTATCTTGCAAGATCAATGGAAGGAATAACTACCATATTGCATGACAAGTGGTTAGAACAGCTCCCAGCATGTAGAGTGTTCTTAATAAATAATAGTTGCTATTATTTCCTCCCCTGTAAAGTGGGGATCCTAAACCTACTTCACAAGGTTGCTCTGAGAATATTACTATTAACGGGTGCTCTGGTAAGTGCTTATTGGACGTGTTTTTTTCCCTTTGAAAGGGGAACCACAGGGATAGGATTTCCCTGAGTGCAGTTCACTTGTGGTTTTCCATATTGATTACCCACCAAATGTGGCTTCGGGGGAAGGAGTTTTAAAACCAAAGGCAATTAAGCACTCAAAGCAAGCAAGGAGCGAAGATGGAGCCTTTGGGACTTGTCCAAGCAAAGGCTCCCAGCACCGGCCTGCCTCCCCGCTCCTTGCAGTCCGCGGGGTGCGAAGACCCTTGAGCACAGCCCTCCTGGGGAAGTACCTGCATAACTTCCACCCTGACTGACTCTTGAGGAACCTCTCAATTTTACAAATGAGAAGAAGGTTTGTGTTCTTAATTCCATTGTGTCTCTCACTGTCACTATCCTCCCCTGCCCCACTTCCCTCCTGGAGGCTATTTTTCAAAGTATTTTCATATCTTTCTCTGACCCTCACAACATCCTACAGAGTAAATAGGGCATTTATTTTGTAGATGAGAGACATGGATTCGGAGAGCCTAAGACACTTGCTAGAGTCCTATTACAGTCAGAGTCGTGACTCCTGACTTCCCGCGGGGCCATGGAGGTGGCGGGGGTGTGCAGATGAGAAGGGACAGGAGAACCTTGTCCCTGGGCCATAGGCCAATGCTGGGACCACAGAGGCCAGCACCTACCTTGTGCACCCAGTCCTTGCAGTCGTGGTCCTGCATGCACTTGTCCAGGGCCCCCGCTGACAGCACCAGCACAAAGTTGCGGGCGCCCATGACACTCTGGATGAGCTTGTCCTCAAACTTGCCGGCCTCCAGCTTCTCCACATCGATGAAGACATTGAAGCCGTGCAGCTGCAGGTGCACCTTCAGGAGGCTGTGAGGAGGCCGTCTGTCACTGCGCTGGCCTCACCCAAAGGCCCGGGGCTGCCTGCCTGCCCCCTCCTCCTCACCTGGCCAGCTGGGAGCCAGAGCTGCGGCGGTAGCTGATGAAGACATCCGGGATGTCCCCGCTCGGCTTGCCGCCGGTGCAGGGCAGAGGGGAGTGCAGCATTTCTGAGGGGGACAGGAGACAGCTCGGTAAGGGTGGCCCCTCTCCATTACTCACAATGAGGTACATCGTCCCTTGCCCATCCAGCCTTCTCAGTCCAGTCCAGCCCAGCTCAGGCAGGTGCCTTGCTCCAAAAAGGGTCCCTGAAGCAGAGAGATGGGGTCTACAGGAAGGAAGGCCACTAACTCGTTGAGTCCCTCTCAGGAGGCAGGCGTTGTGTTTTAGGGACATTGAAATGCCACCTCCAGCCAAAACTGGTTTGGCTCAGTGGTAAAGCATTGTCGGTCTGCAGACTGAAAGGTCCCAGGTTCGATTCTGGTCAAGGGCATGTACCTGAGTTGCGGGCACATCCCCAGTAAGGGATGTGCAAGAGGCAGCTGGTCGATGTTTCTCTCTCATCGATGTTTCTAGCTCTCTTTCTTTTTTTTTCTTCTTTTTTTTTCTAAATATATTTTATTGATTTTGTACAGAGAGGAAGGGAGAGAGATAGAGTTAGAAACATCGATGAGAGAGAGTCATCGATCAGCTGCCTCTTGCACACCCCCTACTGGGGATATGCCCGCAACCAAGGTACATGCCCTTGACCGGAATCGAACCCGGGATCCTTCAGTCCCCAAGCCGACGCTCTATCCATTGAGCCAAACCGGTCCCGGCTCTAGCTCTCTTTCTATATCTCTCCCTTCCTCTCTGTAAAAAAAATCAATAAAATATATTTTTTAAAAAGAAAAAAAAAAAATGCCACCTCCAACCCTGCCCTCTCTCTGGAGCTCAGACCTGCACAGCCAGCTGCCCACGGGCACTCCAAACCCAACATCCTAAATCCTTCCTCCGAGTTTCCCACCACAGTCAGAGACCTGGGTGTCAGCCTCAATTCCTGCCTCTCGTGTATTCATTCACCGATGTTTACTAAGCACTTACTGTATGCTAGGCTCTAGTCTTTTTTTTTTTTTTTTAATATATTTTATTGATTCTTTACAGAGAGGAAGGGAGAGGGATAAAGAGTTAGAAACATCAATCAGCTGCCTCCCACACACCCCTCACTAGGGATGTGCCCGCACCAAGATACATGCCTTTGACTGGAATCTAACCCGGGACTCTTCAGTCCACAGGCTGATGCTCTATTCACTGAGCCATACTGGTTTCGGCTAGGCCCCAGTCTTAGTGCTTGGGATACAGCAGTGAGCAGAACAGACAAACCCTGCCCTCATGGAGCTGATGCTCAGTGCTCAGCGCCAAGGACCATGCTTTGTGGATTCTTCCTACTAAACAACTAGACTCCAGCCTCAGGGCCCTTCTTATGTTCCCCAACTCTAGCTCTCTCAGTGGTCTCCCCAAACCCACACTCGCCCAGTCTAACCTGTTTGCACAGCTACCAAAGGGATCTTTCTAAAATCCAAGCCTGAGCATGTCATTGCTCCCTACTCCCTGTGGAAGAGAGATCTGTAAGCTATTTCCCTCTATAGAATCCCTTTTTAAAAAAATTATTCTTAAGGCTTTCCTGAGAGCTGCAAAGTAAAAATGACCAAATTTGACCTGCTTTGGTTGAAGCAAAAGCATGGGACAAAGCTCAGTAAATAGTTGCTGAATGAATACATGAATGAAAAAAAAAATCCATCCTATAATATAATCCTACATAATAAAAGGATAATATGCAAATCGACCAAATGGTGGAACAACGGATCACTATAACATGCACTGATCACCAGGGGTCAGGAGCTTAATGCAGGAGCTGTCCCCAGGTGGTCAGGGCGCTCCCAAAGGGAGACAAGCCAGGCTGGTGCAGTGGCAGTGGAGGGAGCTAAGGATGTCCCAGTGGCAACTTAGACCCACTCCCCAAGGGCTCCAGGATTGATAAAGGGCGCAGACCGGGCTGAGGGACCCCTGCCCTCTCCCCAGTGCATGAAGGTCATGCACCGGGCCTCTAGTCTTCTCATAATATTCAGACTTAACATCCACAGACAACATTTACGAAGCAGGAAGAAAAAGTTTCAAATCTTAATTCTGTTATTTAATGGCTTTTAAACATTGGGAAAGTATTTTTAAATCTTAGTTTTATCATCTTTAAAATTAATACCCTTGGTGGAAATATTCTTTATCTCTGATTATGATGTTATTTACACAGGAGTAGACATGTTTCCAAACTCTTCAAACTGGACACTTTTAAGTTGATTATACTTCTTTCATCCTTTAAACAGCTGTAAAAGTTGATCAAAAAAAAAAAAAAGAAAGAAAGAAACATCCACTTCATCAAATGGATGTAGAGTTTAATGAGACAATAACTGTTCAAAACTTAATCCTAGGCCGGGACCGGTTTGGCTCAGTGGATAGAGCGTCGGCCTGCGGACTGAAGGGTCCCGGGTTCAATTCTGGTCAAGGGCATGTACCTTGGTTGCGGGCACATCTCCAGTGGGGGGTATGCAAGAGGCAGCTGGTCGATGATTCTCTCTCATCGATGCTTCTAACTCTCTGTCCCTCTCAATTCCTCTCTGTGTAAAATCAATAAAATATATTAAAAAAACTTAATCCCGGCTGGCGTGGCTCAGTGGTTGGGTCGACCTATGAACCAGGAGGTCATGGTTCAATTTCTGCTCAGGGCACATGCCTGAGTTGCAGGCTCAATCCCCAGTATGATCAATGATTGGCTCTCATCAATAATATTTCTATCTTTCTCTCCCTCTTCTTTCCTCTCTGAAATCAATAAAAATTTATTTTTTTAAAACTTAAGACAGGACCTGGCATATAATAATTGACAATAAAGCTTAGCAAAATAGTAAATTAATAAATTAAGCAGTAAATAAAGAGGGTTGCTAAAGCCGTCAGGACCTCCTTAAAGACCTCCCGAACCCCTACTGTGCAAGCTGCTAATAGAATAAGCCACCTGTCTTCCCACCCATATCTCACATATGGGCTCCCCATGCTCTGTCTCACCAGCACACGCGGCTCCCTCTGTCCTGCGGCTGCTACCCCGATCCCCACTCACCCAGTATATCCTTCAAGACCTGGTCAGACATCGTCCAGATGCCTAGACCTGGTGGACAGGGTCTCCCTCCTGTTGTGGTCATCCTCCTGTTTATACGCCTGCCTTACTCCTACCCACAGCAGACTGGGAACTTCTTGAGGGCAAAGTGCATCTTCAGAATCCAGTCTAGCTCAGTGTCTGGCTCCGAGGCCCCACCACACGCCTCCCCTCACCCCTCCAGGGATGGAGATGGGACAGGGGCGGTCTCACGCGGGCAGGCTGACCTCTGGCGGCCATGAGGATGCGCATGCGGTGGACGCCCAGGCGGACGCCGCAGTCCTCCAGCAGCTGCTGCTCGGACACACGGTGCAGCAGGGAGCGGTCCAGGCCGCAGCTGACCAGGCCGTAGGTGTACTGGCGGAAGCGCGAGTCCAGGCTGCCCAGCCAGTCAGCCAGGTTGCTGCGGTCACACGTGGCGTAGTTGGCGAAGGTCTTGAGCTCCCTGAGCTCCCTAAAGAACCTGCACCCCAGGGAGGAGAGGTCACTGAAGTCCTGACTCAGATGGGCCGGTGGCCGAGGGGGTATTTAAAGTGGGTGGGTGGAGGGGAGGCTGGCAGGAGGCTCCATACCTCTTGCGGGTGATGCTGGACACCATGCCCAGGTCAGTCTGCAGTTCCTCTTCCGTGAGCCGCAGAAGCAAGTCGCCATCGACCTGCTGCTCCTGGGGTGGAGTCAGAGGTAAGAGAGAAGAAGGAAGGGCCCCCCCTCTCAGCCCTGGACCCCAAGCACACGATGCAAGGGGAGGGGACTGGAGACGGGGGGTAGGGGGAGAGGATAAGACCCCCTATTAGAGCCAAGCGACCCTGAAAATTGGACAGGCTCTCCACCCCAAAAAGGCCACGCTGGCGCCTCGGTTCTGCGGGACAGGAGGGGCAAGGTCGCCCGTGTGCATGGCGCCCCTGGGGGCCGCGCGTCCTTGGGGATGCGCAGGCTCTGACTCCGGAGGCAGCCCTGGGCGCCGCTATACCCGGAAGCGTTCGCAGTACTGGGAGAAGCCGATCTGCTGCAGCCACGTCAGGACCTCGGCCTCCTTCCAGCTGGGCACGCAGGGCAGGATGGGCCTCGGCACCTCCTCGCCCAGCAGGCGGAGGGCGCGCTTGGCCAGCGCTGAGGTGGTGCCGTTGGTGGAGTAGGAAACCAGGCGTTTCAGGCTCTGGATGGCACCGATGTCACTGAACACCTAGGAGAGGTGAGGACAGGGTGCCTTATAGTCACTAACTTCCCAGCCAGCCACCCAGAAAGGGGCCCTGTCTCTCCTCTGTGCCCAGCTGCTTCTCACTGTTGGAAGTCCCACCATCTGCCCTAGCCCTGCCTTCATCTAGTAATCATGGAATCTGAACTTCTCCTCCTGAAGCTCTCTCAAAGCTCTTGACTCTTCATGCCTCCCCTCTACAGCTCTCAATATGGCGGCCAGGCCTGGCACAGAGCAGCCTCTGTCCACAACTCCAGCTCACCTCCCCTTCCACCAACCCACACTTGTCTGACACCCCCCACAAAGGTTCTCCCCCCTGTGGCCTTAGCCCAAGGTGTGTCCAGACCCTTGGTTCCTCAGCCTGTTCTGGGGGATCCTATTCATCCGCTGGAATCCAAATTGATTCCTCCCCCAGTTTGGCCCACGTCTCCAGTTTGAGCTTGTACCACACTCTGAATGCCTCTGCCATTAGTTGAGAATACAACTTCCCCTGGGTGATAAGCTGAGGTCATGTCTTAGTCACCCCCGGAGTCCTGTGCCTGGCACACTGCAGGCCAAGGCGGGGGGAGGGGGGAGGCCTTACTGTGTCTTTATGGAACTGCACTCACCAGCTTGGCTGGGAAAGGGGTGCAGAGCTGGTGGTCTTAGCTGCTGCCCAGACCCAATACTTCCTACTCCCAACTCCCCTCAAGCTCTTCTCCCAGAGCAAAATGACCTGCTCTGTAAAGCCAGTCCTCCCATGGCCCACTCTGGGGCAAGCACAGAGAGGAGAGTCAGAAACTCCTAGAACACTGGACCTTGTGGGAGGCCCCAGAGTCCCCCTAACACCAAGCGTCTCCTTTATCTGTGAGGACTCATGCGATGCATGACTATCATCTGAGACACACTCCGTGAGCAGCCCCAGATGACAGCTGTGGTACAGATGGGGGGTTCATGTGGTGTGATCCGCTCCCTGTCCACCAGCTGTCACCAACCCCCCAGATTCCCAAAGGAACAGAAAGTAGGGAGGGTGACGTTATAGGGATGATTTTGATTCTGTAATAATTTAAAAAATAAAATTTTAGACTTTTGATCATTTACTACTGTTAATGAATTGTAATGTAAATATCTGTGTTTCCCGATGGTCTTAGGCTCTCCAGCAGCTCCTGTCGCCACCCACAGGTTGAGGACCGCTAGCAGGGTGGCCTAAGACCATGGGAAAACACAGGTATTTACATTATGATTCATAACAGTAGCAAAATGACAGTTATGAAGTGGCAACGAAAATAATTTTATGGCTGGAGGTCACCACAACATGAGGAACTGCATTAAAGGGTCGCGGCATTAGGAAGGTTGAGAACCACTGCTCTAACTGGTCATCTCTCCTGCACCTCAAATTGAATCTGTTCCAGTGAACTCACTTGCGTCCCCTCCAGGACTCCAACCTGCCTCTCACACCTTATTTCACCTTATTTCAGTCCCTGGTGCCACGTCCACTGGGTCGCCTATGCCCAAAGTCAGGAATCATCCTCAGCTCCTCCCTGTCCTTCACCCGGCCACCCACCAAGTCCTGATTCTAGCTCAGCATCTCTGGAATCTATCTTCTCTCTGCCTCTCTATGGACTAGTCCTGACCCCCACCACCCCAACTGCACCACTGTCATGGCCTCCTATCTGGCCTCCCCTTCCCCCCAACCTCACCCTTGCCAAACCCATCTCCAGGCAGCACCTGGGTAATCTTTACAAAATATGTGCCCCTCTGCTTTAAAACCTTGGTCTTGCCTTCAAGACCAGAATAACTGGTTCCTCACCCCTCTCCTTGCTTTGGGAAGCCTTCCCAAATGCTGTCTAACCCCGGATCCTCACTCCACACCCGCACCCGCACCCGCACCCGCACCCTCCGCACCCACCTTGGTCTTGCCCTGCAGACTCTTGATGGCAGCTTCGGCGCACAGATAGAAAGCCCCGATGCACTGGGCCTCCAAGCGTGAGGAGTCGAGCAGCGGCACCAGGCGCTGCAGGTCGTCGGGCCCGCGGCCCTGGCTGGTGTCGCTGGCGTCCACCAGGCAGCGGGCGAAGCGGCCGGGGTCCAGGGAGGCTACGAGCGGCTCCACGAGCTCCAGCGTGCCGGAGCGCTCCACCTCGCGCTCCACCTCCTTGTTGGTGGCCAGCACCGCCACCGCGAGGCAGGCGTGCAGCCGCAGCAGCTCGTCCTCCTTGGAGAAGGCGAGCGGGAAGAGCCACTCGGCGGCGCGCTTCTCCACCATGCGGCGCTGCGCCGCCTGGCCCCCGTGCAGCGCGCAGTTGCCCAGCGCCAGCGCGCAGTGGCGGAGCAGCGCCGGGTCCGTGCGGCGGCACCAGAACAGCACCGCGTCCAGGCCGCCGGCCGCCACCAGCCGCTGGCACGTCTCCTCCGAGTGCTTGAACATGTGCTCCAAGATGCCCGCCACGCTCCGAGCCAGCTCCACCGGCTCGCGCTCCTTCGCCAGGTTCAGGATGACGCCCAGCCCGATGCGCGCCACCCGGTCTCTGCGGGAAGAAAGGGGAGGGGAAGGTGCAGTTGCCGGGCCTGCGGGGTCTGGCTTGGCCCCTGGTCCCTTATACTCGGTGGGCCTCATATAAGACACGAGGGAGAGCATTATTCTCCCTGCTTTCTCTCCTTCCCGCCCCCCCCCCCCACACACACACACACTCCTCTTGGCTGGGAGGACCAGACTTCTCTGATTATAAGGCTGCTTTCTCCTGGCCACACCCAGTTCCCTTCCTATACCCTCCCCTGGAGAAGCTATATAGGTCCTGGTTAAGACACCTAGTTCTGGAGCAGATCCCCTGGATCCTGGTTTCAAATAAATTCTTTGCCATTTTCTAGTTGCCAGACCCTGGGTACCTCCCTTTCTCTTTCTACCTTAGTGTTGTCATCTCATAAACAGGATTATAAATACCTACTTTATAGGTTTATTGTGAGAATGAATGTGATAATCTGTGTAAAGGTGCTTGCTTGCCACAGTGCCTGGCACATAGGAAAGACTCAACACATGTTAACTTCTTTATCGTCATTTGAAGTGTCACTTGCACACCACTCCTGGCCTTGAAAACCACTTCATGCTGCACGACTGGGGTGTATTTATTCATTCATTGAACAGACATGTATTGAGAACCTACTGTGTGCCAAGCACTGAGCTAGTGGCTGAAGTTAAACAATGACTAAGAGTGACTCAGCTAATATGGAGACAAACAATAAGCAAGTAAACAAGGAATTAACAGGATAATAATGATATGGCCATAATGATAGCAAAACCAGGTGACATAATGGAGAGTGCTTAGGTTCAGGGATATGCCATCTGAGGGTTAAATGTCCAGAAAGCCCTGCCTGCAAGTATCTGGGAGAACATAATAGGCAGAGAGGACAGCCAGGACAAAAGCCCTGAGGGCTGGTGAGCCTGGCATGTTTGAAGAAAAGAAAGCTCGAGATATTTGCAGTGTCTAAAACCAACAAGGAAAAATATAAAACCAACAAGGGATTCATATATATATATATATATATATATATATATATATATATATATATATATATAAATATTCAAATCCACAAGAAAAGAGGCAATAAACCCAATAGAAAATGGGCAAAGGACATAAACAAGCAACTTATAAAAAAAAAAAAGTGGAAATCCAAAATGTTAACAAAGAGATGCTCTAACTCATTATTAATCAGAGAAGTGAACATGAAAACAGCAATGACTTTACACCTATTAGACAGGCAAAAGCAGAAGCTGGGCCACACGAAAGATTAGGGAAGTGTGGGGCCATGAACACCCTGAAGCTCTGTGGGTGGACATACAGGCTAGGACAGTCCATTTGGGGAGCAGGCTGGGATGAGTGGACAACATTAAGGTGACATACACCGAATGGGCCAGAAATTGGGGCTCCTGGGTTTCTATTTCGAAGAGATTGTGACACAGATCCACAAAAGGACATAGCCAAGTTCATTTGCTGCAGTGTTATTTGTGATGGGGAGAACTGGGGACAGTCCAGCATCAAGCCTGGGAGAGTGGAGAGGTAATATGGGCAGGTACCCAGTCTGGAGGACCGTGGAGCAGTTACAAGTAACTGAGCAGATGATAAATAGCAACCTGAAGGATTTTAACCTAACACTGAGTGGGGGGAAGTAAGAAATAGAATATAATTCAGCACAATTTGTGTAAAATAAAAATAAATGCACAGCCGAAACCAGTTTGGCTCAATGGATAGAGCATCAGCTTGGGGACTGAAGGGACCCAGGTTCGATTCCGGTCAAGGGCATGTACCTTGGTTGCAGGCACATCCCCAGTAGGGGGTGTGCAAGAGGCAGCTGATCAATGACTCTCTCTCATCGATGTTTCTAGCTCTCTATCTCTCTCCCTTCCTCTCTGTACAAAATCAATAAAATTAAAAAAAAATAAATGCACAAAACAAGAATAAAGATTTTAGGAGAACACAGATAGGAAGATATGTATTATATATTGAATGGTTGCCTGTGGGATTAAGTCAGAAGGATGGTGGGGACATTAGCCAAGACAAGGGGAACTTCTGGTCAAGATGGCAGCATGGGATCAACCAGAGGACTTGTACGCATGCATATGAGCAAAACCAATGGACACAGACTGCAGGGGGTGAGGGCTTATGCTTGGGGAGAGGGTGGTGGGGGAGAGGTCAATGGGGGGAAAAAGGAGACTCATGTAATACTTTAAACAATAAAGAATTTTTAAAAAACTAACATAATAAACTGAAGAAAAAAAAAAGATGGCAGCAGAGGAAAGCATGTGATACTCCTCTCATCCCAAGCCCACATCAAAATCATGTACAACTAAACTACAGAACAACCATCATTCAGAACCACCTGAAATCAAGCTGAATGAAGGCCCTACAGCTAGGGAATTAAAGAAGGTGACACATCGAGACTGGTAGGAGGAGTGGAGACTAGTATGAGCTGGTCCCACACCCACGTGTATCAGGTAAAAATTGGGAGGAATAACTCAACTGGGGAGTGAGGTGTCCCAACCCCACACCAGCTCAGGGCTCCAGTACTGGGAAGAGAAGACCCTGTAATCTCTGGCTGTAAAAACCAGTGGGTATTGAGGCTGAGGGAGACAGAGGCTGTTGGAGTCCCAAGCAGTTCCTCTTTAAGGGCATGTGCACAGACTAACTTGAATTTACTCCTTCTGAGCTCCAGCATGGGGGTTGGGAGGCAGCAGCTTGAAAGGCATCAGAGACAAATGGGGGAGGAACTGAATTGACCAGCATCAGGGAATGGGGGGTGCAGCTTTCTCCCAGGCAGAAGTCATTGTTCCTTTGATGAGCCCTCCCTCCACAGAGCCATATCTGAGACCCCATTAACCTGATTCCCTGAGGCTGTGCCCCACCCAATTTTCAGGCCCACCCAAGTTGTTCCTGGTGGCTTTTCCATAGATTGGTCTGTCCTGGTTCTGCCTAAAATCTTTGAAACAAGCAGCATCTGGCCTCAGTGAGCCCTATATCTTTCACTAAGTGGCCTTAGGCCCAGCACTAGCAGCAGCCAACCTTGGTTCAGAGCTTGGCACCTCTAAGCCCAGCATAAGTAGCAGCCATATGCATATTGCTTTGTAGCTCATGCCAGGTGGCCCGGGGCAGAATACTGTAGTGGCTGACATTGGCTTGTACCTCCTGGGAGGCCCTAGAGCCATCACACCTAGTGGATAGCTTCAGACCATATCAAAGCACCATCCCCCAACCATCTCCACAAGCAACACACTCATGGGGTAGACTGAGAAAGCACCAGAGCCCTGTTTAAGTAAGCCCTTTGCAGCTGATCCTCCATAGTGGTTGAAGGTCACAGCCAATCCTTATAGCTGATCGACCTGGGGGTAAATCCCTCCCATTGACATACCAACAGCAATCAAGGCTCAACTACAGGAGGAAGCTGTATGTAGCCCACACAGAGGACGCACCTTGAGTGTCCAGCTTGGGTGACTGAGGAGTCTGTGCCACTGGACCCTACAGGGCACTACTACACTGGGCTACTCTATCCAGCCTGGGAGACTTAGCAGCTCTGCCTAACACATAGAAACAAACACAGAGAGGCTGCCAAAATGAGGAGACAAAGAAACACATCCCAAATGAAAGAACAGACCAAAACTCCAGAAAAAGAACCAAACAAAATGGAGACAAGCAAATCTACTAGAGGCAGAGTTCAAAGCACTGATTGTAAGGATGCTCAGTGAACTTAGTGAGCACCTCAACAGCATAAATAAAGGACTGATAAGAAACTAAAGACATACTAACTGAAATGAAGAATAATTTACAGGGAATCAATATTAGAGTAGATGAAGCCAAGAATCAAATCAGCAAAGGGAATAAAAAGAAACACCCAATTGAAACAGAAAAAAGAAAAAATATACAAGAAAACAAAAACCACCCAATCAGAACAGAAAAAAAGAAAAAACAATAAAAAACAAACCAACCAACAAACAAAAAACACCAAAAAAACAAGGACAGTGTAAGGAGCCTCTGGGACAACTTCAAGAACACCAACATTTGCATCGTGGGGGTGCTGAAGGAGAACAGAAAGACCAAGAAATGAAAAACCTATTTGAAAAAATCATGACAGAAAATATCTCTTAACTTGAAGGAATTGACATTACAAGTCCAAGATGAATCCAGAGAGGCCCACACTAAGACAGATCATAATTAAAATGCAAATGGTTAAAGGCAGCAAGAAGCCCTGGTCCTGGCCGGGTAGTTCGGTTAGTTAGAGCGTTGTCCCAAAACATCAAGGCTAGTCTTATCCTGATATTTGAGGTGAGGGAAGCTGACACCTGGGCTCCTGGGAAGTGGGTGTGGCAGCATCTTGGGAAGGAGAACTGCAGAACTGAGAATGGCGAAAGGAGTGGGGAACTGATGGAAGAACCCTCTTTAAGAGGAGGTTGGTTGGCATAGGAAGAAAAATGTTTCATAAACACACATTATCTGTGTGTCACTCCCTGTTCTTTCCCTTCCAGCCTCCTACAGGCACAGTCCAGAGGCGTGAAGGACTCTGATCCCCACCAAGCGCGCTGGGATCTGTCCTTGGTCCTGAAGTGATGCCTGACCCAATGCCTGAACCAGTGCGTGGTTTCTTAGCGTGATGCCTTTCTCAGTAGTTCTGAACCACGTGAGAAATGTCATTTCCAGCCTTAAAAATAGCGCTATTTGCCGGGACGGGTTTGGCTCAATGGATAGAGCGTCGGCTTGGGAACTGAAGGGTCCCGGGTTCGATTCCGGTCATGGGCATGTACCTTGGTTGTGGGCATATCCCCAGTAGGGGGTGTGCAAGAGGCAGCTGATCGATGACTCTCTCTCATCGATGTTCTGGCTTTCTGTCTCTCTCCCTTCCTCTCTGTACAAAATCAATAAAATATATTTAAAAAATAAATTAAAAAATTAAAAAAATAAAAATAGCGCTATTTTGTTATCTTGTAGCCTTTCTCTTCCTAGGGTGCTGGCTGCACCCACTCTCCAGGAGTTCTAATTATAGCTGCCCCACCCCGCATACCAGGCCCACAGGGCTTCACCCACCTACGTGGGCCCACACATCCAGTGAGCACCCACTCCGTTTGCTAGTCCTCTAAATTTATGGTCCATTCCCATCAGGATGCCTGGTGTTAGATGAGAGATTAATGACTGCTGAACAAGCAGAACCAAAACTTGGTTTCCCAATTTAAATGTCTTCATTCATGCAGTTTTGAGAGTTGTGTAATGTCCATCACCCACAAAGTAATTTTTACTTTTTGCAGATGGCAAGGAAAGCAACCCTACCCTATGATCATCACACTTGTGAGAGCTGCATGAACTGAACGGGACTCTTCCAATCCCTTCAAAACCTGAGGGGCCTGAGAATTCAGGTTGAGACGGAAGTGTGACATCCTGATCTTCTCTGGCATCAAAGGAGAGTGCTCAGGGGTTTTCATATTCTAGGGGAGATCCCAAGAGGCAGCCAAGAGAGTGGCAGCCGGGCCTCCATTGGACCCCACCTACTGCACCTTGACACAACGTGGGAAAGGGGAAAGAAATACACTCTGGCCCCTGCCTAGCCCTGCACCTCACTTTCCTCTTCCCCCACCCATGCATCTCAGCAGAAAACCTCCCCCCCCCCCACGCCTCCTTTCAGCCCAGCCTGTGGGGAGACCATTTCCTGCTGCCTTCATTGGGAATCCGTGTGTCTCTTTGCTTGCTGGTCAGGGGGCTGTTTGAAACAGAGAGGAACTCAGCTGATGTACCAGCACCCTCAGTGTCTCAGCAGTAAACCTTCTGATTCCTAACAGCAGCTGCAGAATGAGATCATGGCTGGCTTGTTACAGGGACCAAAATGAAGGAGCAGGAAGCAGAAGGTGGATTTGGGACGGCATGAAGAGGGTAAGTAACCCTTACATTGGCGTTCATTTCAGCCTGGGGAGAGAGGAAAAGGCCCCCCCCCCATTTTCTGAGCATTGTGTTCTCTCCCTCTCTCAGGAGGAAGGAGATGATACAGAAGAGAGACTGTACAATAAAAAGGCATTCAGGCTTGTGGGGAGGAGGGCTACTGGTTTCAGGGAGTATTGGCCATAGGAGCCTATCTCCATCCTCAGAATCAGGGACAGATTCCTGTCCTACTACCTCATTCCTGCTCTCCCTGTCTCATTCATTCCTCACCTCACCAGCCCGGGGAGTGGATCCAGGCTGCATCATTATTTCTCTGCACGTCCCTGGGCAAGTCACTAAACTTTCCCATTCGTTTTCTCATTCATACAATGGATACGTTGATCCCCACCAGGGATGTAGTGAGGTGAGGCAGGGAAGGAGGGCACAGTGCGAGGCACCCTGGCGACCCAGGCACCCCACAACCCTTGCTGCCAGCCTTTCCCCCACCACCACCACCACGCGGCGCCCTCCCCAGCAGGGCACCCTCACCGGTTCTCAGCCACCAGGATCTGCTCCAGCAGGCGCGCGGCCTGTACCCGCGTCTCCAGCTCCGTCGCCTGCAGCAGCCGCAGCAGCAGATCGAGGCCGCCGTCCAGGCGGATGGCGTCGCACAGACCCTGGGCTACCTCGCGGCCCACGGCCGGCAGCAGCCAGGCCTCCTCCACCAGGTGCAGGACCTCCGCCAGGCCGAGGCCCACGGCCCGCGCGCTGCCTGCCAGCCTCAGCGCCGACAGCGCCTGCTGCAGCTCGGGCAGCGCGCGCTCCAGGGCGCCCCGCACCTCGCTGCCCACCCCAGGCGACACCTCGCGGGGCCCGCGGCCGCCCGCCACCCACCACGGCTCCGCGCCGCCGCTCCCGTCCGGCCCCGGCACCACCAGCCGGTCGGCGCCCGGCCGCGGGCCTGACATGGCGAAGAAGCGGCACAGCTTGTAGGCGGAGAGCAGCAGCGTCAAGACCATGGGCGCGGGGCTGCAGAGGGCATCCCTGGCCTGGAGTGACCCGCCCCTTGGGGTGAAGGGGACCCGAGAGGAGGTCCGAGGGGAAGAAGAAGATGCAGGAGGGAGGGATGGAGAGCAGGGTACCGGGCAAGGGCGCTGGCCAGTGGTTTGGGGAGAGGTAAGGACAGGATCCAGGACGAAGCGGTTGGGAGGGGGAATGCAGGCCCAGGTCCAGGGGATGGACGGGAGCAGGGAACTGGGAAGCGAGGGGTGGACGCAGACGCCGGAGGGTGTAGGCAGCAGTCACCAGAACAAAGCGAGGCTCCGGCTCGGCTCGCAGAGGTGCTCGGCGGCAGCCCCGCCCCTCAGAAGCCTGAGCCGACGCCCCGCCTCTGAGGCTCAGGGGCTCCGCCCCTGCCTCCCTCGTAGCTCCACCTTCAGGTCTTGCCCCGCCCTGCCCACGCCCTCACCAGACCTGTCCCCCCCTAGGCGGACTTCCCCCCTCTTCTTCCCCCCACCACCTCCGCCGGGTGCAGGGGCAGTGGGTGAAGAGCAAGAGGACCGCTTCGGTTTTAACCGTGACACTGGTAAGGTGAGGGCAAGCAGCGCCCTTGTGTGTCTCCTCCCCTACTACCGTGTTTCCCCGAAAAAAAGACATCCTTCGAAAATAAGACCTACTTACAGATTTCCTTCTGAGTGAAATATAAGGCATCTCCCGAAAATAGGGCCCCCCTAGGGGGCTAAATATGAGAGATTTGGTCCACTGATTTTGAAAGAAATGGAGTCACAAGAAATTCACCAGGAAATTCAGGAGTTGGATTGTTATGATGATGTTCCAGAAGATGATGACATGATTGTCATTGAATAAATGAGTAAGTTCTTGATACTGTAGGATTCACAGTTTTTCTGGTTTGTGTTGACAACTACCCTACTAAAAGATCAATAAAAAAATAAATAAAGCGATCATAATAACGATTCTGTACCACTCTAGAGGCCGTTTATGCCGGTTTCCCAATTCAGCCTTACAACCTGCCTCTGAGGGAGGAATTACTGTTCCCACTTAATAGGCGAGCCAGCTTAAGCCTAAGGAAAACAGAAGTCACACTCCCCTCTGATCAGAGAACAACAAAAAAAAAAATCAGCTGGAAACTCTGAGGATCACTTTCTCCAGGTTGCGGGAGGACTTCAGGAATTCTGTAGGCACAAAATCAGGCATTCTATACTAGTTGGCATTTTATGGGTAGAGGGTGAGTCTTTTTTTAAAAAATATATATTTTATTGATTTTTTTACAGAGAGGAAAGGAGAGGGATAGAGAGCTAGAAACATTGATGAGAGAGAAACATCAACCAGCTGCCTCCTGCACACCCCCTACTGGGGATGTGCCCGCAACCAATGTACATGCCCTTGACCGGAATCGAACCTGGCACCTTTCAGTCCACAGACCGACGCTCTATCCACTGAGCCAAACCGGTTTCTGCTAGAGGGTGAGTCTTAAAGTGGGAGGAATGGGGGGAACCAGATCTCTCTTCAGGGTGGAGATAAGGAGTGGCCTGCTCAGGAGCAGTAAACTAGTGGGAGACTCAGGAATCAAACCCAGTCCAAAGGGTTCATAGTCACTCAATTTCCTGTGTTGTGAAGACCAGCTTGGGAAAAATCAATATACCCAAGGGATGAACCCAGAAATGAAACTTTGTTCCTTTCTGAGAAAAAGATTTCCCCCCAGCATTCCTCCTCCCCTGCCCACTTCACTGCCCTAAATACACAATGAGTGGGTGTGCCTGACCAAACAGATCATAGATCAATGCCATGTATGGAGATTGAAGTTAGGGCTACTCTAGGCACTGGGCATTCTGTCTGCTTAACTCATATAATCTTCCAAGTATTATTAGTCTCATGTTACCGAAAAGAGAACTAAAGCAGGGAAAGCAGATTGCCCAAGGTCACATAGCTAGTAAGGGGTGGCCTAGGCCTTCTATCTGCCTTTCAGACACACTGTACTATTTCCCTCATGAAATAACCTCAAGTTTGGCCAGGATCCTATTTTCGGCTCTCCCAAGCCCAGAGTTTCGGGAATGTGACTCTGTGCTACAGCAACCTCTTGGGTCAAGGCCTGGGGGCTGGGCCAGAGGTTGAACAAACAGACCAGCAGGAAAGGCAGCTCCTCTCCTCTGGTTCCCTCCCTCTCCCCCCACCACCGCCCCTCACCTCTCCCTCCCTTTCTCAGGCATCAGAGCAGAGAGCACAGAACCCAGGAAGCCAGGCTCATGGCTAGAGGCCCTGCCATGGCCCCCCCTAGGTCCCTTCTGATGCTGGCCCTGCTGGCCTGGGCTATTCTGGCTGACCAAGGTGCAGGAGGGTGCTGGTGGCCAGTTGGGCTATTGTAGGGTGGGGAAGAATGGGCCAGTCTTGGCTGTGCCAACCGACACTCCCTCCCCACAGAGTCATGCAAGGATCGCTGCAACGAGGGCTTCAACCCGGAGAAGAAGTGCCAGTGTGATGAGCTCTGCTCTTACTACCAGAGCTGCTGTGCCGACTTCGTGGCTGAGTGCAAGCCCCAAGGTGCGTTCGGAATGGCTGGGTGGGCCTGGGGTCCCCTCTGCAGCTGGAGACTCACTCACACCACCCACTCTGCCTGCAGTGACCCGCGGGGATGTATTCACTATGCCAGAAGATGAGTACTGGGTTAATGGCCTCGATTCGGAGACGGAATATCCCAGTGTCCCCACAGAGACAGAGAGCACCCCCCTTGACAGTAACCCACAGACCCCTGAAAATACTCCTGAGCAAGGATTTGTTCTGCACACTGAGGAAGAGATCCCAGGACCAGAACAGGAGACCTCAGGGCCTGCCGTGGAGGCTCTAAGGCCTGAGAGCACCGATCAAGAGATCCCCGAGTCCTCAGCAGAGGAGCTGTGCAGTGGGAAGCCCTTTGATGCCTTCACTGACCTCAAGAATGGTTCCCTCTTTGCCTTCCGAGGTGACTCCAGGGGCAGGTCTCTGGGGCGGGGGGGGGCTGCCCCAGGAACATCCCCTCCCTCACACAGCCTCCTCCACTCTAGGGAAGTACTGCTATGAGCTGGATGAATATGCAGTGAGGCCGGGGTACCCCAAGCTCATCCAAGAAGTCTGGGGCATCGAGGGCCCCATTGATGCTGCCTTCACCCGCATCAACTGTCAGGGGAAGACCTACCTCTTCAAGGTGCCAGGCCCAGGGGTTGTGGGTCAGGGGCAAGGGTATCAAGGCAGGAGTTGAGAGCTGTTGTGCCAACGACCAGGGTGGGCAAGAAGGCTGAGTCCCAGCCTTTGGTGTCCGGCTGAAGCTCTGTAAGGTCAAGGAAGCCCAAGGTTCCAGGTCCTGGGTGACAGGTCTAGAACTGAGACTGCTGGCTTGGATTGGGGACTCTGCCTCTGTGCCCAGCCAGCCACCTCCTCACCTCCCTCCTCCTTCCCTACCCCCTTTAGGGAAGTCAGTACTGGCGCTTCGAGGATGGTGTCCTGGACCCCAATTACCCCCGTAGCATCTCTGAAGGCTTCGCGGGCGTTCCAGACAATGTGGATGCAGCCTTCGCCCTCCCCGCTCACAGCTACAGTGGCCGGGAGCGGGTCTATTTCTTCAAGGGTACTCGGGGCAGAGGGGAGAATGAGCAGGCAGTGGAGCAGGCTCAGTTTTGGGGGGGGGGGAGACTGGCGTAGATGATGCCTATGTCCGTCCTCCCTCCACCCTGCCCCGGCCTGGAGCGCCTAACAGCCTCTGGGCTTTCCAGCCTTGCTCATGCGCATCCCTCCCCAGGGAAACAGTACTGGGAGTACGAGTTCCAGCAGCAGCCCAGCCGGGAGGAGTGTGAAGATAGCTCCGTCTCAGCTGTGTTTGAACACTTTGCCATGATGCAGCTGGCCGGCTGGGAGGACATCTTTGAGGTTCTTTTCGGGAGCAGACCCTCTGGTATGGAGAGAGGGCAGGTCTTGTGTCCCCTTCAGGAGGGCTGGGATCCCCGGAGACAGAGGGAGGGCTGGGATCCCCGGAGGGCTGGGATGGCCAGAGGGGGGAGTGACGGTAGACCAGCTTGTAGAGCTATCGATCGAAAGCTGTTTGTTCAGGCCAGACTTTGCATCTGTTTTGACCTTTTGGGGGAAGGCTTGCCTCCACCTGGACCCCACACCTTGGACTTTGCCTAGCATGGCCAAGGGCACAGCCAACAAAAGGAGGGGCTGTGGCTGAGGTAAACGGAGAGGGACATGGTGGAGGGAGGCCAAGGGAAAGGGCATTAAACAGGGAGTCAGAAGGCCAGGGTGCTGGCCTCTGCCGCTAGCTCGCTGTGTCCTTGGTCACCTGATGAGCTACCCTGCGGGGGGTCCAGGCTCTCAGGGTTCCCCATGAACCCCTTCCCTGCTACAGGTGGTACCAGACCGCCCCAGTCCATCAGCGAGGACTGGCCTGGTGTGCCCGAGAAAGTGGATGCAGCCATGGCTGGCCGGATCTACATCTCAGGCTCCGCTCCGCGCTCCTCCTTGACCAAGCGCACTAAGTCTAAGTCTAAGCGTCGCAACCGTAAACGCTACCGTTCACAACGCGGCCGCGGCGGCGGCGGCAGTGGCCACAGCCCCAAGTCCCACCGGAAATCCCGTTCCATCTGGCTGTCCTTGTTCTCCAGTGAGGAGAGTGACCTGGGAGCCTACAACTATGATTACGCCTTGGACTGGCTTGCGCCTCCCAAATGCGAGCCCATCCAGAGCGTCTACTTCTTCTCCGGAGGTAGGAGCCCCTGCCACCCCTGAAGCGGGTTCGGCCGTGGCCCTCCCTGCTCTTTCTGGTTCCCATGAGCTCAACTCAGCCCCTGAGCAGTGACTCCAGAAAGCCAGGCCAAGAGTCCTGGCCTGCATTGTGATGTTCACTTACCCTTCCAGGAGGGACCGGGTTTCAGGGCAGGCGTGGGCAGGGCCTGGCTGGGTCTCACACACTCTCCCCCCAACCTCTCTTCCAGACAAGTACTACCGAGTCAACCTTCGCACACAGCGAGTGGACACTGTAAACCCTCCCTACCCACGGAACATCGCCCAGTACTGGTTGGGCTGCCCAGTCTCTGATGTAGGAGTCTGAGCCCATATAGCTGGGCCCTCCGCTGCTTCCTCCTCGAACCTCCTCCCCCCAGCTCAATAAAGATCCCTTGGCGCCGAGTTTAAGATGATTGTCTTGTCTGGGGTAGACAGGAAGGAGGCAAAGATCTGACAGGAAGGAGGTGAAGCTGGGCTGTTAAGATGGCTTGGAGAGAAGAGCCTTCAGGGCCTCCTAATGAACCACAAAGTTGTGGCTGGAGGAGGCCTCATGGGTGCTACCCCTCTTCCTGAGCTAAGCAGCCCCAACAACCCACCAGTAGCTAGGCAGGAGCTTGAACCCTCTGATGATGACAGGAGTCACAAGTGCCTCCTTCCTCTCAGCTCTGGGCTTGATTTACCTCCTGGAATTGACCTCTAGGGTCTTGGAGGACAGAGAAGGGGTGAAGGGGATGGGCTTCTGGTTCAGTTTTCTGGTCATCTTGAGCCTGAAATGTGGTTATCTCAGACACCCGAGTCCCTAGGGGACTGGTCACTGTGCTCCCCTAGGAACCCCTATCTTTGAGGACTCTGTCTGGGGTCTCTGGGTGCAAGGCGCTGAGGTCAGGAGAGATAAGAAAGGCAGGGACCCAGAGGAAATGCCAATGTTCCTACATCTCTTAGAAAGTGGCCCAGATGATTTCCAAGGACCAGTGCACTGTAAAGACAAATATCTTTTTAAAAAATATATATTTTATTGATTTTTTTACAGAGAGGACGGGAGAGGGATAGAGAGTTAGAAACATCAATGAGAGAGAAACATCTACCAGCTGCATCCTGGTACATCCCCCACTGGGGATGTGCCCACAACCAAGGTACATGCCCTTGACCGGAATCCAACCTGGGACCCTGCAGTCTGCAGGCTGACGTTCTATCCACTGAGCCAAACCAATTAGGGCACAAATATCTCAGCTGTCCCTGTGGAACCTCCTCCGGTTTCAGGTTCTTGGACCCTAGGAAGCCCAGCTGGGCTTTCGAGATGCCGGAGAGAAAGGGTTAGATGAGAGCAGAGCTCTAACGCAGACCTGAGGGAGATCTCATGGTGACAGCTGCTTCCCAGCCCTGCTGCTGTCCCGTCATCCTCTGCACCCCGTCCAGCCTCAGCAGGCACTTCCCCCATAACCTGGAGAAAGGGAATCCTTTCCGCTTGTTTGGAGGCTTCAGAACGAAGTTACAGGCCAGCGTCCAGAATGTGTGGAACAAGGGTGACGACTGCTCTGTACACTTGGGCAAGTTCAGGCAGCATGGCCTACTTCCGGGAAGGCCTGGATTCTATTTACTCCCGATGGAAAACCCCAGGCTCAGCAGTGCCTGGACTGGATCGGAGAAGGCAGACAGGCATCAGGATCAGGAGAAGGTAGCCACAGACAAGTTCTGTTCAGTTGTCGGAATCTCCTCTACTGCTGCCTCTGGCAATTGACAGAGGACTCCTAAGGAGCCCAGTCCTCAGCTGTGGGACAGGACTGCCCCCTGAAGGCAGCCAGCACCTGGCTGAAGCACTGGGAACACTGGAGAGAGGGATCTCTGGCTTCCTGGAAGGAGTCCTGGGAGAATTATTAAGCACCAGGATTTCAGATCAGACTACCAGAGTGTGCAGTTCAAGGAGGGGGGCGGGCCCAGCTTCCTTTGTGGAGCCCTGAAGGAACAGGGGCCCCCAAACTTTACCCCACCTATACCCTGCCAAACTCCAACACTGCCCCTGGCCACTGGTCTCTCCTCAAGCTGGGTGATAAACCTCTACGCTCCTGGAGGCGGAGCCAGCCCTCTGAGCAGGATAAAACCCCCATCAGAGGAGTCTGGTGTGGCCACAGCCTGGGCATGGCCCTCTGGCTCCTCACTCTCTGCCAGCTCCATGGCCAACCCTATGGATGCATTGCCAACAGGTGATCCGATGGGAAAAGGGCAGGCAAGGGAAGGATGGAGGGAGGGTATGATGGGGGAAATTTGGGCAGACAGCAGATACCAGTGGGTTGGGTCCCCACCCGAGAAAGCGGACCACCTTCAGCAGAAGACAGCTGCTGGAGATGGAGCGGGTGTTTGCAGCATGGCCCTACCCTGACATTGACACCCGTGAGCATCTGGCCTGGGTCACTTGCCTTCCTGAGGCCAAGATACAGATGAGCTGTGACCCCCTCTTGGGATGGGGGTACTCTCATACAGTCAGCTTCTGGGCTTGACCCACAGCTCCTTCCGGGTATCCTGCCTCCAAGTTCTGCATTCGTTGTGCTTCAGGGGAGCGGGTACTGGAGCCAGAAGAGACCCCTTCTTCTTCCCTTCCCAGGTGTGGCTCCAGAACCGGCGGGCCAAGAGAATCAAGAACAGGAAGCCAGGAGGCCTAAACCCCAGGCCTGAGCCCCCCCAGAGACCCTGTTCTCTTTCAGATGTCCTCCAGCAGCCTCACGAGGCCAGCTTCCACTCTCCAACAGCACAGACCAGTGCACCTCAGGGTGTCAACATGCCTCCTGTCCGGCTCCTGGCTGGGGTCCAGGGCAGGGCTGGGTGGGGGCTAAAGCTGTAGCTCCTTGTGGGCCAGATGGGGCGTCAGGGGCCCATCTTTCTTCAGAGCAAGCTACTCCCCAGACCTCACTGGGCAGCCTGTCTGAACTCATCTATGCCTCGGCCATTGTCACCAGCCTGGACCACTCCTAACCTAGGTAGAATTTGCAAACTACCACCTCTACCTCCTGTAGCCCATCTGCCCTTTGGGCTGCAACCCATCAGAAGTGAATCCATGCCCTTTTCTTTTACACAAGGGCATTCCCTTATGGGAAGGAAGTTTAGTTCAGGGATCTTCCTCTGTCCTCCAGGCCAGCCTAGATGCGGGACCTATGGAGTAGATGGAACCTGCTTCCCACCACCCTGCACCTCCTGAGGCATGCACCCATTGTCTTGGCAGGAGAGACCTTCAGAGGGATGAGGTATGGGGACTGTGTTTTCCACCTGTCCCACCAGGCCTGGTCCCCAACTCTTCTCACCCAAGCCAAAGACACCTCCTCCCTCTAAAGGAAAATGGGCAGGCAGCTGCCTCTCACCTTCAGGCGGGCACCTAACTGCTAAGTGAGCTAGGAGAGGAGAGTGTGCTGATCCTAATTCTAGACTGCAAGGGACCAACCCTTTCATAGTTGAGGGTCTCTCCTGACCTCCTACCAAATGAATTTGACCTCCTGGACAAATTAATCAGAGGCTTAGATCTGAAGATGAAGTGATATTAAAGTAAAAAAGTAGAAACAGGAGCGTGTATCTTACACTGATTTAATTTTCATGAAGATCAGACTGGTTGCCCTCTGATCTGGGGGTGAGGAGAGAACCTGACAGATTTGAATAGGGTAGGGTGTGTGTGTGCACTGGGTTTTGGTATCGTTGTCATCTGTAATACCAACTAATCTCCAAATAAAACCCAAACTGTACCTTAATCTGGATTGTTGTGTGAGACAAATGAATGGGTACGAGGAAACCCTTTGCTTTTGAAATCTCTAAATGGGCCAGGTTCCACAGATTCGGGGTGGGGGTGGGGGTGGGGGTGGGGGAAGGTATTATCCAGGTTTCTGCTGGGATTAGTTAAGAGGGACAGTTAATTGAAGGGTTTAGGGCTCTCACTGACAGACCTTGGGGAGGTGGGAACCTCTGCTGGCAATTCCTGCCCTGACCCCACTTGTTCTAGGACAATCTGGCTGCCTCCTGTTCTGGAGCTGCTCTGCAGTCCTGCCACTACTAAGTAACCTTGCAACTCTCTCAATCTCAGTCTGAAAATGGGGATGATACTACTGGTCTCGTCTCAGTTTTGGAAATGAGAGCCAGGAATCTCCACAAAGCTTTTAAAACTTAATTTTAAAACAGTTTATGTTGCCTGGCTGGCATGGCTTAGTGATTGAGCACCAACCTATGAACCAGGAAGCTGAGGTTCGATTCCCAGTCAGGGTACATGCCTGGGGTTTTGGGTTCAATCCTGGGTGAGGCATGTAGGAGGCAACTAATCAATGATTCTCTCATCATTGATATTTCTATCTCTCCCCGCCCCCCTCCTCCTCTTTGAAATCAATGCAAATATTAAAAAACAAAAGTTTAGCCGAAACCGGTCTGGCTCAGTGGATAGAGCGTCGGCCTGCGGACTGAAGGGTCCCAGGTTCGATTCCGGTCAAGGGCATGTATCTTAGTTGCGGGCACATCCCCAGTGGGGGGTGTGCAGGAGGCAGCTGATCGATGTTTCTCTCTCATCGATGTTTCTAACTCTCTATCCTTCTCCCTTTCTCTCTGTAAAGAATCAATAAAATATATTAAAAAAAAACAACAACAAAAAAAACAAAAACAACAACAAAAGTTTAGGTTGCCAGAAACACTATAAAATGCCACCTACATTTTCCCATTTTCATTCCTGCCAACCAAAAACAGAAATCCTAAAAATTCTCAACGTGATCTATGGTGAACAGAAGGGCCTAAAACCTCCTCCTCTCTCATGCAGAATACTGCCACGACAGGCTCAGACTTGCTATAACTGGCAGACATGTGGAGGGAATCTCTACTGAGCCAAGGAGGATATAATTTCTAAGAATAGAGGAGTGCCGGGGGACGGGGAGGGAGAGACAATGAACAAATGGAAAGATGGACTCTACCATCAGAAACACTCCACACAATTTTCAGAACTATGAAAGTCTTTGGGCTTTTGTGTTCTCAGAGATTTGAAATAAAAGTACACTGAATACAATAAATATTTATTGTGCTTTATACAGATTCTATCATCACACTACTAATCTAAGTTCCGGAAGTTTAACATTACACAGAGACTTCAGGGCCATCTTGGAGATTTTGACTCCATTTACTAGAGGAAGGAACACAGTAGATCTTTTGATCTCTCTCGGCCTCAGTTTTGTCATCTGGAAAAGGGGCCTAAGACCATTTCCTTTTTCTAACCTGCAGGACTGTTGTAAAGACCAAAAGCAACTATGTAAAACAATTAGTCAACTGGGAGCATTTACATACTCTTTTTCACACTCACCTGAACATGTTTAAGAACCCCACAGAAAACATCCTGTATTAGGCTCACATATAAAAATGTTTACATATTCATAATGTATATATTATGCACAGATACTCATGTATGTTTATTCATATTCATATGTAGTTAAATATGAAAATCTGTCCCTCCCTTTACTAGTTGAGGCAATCTCACAGTAGGCACGCTCTCCCCACAAATACAAACAAGCACATGGGATTTTGCAATCAAAAGCAGAAACAGTTTTGTGACCTGATTGTTTTCATTTTTGGAGACAGAGCAAAAGGGGATGTGAAGATGGGAAGTTTAAGAAGGTGGGTGACAGAGACAGGCAGAAGCATATATAAAACCTAAAAGGCAAGCAAAAGGAAGAAAATGTAGATAGAAACTAAGATAGCTGCCTTACTTCCAGTTCTGCCGTTCTGTACAGACTCATCTGCCTCTTGTTTTATGTCCTCCGATCAGTTCTTCCCCATAACCTGGAGAAAGGGGATCCTTTCCACTTGTTTGGAGGCTTCAGAACTAAGTTACAGGCCAGCGTCCAGAATGTGTGGAACAAGGGTGACGACTGCTCTGTACACTTGGGCAAGTTCAGGCAGCATGGCCTACTTCCGGGAAGGCCTGGGTTCTATTTACTCCCGATGGAAAACCCCAGGCCCAGCAGGGCCTGGACTGGACCGGAGAAGGCAGACAAGCATCAGGATCAGGAGAAGTTAACCACATTCCAGTTCTGTTCAGTTGTCAGAGTCTCCTCTACTGCCGCCTCTGGCAATTGACAGAGGATGAGGCTGCCCACAGAATGAGCAGGTGGCCTTGGCGTGGCCCTGACTAACCAGAGCTGAGTACAAAGAACCTGATGGACTGACAGAGAGTCAGTGATTGGCAGCTGGGAGCCTGGAGCCCCTCCAAACCGTCTCCAGACTTTGATGATGAAGCACCAGTTATATCTCTCCCAACTCGCCTTCCATCACCCGCACCATGACATACAGCTCAGCCAGTCCCACCACAGAGGCGACGATCACTGCAGCCAGTATCCGCTGGGAGGGAAAACACGGGGCTCAGGGGATGAAGGCCAGCCACCAGCCCTGAAGCCTCCAACCCCTCTAATAAGGATGACGAGAACCCCAACCCAGCCCATAAGTTGGGGGGAAAGAAAGAAAAGAGGATCTGAATTCTCCAAAGGTTATTGACCACTCCCAAGACTATGAGGCTCAAATGCTCCTTTTTTTTTTTTCTTTATTAAGGTATTACATATGTGTCCTTATCCTCCAATCCCCCCCCCCCCCCTTCATGCCCTCAACCCCTGGTGTCTGTGTCTATTGGCTAGCTTATATGCATGCATACAAGTTATTTGGTTGATCTCTTCCTTTACCCCCCTCCCTCCCCACCTTTCATCTGAGGTTTGACGGTTTTGATTGATGCTTCTCTGTCTCTGGATCTGTTTTTGTTCATCAGTTTGCGTTATTCATTATATTCCACAAATGAGTGAGATCATGTGATATTTATCTTTCTCTGACTGGCTTATCAAATGCTCCTCTTGTTTATTGCACAAATATTTGTTCATTACCTAACTTATGCAAGGCATTTTCACATACATCCTCCCTTTCCCATTAACCCTCACCTGGAGCACCCTACCCTGCCCAGAGCTTACTCACCGAGGCCATTTCTGTGAAGATGTACTGGCTTCCAAGGTATGTGCAGACAAAGGCAGCTGCCACCGTGACAATGAAGTTGAAGATGGTGATCACCACAGCTTTCACTGACCTCACTTGGGGAGGAACCCAGGGAAGAAATCTTAAGCTCAGCATCCTCCATGAGGTCCTCTTATCTCTGTATCTACCTCCCCCATCTACTGGGCCTCCCTTAACCAGCAGACCTGAGCAGCTCAGGCTTAAACCCAGAGCACTGGGGTGGGAAGGAATGTCATGACAGCCCTCGCAGGAAGAGACTTTAGCACCTAATCTCCCAGTCTCTCACCTTCCTTGCCCAGGTCATTTAGAATCCCACCATGCCTTGAATCCTGGGAAAAAGAAAAAAATGATTTCAGAATGGAAGCAGATCCGAGGCAGCCCAGAGAGTATCCACTTGTTAGTCTGGCTCAGCCCTTTTTATTCCCAGAAGCATTGTAATTCTTTCTTTTTTCTTTCTTTCTTTCTTTCAAAATATTTTTTATTGATTTTTTACAGAGAGGGAGAGAGAGGGATAGAGATTTAGAAACTTCGATGAGAGAGAATCATCGATCAGCTGCCTCTTGCACACCCCCTCCTGGGGATGTGCCCGCAACCAAGGTACATGCCCTTGACCAGAATCAAACCTGGGACCTTTCAGTCTGCAGGCTGATGCTCTATTCACTGAGCCAAACCGGCTTCGGCTGTAATTCTTTCTTATCCATGGATTCTTTTGAATGTGACCAGTTGGATTCTTTTCTGGACCACGGATCAAGCATTTCAAAGACAGGACACAGGATCCCAGTACTTATCTACCCCTTTACTCTTCTAGGGCAGGAGCATGCCAGAGAACAGTAGGGAGCCTGCTGGAAGAAAGGCTCCGATGCCCATTCCCTTCTCTACAACCTTTAAGAATCAGTCACCACCTACGCTCAGAGTCTCAGTGAATAGGTTGGTAATTATATTTGTTTTTTATGTAACACAGAGTGCTTTGGTCCCTGAAGAGTATACAAATCATGTTTTTCTTTCCTCTGTGTCTCTTTCCAGCACAGTGCCCTCCAATACTCAGTCCATGTATTGAAGAGCAGGCCCTTACCTGACAGGTGACATTGCGGGTGATCCGCTTATATTCGTCATTGGCCAGCTGTATCTTAATTTTCTCCAGACGGGCAACTAGCTCTGGGTTCTAAGGCAGGAAAATCAAATGAGAAGAATGATATTCCCAGGTTGCTAGAAAACGTGTCACAGTCATTGGTTTCAGGGGACAAAGCACTGCTAAGAGTACTAGGAGACCCATGTACCAGTTCCACCCGCCTCTACTGCTTTGGAAACTTTTATGTCAAACATGGAGGACCAATATCTGGTTCCCCCCACCCCAGCTCCCAAGGATTTAAAAGACAAAATTTTGAACTCGAAAGTTGACCTATAAATCTGGTTGTATCACAAATAAGCTCAATTCAGCCAAAATTCACTCTCACAAATATACCCCTTACATACCCTGGGAGGCTTCACCACCTCTGGAAGATAGATCTCACTGCCTTCTAGGAGCTCATGAAGGTACAGTGTGGAACCTGGGGAGAAAAGATTTCCACAAACATAATGATCCATAGAGCTAAGGTTGAAGGATTAAGGATTAGAGAAGAATCTAATCTACTAAAATAAAGCATGGCCATTCCTATGCCCATTCATCTTCAATGGGGGAAGAATACAAGACAAAGCCACATAATCATCTCCTACTGCTGCACAGCTGAGTTTAACTGTCAGCACTCAGTTACCCTGGCAAAGTCACAGCTAACACTAAGCCATTTACATTTGCCTACAGGGTAAGTCATTTCTGTGGCCACCATAGAACTGCCCTCATTAAGTTAACGTCACAGTGGTGTGTACTACTCAGAGAACACTGTACTAGAGGATCTCTAAGGTCCTTTTTAGTTCCAGTAGGTAAGCAGTCTATCCTTTGTACTTCTGGGTAGGCAATGTTATTTTTAGCAAAACACCTTACAAGCCCGTGTGTCCTATTTCCTCCCTTTACAGTTAAGGAAACTGAGGTCCAAGGAAGAGAAATGATTCCTCCAAAGGGAGTCAGTGGCAGAGCTAGGATTAGAGCTCAGGTGCTACTCCCAGTTCGGACCTTTCCACACAGCTTTCCATCATCCTGTTTAACGCCAGATTTGCCTGGCCAGTGTGCTCAGTGGTTAGAGCACCAGCCTGAAGTGTCTCGGGTTGGATTTCCGGTCAAGGACACATAAGTGGGTCCCAGTCGGGGCGCCTGGGAGAAGGTAACCAACCAATTGATGTTTCTCTCTTTTTCTCCCTTCCACTCTCTCTAAAAATCAATGGGGAAAATATCCTCCGATGAGGATGAACAACAACAACAACAAAGGAGTCAGATTTAACTACTTTTACTTCTGAAATGGAAAGAAATCCAGATTTGCAAATAGGCCAGGCTCACTACACTTAATGCGGCCTAAAAGAAACTGAACCTGTGAAATGGTACTGGGTTTGGACTTGGGGACTTTTTCAAAGGTCAGGTGGGCCTACTTGGGCCTGGACGTGAAGTGGAGGCTCTCAAGAAAGCAGAAACGGCACAAGTAAACGTTGCGATCCAGTGGGAACTACCATGGACGTTGTGAAGGGAGCAGGTTGCCCTTGGATTTATGAGCCGAGTCTTGGGTTGGCTCCATGATGACCGCTCCGCGGGCGAAGGAGAGTGATGGATAAAGACGCCTGAGGTGCGATCAAGACCTCAAGAAGGAACAGACTCTGGGGGAAAAAAAAAAAAAAAAAAAAGGAGGCAACTCCGGACTGGAGAATGGGTCTCACCCCTTTCTCTCAGATACTGGTGCAGATCCCGGATCAGGCGGAAGGGAACCAGGCGTGCGGGACCCCTGGGGCGGTCACCACCCTTGTGCTTCTTCTCCAACGCGGCCTCAAGCTCTGCCCGCAGCTTGCGCGGAAGGCGCTTTGGCTCCAGCTCCCCGCCAGGGGCCAAAGCGCGCACCAGCCGCTCGCCCGCAATCAAGCACGACGCCATGTCTAGCCCCCTGTACGGTCAGGTGACCCTCCCCAGCCGGGACTTCCGCCAGCCGCGCGCCGGAAGCAGCTCGGGGCTGGCGGGGCGGGGCGGGGCCAGGCGCGGCGCGGGGCAGTATGGGGCGGGGGCGGGACGCCGCCCGGCCGCGGGTCGGGCCCTGTGTCAGCAAGCAGCCCAGCAGACGCTCAGGGGGACATGGCGGGCTGTGTGGCCCGGCGGGTCCTGGCTGTGGGCGGCCGCTGGTGGTCCCGGTCGCTGTCCGGGGCCCGGGGCCCAAGGCCGCTCTGTGCGGCGGGTGGACCTAGGGCCTTCCTACCAGCGGCGACCACGACGCGGAGGCACCTCTCGTCCCGGTGAGGGACCGGCCGCGGGGCAGGGGCCCGGCGCCTAAGGGAGCGTGTTCCCGGCCGGCCGGGAAGGAGGCTAGGAGGTCCTGCCCCCCGAGGGTGTTTGGAGGTCGACCCGGGAGAGAGTCCCGGCCCGGAGCCTACCTACGCCGCCTGGGATGTGTGCCAGGAGCAGAGGAGGGAGCACGATTCGGAGCTCTGGGCTGTGCGGGGCTGGCTCTGGGGGCGGGGGACGGGGGTGGGGTAGGGGACTAGTAACCCTCCCAGAGTGAATCCTACCTCCCCGAGTGAGGATTTTCGAGTGCCGCTGTCAGTAGGCAGCCTTTTCATGGAGCCCTAGGGGTTTTGACTTAGAACAACCCCCCCCAGAAAGATGCTCGAAGTTGAAAACAGGACTCTCTTGAGTTTGAGTCCTGCAGGGGTCCCCGGTTTCAGTGTGACCTTGGGGAGACTGGGTCTCTGTATGATTTGGGAAAGGGGGCTTGAGGTTATGGGAATGGTGTGAACATTGTCATACGCAGCTTAACTTCGGGCCAGTGAGCCCAGTGGGAGGAAACACAATGTTCACATGTCAACAATGGTCAGAATAACGACACTTTACAGAGCCCCCGCCTAGAAGAAGCACCTGTCCAGAGAGGTCGCCGGGAGAACTGACCTTTTAATGGCCGAGATGAGACACTTACATTGAGGAGAGAGGCATTTTTGAGACCCCTGTGCACATTGATGTAAATCTGAACAAAAACTAGATTTCAAGACCACTAGGTGCAATGTAGGGAGGAGAGTAGGAAATCTAAGAGAGGACAATGAAGCCCTTCCAGAGTAGAGGTGGGGAGGGAGGGGAGGGGGTGATGGACTTGGAATTAGAACAAATATTTTTTGAGCTCCTGGTATACACGAGGCTTTGAGGGGCAACCCCAGCTAATCAGGCACAGGCTCCCAGGGAACCTGGTTTCTAATGGAGATAAGACATGGATACAAATAACTGAAATGCCAGGTGGGAAGGACAGTTAAAGTGCTGTGGGAGGTCGTGAGGGTGGCTGAGCGAAGAAAGGGAGGTGAGGAGCACAGTTGAGCAGGGTATGAAGGCAAGATATGAAGAATGAAGAGAAGAAAGAGACCTGGGAGTTCAGGCCTAACCTGGAAACCAAGTAAGGGCCGTGGCTGGACCTCCGAGGAGGACAGGCAGAAGCTCTGTGGGGTGGTGATCTGGCAGGACCCCTACCTGTTTCAGCTGGCCCCACTGACCTGACCCTTCTCTGCTGTCATTGCCGTGGCCCCTCGGTACCCCAGTCGTTTTCTTTTCTGATGGAGAAGGAAGTCCTGTTACCTCGTCAGCTGCTCAGTTGCTTGTTCTGTTCCTTCCTAATCAGAAACCGACCAGAGGGCAAAGTTTTGGAGACAGTTGGTGTGTTTGAGGTGCCAAAACAGAATGGAAAATATGAGACTGGGCAGGTGAGTGCTGGGCTGGGTCATCTTTCATTTTCATGGTGTGTGTGTTCGGCTTCGGAAAGTGTCGGAGTTGGCCACGGGGCTGCATGTTAACGGTATTCACCCTTGGTGTTTGGTACCAGACCAGAATCATGTTTTTAAAGGTGGGTTTCTTGTTTTCCTGGATTTGAATGCATTTCATTTGTCAGTGGGTTCTCTCTCCAAGTTCGTGTGGACAGAGATGGTGTGGACTATGCTGAGGAGAGAGCCGAATTGCTGAATAGTCAGTCCTCTAACATAGAGAATGGTGGGAAACCAGTGGAGAGAGCTTTCAGAAAAGCAAACCTGCCTGGAGGGAGTGGCTCAGGTGGTTGAGCGTCGTCCTGTGCACCAAAAAGGCTGCGGTTCGATTCCTGGTCAGGGCATGTGTCTGGGTTGCAGCTTCCATCCCCAGTGGGGATGCATATGGAGGGCAACCTATTGAGGTTTCTCACATTGCTCTCTCTCTTTCTCTCCTTTCCTCTTTCTAAGTGTGTACTTTAGCAAAAATTAAAAAAAAAAAAAAAAAAAAAAAGCCCTGACAGGTTTGGCTCAGTGGATTGTGTGTCAGCCTGTGGACTGAAAGATCCCAGGTTCGATTCCGGTCAAGGGTATGTACCTTGGTTGCGGGCACAAACCCAGTAGGGAGTGTGCAGGAGGCACCTGATCAGTGTTTCTCTCTCATTGATGTTTCTGACTATCTATCCCTCTCCCTTCCTCTCTGTACAAAACCAATAATATATATATATTTAAAAATGGCTTTGGTGCTTCGTCATAATTGAGCTCTTCGCAGTGCAATAAGCTCTGGGTGTGAGGCTCTTTTTCTGTAGCAGCTTTGTGTTAGATCTACTGAGATGGATTTAGGCTTCTTGTAGGGAAGGATGACTTTTTGTTTATTGAACATTTTTTTATGTGCCTACAATGGACCTGGCATTGTGCATTGGCATTAAATAAGTGTATTTATTAAATAATGTGATTATTATACATTATAATTACCTTTATGACATTGACAGTTTAGAAAGGAGTCTGATATGCAAATGGTCAATGGCTGTGTCCTGTGCTAAGTGGAGGAGAAGTCAGGGAACACTTTCTAGAGGCTAACATTGTGGCCTAAACCCGTGTTCAGCAAACATGTGGCTCTTTGGCCCCTTGAGTATGGCTCTTCCACAAAACACCACGGCCTGGGCGAGTCTATTTGAAAAAGTGGCATTAGAAGAAGTTTAAGTTTTAAAAATTTGGCTCTCAAAAGAAATTTCAATCCTTGGCCGAAACCGGTTTGGCTTAGTGGTAGAGCATTGGTCTGCGGACTGAAAGGTCCTGGGTTCGATTCCGGTCAAGGGCATGTACCTTGGTTGCGGGCACATCCCCGGTAGGGGGTGTGCAAGAGGCAGCTGGTCGATGTTTCTCTCTCATCGACGTTTCTAGCTCTCTCTCCCCCTCTCTGTAAAAAATCAATAAAATATATTTTTAAAAAAGAAAAAGAAATTTCAATCATTGTACTGTTGATATTTGGCTCTGCTGACTAAAGAGTTTGCCGACCACTGGCCTAAAGGATGAGAAGTCCACCAGGTGAAGATGGGGTAAGAATGTTCCCTCTTTGGGTAGATCACAGAGTTTAAGGAAAAGGAGTGGCCAGACCTTGAATGGGTCCCACCTGGATGGCCTTGCTGAATTACAGACTCACTGAGGCTTCTCTTTCCTCCCAGCTCTTCCTTCATAGTGTTTTTGGCTACCGTGGTGTTGTCCTGTTTCCCTGGCAGGCCAGACTCTATGACCGGGATGTGGCTTCTGCAGCTCCAGAAAAGTAAGTTGCCCTGCATTGTGCCTCACAGTGTCCTCGGGAGGAGGCCTGACTCATGGCAGACATAATTGGGATCCTAAGAGTGAAGATAGCATCCTCCTGGTCCTTAGAAGCAGCCTCTACAATACTCCCCTGGCACTAATACCTATGGAAACAAAAGTGCTGAGTGCGGGGACATCTGTAATACTTTCAACAATAAAGATTTTTTTAAAAAAGGAGAAAAAGTGCTGAGTGCCAGGGTTCTTAAGCCATTCTCTCCCAAGCTATTCTCAGTTTGCATTATAATTACCACAGAAGGCATTGGGAGATTAGACTTTTTGATTTTTTAAAAATACATTTTATTGATTTTTTTAGAGAGAGGAAGGGAAAGAGATAGTTAGAAACATCTATGAGTCATCGATCAGCTGCCTCTTGCATGCCTCCTATTGGGGATGTGCCCGAAACCAAGGTACATGCCCTTGACCGGAATCGAACTCAGGACCCTTCAGTCTGCAGGCTGACGCTCTATCCACTGAGCCAAACCAGTTTTGGCAGACTTTTTGATTTCTTTTTCTTTCTTTCTTTTTTTTTTTTTAATCAATCTTTATTGTTCATATTATTACAAAGGTTCCTCATTTCTTCCCCCCTCCACCAGGTTCCTACCCCACCCTCCGCCCCCTCCCCATCCCCCATTGTCCTAATCCATAGGTGCACAGTTTATGTTCAGTCTCTTCTTCCCTCCCTTTCCCTTCAGATAGTAAATCAGTTACTTAGCATTTTCTCATATCAATAATACCTCCACATACCCAATGATACACTTCACACAAAAGACATTTCCAAATAGGTCAACTAGCCTCATCCAGGCCCCACCCAAGGCACTCACAGATCAACACCCCAGCCCTATACTAACTCAACACATCCAGATCTAAGCTTTCATCACTTGATTCAGCAGACCCTCAAGTTCCCGCGAAAGTTTCCAGCCATGTCTGAGAGGCAGCCGTGGGGCAGGGGCAGGCGAGGAGCGAGTTGTTCCGGGCCTGGCTGCTCAGGGCCTGGCCTCTGTTGCTCTGGCTCGTTCCACAACAAGCTGCTCCGGGCCTGGTCACTGCCGCTCCCGACCTAGTTGCTCTGGACTTGGCTGCTGCTGCTCCGGGCCTGGCCGCTCCCAGCCTGGCAGCCACTGCTCTGGACCTGGCCGCACCCCACCCGGCTGCTCCCAGCCTGGCAGCCGCTGCTCCGGGCCTGGCCGCTCCCAGCCTGGCAGCCACTGCTCCGGGCCTGGCCGCACCAGACCCGGCTGCTCCGGGCCTGGCCGCTCCAGACCCGGCTGCTCGGGCCTGGCCGCTCCCAGCCTGGCAGCCGCTGCTCCGGGCCTGGCCGCTCCAGACCCGGCTGCTCCGGGCCTGGCCGCTCCCAGCCTGGCAGCCGCTGCTCCGGGGACTTTTTGATTTCTTGAAGGGCAGTTAGAATCTTTCCATTAATCTTTTATCATCATTAGAGTATATTAAAAAAAAGAGGCCTGCCCAGCTGGTATGGCTCAGTGGTTGAGCCTTGACCTATTGTATGTACCAGGAGATCCCGGGCATGTACCCTGACATGTACAGGCTTGATTCCCAGTAGGGGGCATGCAGGAGACTGCAGATCAATGATTCTCTCTCATCATTGATTTTTCTTTCTCTCCTCTCTAAAATCAATTAAAATGGCCGGGACCTGTTTGGCTCAATAGATAGAGCGTCAGCTTGGGGACTGAAGGGTCCCGGGTTCGATTCCGGTCAAGGGCATGTACCTTGGTTGCGGGCATATCCCCAGTAGGGGCTGTGCAAGAGGCAGCTGATCGATGACTTGCTCTCATCGATGTTTCTAACTCTCTCTCTCTCTCACTTCCTCTCTGTATAAAATCAATAAAATATATTAAAAAAAAAAACAAAAAACTAAAATCAATTAAAATGTATTTAAAAGAAAAAAAGAAAAGGCCCCCAGAAAAGAAAAGGCCCAACTTCATTCAGTGATCATAGACAGTTCTGGAATATAAGAACAGTGGAGTACTCTGGGCTCCAGGGACTGAAGCAGCAATGTGATTTTCTCAATATCTCCTTGTTCTAAGAGGCAGCCAGAGAGTAGGGCAAATGATAACTCCATGCCATGGGTCCTCCACATTCCATTATTTGCCCCTGAGTGGGGAGTGGTGGGCTGGGTTTTGCTAAAACCTTCAGATCAGGTACCAGTCAGTTTATTTTATTTATTTATTGGGATTTTTATTTTATTTATCTTTTATTTTTTGATACCATAACCAAGTGGAATTTATTCCAGGGATACAAAGTTGGTACAATTTTTGAAAATCAATTAATGTGATACATCACATAAACAAAATGAAGGATAAAAATCTCAGGATCATATCAGTAGATGCAAAAAAACACTCAACAAAATCTAGCACCCAGCCCTGGCTGGTGTGGTTCAATTGGTTACACACTGTCCTGCAGGCATCTAACAGTGTAGATGCGGAAGGGCTGGGGTAGGAACCTGGGCAGGCACTGATTTTGTTTCTCTCTGGATGATTTTTGGCTTCTACTCTACAGAGCAGAGAATCCTGCTGGCCACGGCTCTAAGGAAGTAAAAGGCAAAACTCACACTTACTATCAGGTGCTGATTGATGCCCGAGACTGTCCACATATAGTAAGTAAGCAAGAAGGCTGCATCTGGGGTTCCTCTCCGTGGGAAAGGCCGGAATCCCATGGGGCACAAAGGGAGGGAGAGGACTCGGACAGCCCAGATCAGCACTGGGCCCCAAGTCCTCAGGACTGGACAGTGACTAAGAAAGTCTGACTCGCTTCTTGCCTTAGTCTCAGAGATCTCAGACAGAAGCTGTGACTTTCTTGGCTAACCATGATGACAGCCGGGCCCTCTATGCCATCCCAGGTGAGCATTTGAATGGTGCCTGTCAATGAGGGGTCTAGTGTGTCTCGAGAGGATTCGGATTCCTTTCTAATGTCCTTCAATCTGCTGGGAGGGATTATAGATGCTGAGAACAAAGGTACCAGGGTTATCCCACCTAGGACAAGGCCAGTATTTCTTCTCAGCCCTGTTCCTCCCCTCACCTATGAGTTTCACTGACTCTTTTCCTCTCTGTGCCAGGCCTGGACTATGTCAGCCATGAAGACATCCTCCCCTATACCTCCACTGATCAGGTTCCCATCCAGCACGAGCTCTTTGAAAGATTTCTTCTCTATGATCAGACAAAAGGTAATCTCTCTCAGGAAGAGGAGCTGGAAAGGGAGGGCCCTTTTCTTAAAAACAGTATCATAGAAGTAATTTCAGAACTCTATTTCCACAACCTTACCAACCTCCCATTAGACCTGTCTGGTGAATGGCTGTCATCTCCTCCAGATATGGAAACTCAGAGGTGATGAGATGGGACTTAAGATTGTTAGTTAGGTCCAGCCGGCATAGCTCAGTGGTTGAGTGTCGACCTTTGAACCAGCAGGTCATGGTTTGATTCCTGGTCAGGGCACATGCCTGGGTTATGTGCTCAATCCCTAGTATGGAGTGTGCAGGAGGCAGCCTATCAGTGATTCTCTCTCATCATTGTTGTTTCTCTCTTTCTCCCCCTTTCCCTTCCTCTCTGAAGAAAAAATAAATAGATAAATAAATAAACACACACATACACACACACACACACACACACACACATACATACATATACCAGAGGCCCGATGCATGAAATTCATGCACGGGGGAGGGGAGGGAGGAGTGTCCCTCAGCCCAGCCTGTATCCTCTCCAATCTGGGCCATCCCTCTCATAATCCAGGACTGCTGGCTTCCAACTTCTCATCTGCCTGCCTTCCTGATTGCCCCTAACTGCTTCTGCCTGCCAGCCTGATCACCCCCTAACCACTTCCCTGCCAGCCTGGTTGATGCTTAACTGCTCCCCTGCCAGCCTGGTTGCCTCCAGCTTCCCTCCCCCTGCTGACCTGGTCACCCCTAACTGCCCTCCCCTGCAGGGTTGATCACTCCCAACTCAACTGCCCTACCTTGCAAGCCTGGTGCCTCCCATCTAACCTCCCTTGCTTGCCTGATCACCCACAACTGCCCTCCCTTGCAGGCCTGGTCCCTCCCAACTGCCCTCCACTGCTGGCCATTTTGTGGTGGCCATCTTGTATCTACATGGGGGCAGGATCTTTGACCACATGGGGGCAGCCATCTTGTGTGTTGGAGTAATGGTCAATCTGCATATTATTATTTTATTAGATAGATAGAAGCCTGGTGCATGGGTAGAGGCCAGCTGTTTTACTCTGAAGGTTTTCTGGATCAAGGCGGGGATTCCCTTGGGGTGTGAGGTGGCCTGGGCGAGTGGTCTGTGTTAGTTTGCAGGCCAGCCGCCGCCACCACCACCACCCCTCCACTCCAGTGACCCAAGCAGAGGCCCTGGTATCAGGAATTTATTTACCTTCTATAATTAAAACTTTGTAGCCTGGAGCGGAGCCAAGCCTCCTGCTTGCTTCAAGGCTGCAGGCCATTTCTGTTGGAATTTATTTACCTTCTATAATTGAAACGTTGTAGCCTGGAGTGGAAGTCTAGGCCAGCCAGGGCTGCAGAAGCTTGGTTTCCTCCATTGCCCAGGCAACCCTTGCCTCCTACTCTTCCAGCTCTGTGGGTGCCGCCATTTCTGTTTGGATTTGTTTACCTTCTATAATTGAAATGTTGTAGCCTTGAGTGGAGGCGTGGGCCTACCAGGGTGTGTGGAAAGCTTGGCTTCCTCCATTGCCTGGGAAACCCAAATTTCCCTCCTACTCTCTGTGGCCGCAGCCATCTTGGTTGTGGTTAATTTGCATACTCACTCTGATTGACTGGTGGGCATGGCTGGTAAGTGTAGCAGAGGTATGGCAAATTTGCATATTACTCTTTTATTAGATAGTGTGTGTGTGTGTGTGTGTGTGTGTGTGTGTGTGTAAGATTGCTAGTTAGAGCGAACTCCCAGTCCAGTTCTCTTCCCACGATGCTACATACCTCCTTGGGCTTTTTAGAAGCAGCTCTATTCTTTCTTCCAGCTGTGCTTTGCTACAGTTTAGGTGTCTTATTTATCTGAGCCACCACCAGGAAGGGTTTTCCAGGAGGGGCATTTGGAAAGTGGATATAATGCCCTGGATCCTGGCCTGGACTAATCAGTCATTCTCTTGTCCCAGCACCCCCTTTTGTGGCTCGGGAGACACTCAGGGCCTGGCAAGAGAAGAATCACCCCTGGCTGGAGCTCTCTGATGTCCATCGGGAAACAACCGAGAACATCCGTGTCACTGTTATCCCCTTCTACATGGGCATGAGGGTATGTGCCCGCCGTGGGCCCTTTCCCTCAGGGCCAGTTCCCCAGATTCTGTATGGTCTTCCCAATGTGACTGCTGGAGCAGGTTCCAAATTTCAACCATGTGCCTGTGCTTCTGCTTCCGAGTCCTTCATGTATTGGGTGGGTTTGAACAGCCTCTTGATAAGAGCTGACATCAAGATCAAAAGCAGGGAAACCTTTGGATCCCAGGAGAGTCCCCTAGGCTTACTCCTCTCTTCTGACTCAAAGGGAACTGTGTTTATGAAAAATATACACATACTTGTCTAAATTGTAGGCTGCTCTTCATAGTTTTTATGCATTAGTCAAACATTTTTTTATATATATTTTATTGATTTTTTTTTACAGAGAGGAAGGGGGAGGGATAAAGAGTTAGAAACATCGATGAGAGAGAAACATCGATCAGTTGCTTCCTGCACAGCCCCCACTGGGGATGTGCCTGCAACCAAGGTACATGCCCTTGACCGGAATTGAACCTGGAATCCTTGAGACTGCAGGCTGATGCTCTATCCACTGAGCCAAACTGGTTAGGGCTAGTCAAACATTTATTGAGCTACTAGAGGCCCAGTGCACGAAATTCATGCATTGGGGGTGGGAGTGTCCCTGAACCCAGCCTGCACCCTTTCCAATCTGGGACCCCTCGAGGGATGTCCGACTGCCCAGGTAGGATCAAGTCTAAATGGGCAGTCGGACATCCCTCTCACAATCCAGGACTACTGGCTCCCAACTGCTTGCCTGCCTGTCATCTAAATTGTTGTTTATAACAATTTATAATAATAAAAGCTTAATATTCTAATTAGACCAAGCTGGGTCTGCGAGGGAAGCCCAGGTCCTGGATGCCTGCCGGCAGCTGGAGGGAAGCTCAGGTCCCAGGTGCAGAGGGAAGCAGGTGCTGGCAGCTGGGGGAAGGAAGGCCTACTCTTACATGAATTTTGTGCATGGGGGTGTGTGTCCCTCAGCCTGCAACCTCTCCAATCTGGAACCTTTTGAGGGATGTCTGACTGCCGTTTAGGCCCGCTCCCAACTACTTGCCCGCCTGCCTGCCTGATTGCCCCTAACTGCTTCTGCCTGCCAGCCTGATCACCTGCTAGCCACTCCCCTGCCAGCCTGATTGATGTTTAACTGCTCCCCTGCCAGTCCAATTGCCCTTAACTTTCTTCGCCTGCCAGCCTGATCCCTCCAACTGCCCTCCCCTGCAGGCCTGGTCACCCCTAACTGCCCTCTACTGCCAGCCTCATCATCCCTAACTACTCTCCCCTGCTGGTCTTGTCTTTCCCTCAACTGTCCTCCCCTGTAGGCCTGGGTCCCCCCAAACTGCCCTCCCCTGCAGGCCTGATCTCCCCCAACTGCCCTCCCCTACAGGCCTGGTCCCCACCAACTGCCCTTCCTTGCCAACCCTGTCACCCCTAACTTCCCTTCCCTGCCAGCCTCATCGCCCTGCTCTCCCCTGCTGGTCCGGTCCCCCACACCCCCCACAACAGCCCTCTCCTGCAGGCCTAGGTTTTTCCCCCTCCGCTCCCCCAACTGCCCACCCCTGCAGGCCCAGTCACCCCTAACTGCCCTCCCTTGCAGGCCTGGTCACTCCTAACTGCCCTCCCTTGCAGGCCTGATCACCCCCACCTGCAGTCCTGGTTCCCCTCAACTGCTCTCCCCTACAGGCCAGGGTCCCCCCCAAGTGCCCTTCCCTGCAGGCCCAGTCGCCCCCAGCTGCCCTCCTCTGCCAGCTTAGTCACCCCTAACTGCCCTCCCCTGTAGGCTTGATCACCCCCAACTGCCCTTCCTTGCAGGCCTGGTCCCTCCCAAAAGCCCTCCCTGTTGGCCATCTTGTGGAGGCCATTTTGTGTCCACATGGGGGCAGCCATCTTGTATCTTGGAGTGATGGTCAATTTGCATATTACTCTTTTATTAGATAAAATTACTTGCCTGGCTGTAAGCTAAGTCCTGGGGATACAGATAAAAAGGAAACATTGTCCCTGCCTTCCAGAGCTTGTGATAGTGAGGGATGTCAATATACACCACACTAAATATTGTAATAAGGTTGGGTTATGGTAGGGCCGAAGAGGTGGGCAATAGCCTGGGCCAGCAGTGAGGGTTAGGGAACAGCAATTGTCAGGGAGGGTGGTCCAGAGAAAGAGACGAGTCCTGTGGCTGATAGGATAAGGAGGAGGAAGGCCAGCGCCCAGCCAGTGTGGCTCAGTGGTTGAGCATCAGCTTATGCCCCAGGAGGTCACGGTTTGATTCCTGATGAGGGAACCTGCTCGGGTTTTGAGCTCGATCCCCAGTAGGAGGCATGTGGGAAGCAAATGATCAATGATTCTCTCTCATTGATGTTTCTATCTCTCCCTCTCTCTTCCTCTCTCTGAAATCAATAAAAATATATATTTTTAAAAAAAGGAAGAAGGCCAGGGATGGACCACGGGAAGGCTGCCCCCCACAGTGGGCTTGTTGGCTGTAGTTCAGCATTATCTGTCTCTGCAACTTTCCTGGAATACATCTATTCCATTGGAACGATGTTGAGTGGAACAGACTTGATCCTGCCCTCTGCTCTGGGACTTAAATTCTTTCTCTTTTTCCCCCAGGAAGCCCAGAATTCCCACGTCTACTGGGTGAGTGTCTCCCTGGAGGAGGAGGAGCTCAGGAGGGGTGCATGGTGGGGCAGGTTGGGAGGTGGGGGAGTTTACCTCTGGGGACTGGGCCTGTGCAATGCAGGTGTCAGCCTTTTTTGCTTTTTGGTCTCTTAGAATTCTGGGCACACTAGCCCAAAGTTTACTTTCTCAGATGTTTACTCTCTCTCTCCACAGTGGCGCTACTGCATTCGCTTGGAGAACCTTGACAGTGACGTGGTACAGCTCCGGGAGCGACACTGGAGGATATTCAGTCTGTCTGGCACCTTGGAGACAGTGCGAGGCCGAGGGGTGGTGGGCAGGGTGAGCATCATTAATTGGGCCAGTAATGCCCAGTTCCTGGTCCTGCTCAGCAGGCTTGGGGGTTAATGTGTGGTTAGGGACAGAGGCTCTGGGTGGGAATGCATTAGTGAGAAATCTTACAACAAACCTGTGAGATAGGTTTCAACCCGTTTCAAAGATAAAGAGAATGAGACTATGAAGTTTAATAACTAGCCATGATCCCATAACTAGTGGGGCAGGACCTGAATTGAAATCCAAGTGATCTAACATCAAAGCTAATGTAACCGTGGCCGGTGTGGCTTAGTTGAGCATCGTCCTGTGCCCCAAAGGGTTGCATGTTTGATTTCTGGTCAAGGCACATATCTAGTTGTGGGTTTGATCCCTGGTTGGGGTATGTCCAGGAGGCAACCGATTGATGTTTCTCTCACATTGATGTTTTTCTCTCCCTTCCTCTTTCTAGAATCAATGAAAATCATATCCTCAAGTGAGGGTTAAAGAGAAAAGTTGGTGTAGAGTTTTTGTAGCTAGCACAGTGCCTTTTTAAAAATCTGAATTTGAATACCCTTGGATGGAGCATGCTCCCACTACTCCTGTTGTCCTTCCTCTATCTTTTTACATGCTTGCACCCTCTGCTGGTCCTTGAGGAAATCAGATTTTGCAATTCCTGTACTACCCCACCATTTCCTGAGAAATAAAGTCATGAGAAGTGGCCAGGGGTCACATTGAACAAGCATTTATCCAAGTTAGCAGGGACTTGGGGAAGCAGGGTGGGATAGAGAGTAAGAATAGAGCTTTGGAGTTAGTCTGGTTTCAAATGCCAGGTATGTTCTTTACTCACTGCATAGCTTGGGTAAGTTATTTAACCAAAATCTCAGTTTCTTACTGCTGAAATGGGGATTACACCTTTACCTGTGAGTACTTGGAGACTCGAGTCAGCAAAGGATTGCAGAGCACCGGCACTCAGCAAAGGGTTGCTGGAAGGGTATTTACAGAGTAGGTCCTGTGCCTAGCATCTTTGCCCAGTGCCCTCAGACATTTAGTCTAAGGTGATCTTTCCCAGGTCCATGCTGTGCAGTGGAGGAAGCATGGCAGGCAGTCATTGTGGAAGGCATGAGGAGGCATCCAGTCCTGACGAACTGTCAATGGATCTGGCCCCAGAGTACAGGGAACTTGTCAGGCCTGACCTATTTTGCCTGAACCCTAACAGGAACCAGTGTTATCCAAGGAGCAGCCTGCATTCCAGTACAGCAGCCACGTCTCCCTGCAAGCTTCCAGTGGGCATATGTGGTAAGTGAGGGTGTGCTGGGGCAGGGGCAGTTTAACTCCACAGAACAAGCTGCAGGTCAGAAAAGTGGGGGCTCAGAGCTTTGCAATTAATTCTGGGCCAAGTTAAGTCCTGAGATGGAGCCTTACCTGCTGTTCATTGTTGTGGGATTTGTCTGATTGTTTGACTGTTTTCTAGTTCCCTGTGGCTTTGTGGAGTAAGGACTTCAGCTAAAGAGGTCTGGTGATTTGATGATGCAGTGTTGCCTACATAATTGATTCCCCTACCCTCCCTGGTATTCTACTCCTTAACCTGAAAGTGTAATTGAATTTTTGAAAATATATTTTTTAATTGATTTCAGAGAGGAAGAAGACAGAAATAGAAACATCAGTGATGAGAGAAAATCATTGATTGGTTGCCTCCTGCATGCCCCCTACCTGGCCTGCAACCTGGGCATGTGCCCTTGACCAGAATCAAACCTGGGACCCTTCAGTCCACAGGCCAAAACTCTATCCACTGAGCCAAACCAGCTAGGGTTGTAATTGTTTTTGCTTTTGTTTGTTTTTATGCAGTGTGCATCTAAGGGCCAGAATCAGGACAGCTGTATTTTTTCTTCTCATGTAGGGACAGGAAGGACTCTTGGTTCTCTGGAAGGCTGGCATGAGCCAGGCCTGTCTTCTGCCATGCTTCTGGAGCTGAGGATATAGGGCTACCTAGATCCTCAAGAGGGCTTCAGCCCTCCCTCTAAACTGGCTTCTCTGACCCACAGGGGGACGTTCCGCTTTGAGAGGCCTGATGGCTCCCACTTTGATGTCCGGATCCCTCCCTTCTCCCTGGAAAGCAATAAAGATGAGAAGACACCACCCTCAGGCCTTCACTGGTAGGCCAGCTGAGGCCCTGAATGGGCAGGCGCAGTCCTTGAACAGCTGTCATCCCACAATTGCTGCAGAACTCTCCATCGTGGCCACAGTGGTTGTCTTAATCGTTTTTGCCATTTGAATGTGGGGTTTTTTCTTTGGTGGATGGACTGTAACTTTCCTCCAAAGACCCATGTAGAACTCCTCCAAGGCTGACCCCTGTAAGCCCCGCCTACACTGTGTTCCAGTAGACCTTCCCACCAGAAACTCTGTTTGGCTGCCACAGGCTTAGAGGAGTTTCCTAGTCGGTCACCCAAGTTGTTTGGAACGTGAGGTTTGGTCAATAAACCAGTGCCCGCTTGGCCATCCTCGCCATGTCTGCCCCCACGGTCTCGGGCTCCCTTTCTGACCTAGTGAGGGCCCTTGATTGCTTCCCTTTCTACAAGGGTATGTGTTTCCCTCTTGAGGCTTGGGGTTGGCTAGACATCTCCCAGGATCACTGTGCCTCTCAGTCAGTGGGGTGGGGGCTGGGCTGGACTAGTTCTCTACCTTCTGCCAAGTCAGAGGGCCTGGCTCTTAATGCTGGCCAACCATTGGCATCTCTGGCCTCATTGGGCCTGGGAGAGAAATGAGGCAAGCCAACCAGGTTTCCTGGAGCAGTGGGCCTGCCAGCCTTGAGCACAGGTTTGTCAAGCTTCCAGACTACAAATGCAGGAATTCAGCCGAGGAGCTCTAGGTATGGGTGGTGACTAAGCCAAGCTACCTTCTGAGCTTTTCACAGATCTCCAAGAGCCAGAGATGAAACATGCTGCACTTTGCCCTGATTCTTAGGGTTCCTGCTTCCTCACTACCATAGTGATTGCTAAAGCAGTCGTTTTAATCTTGAATTAATATTAAATCTCCATTCTGGCACTTATTAGTGTTGTCCTTAATCCTCCACCAGGGGGAGTCTGTGTTGCAGGACAATTGAGTGCAGTTGGACTTATAGGGAGAACAGGAGGTCAGGTGGTGAACACAAATACAAGAACTACATCCATAGCCGCGAGCTGACCAAGCTGTACTCTCCGTAAGCATGACTCTGTACCACTGCAGTATAACAATTTTATTAGAAATTAGTGTTTGTTTCCATCACCTGTGCAGAACAACAAAGAATTGTAGTTGTATGATACAGAAGTTCCCTCATGACAGGACCTGTACCATCCATTAGGCAGACCCTGGTCAGATAACAAACGGAATAAAACCCAGTATTCATTCATGTCCTTAACAGCAGGCTTCTAGTGTTCGGAGCAACTGATAAGGTTTGACCTTCATCCGCACTTTTTGTTTATATTTCCTTGTTTATATTTCCCTGCTCAGAGTTGAAAAATTCAGACAATCAATAGTGTTTTCTGAATGGGGCTAGGAAATGCAAAATTCTCCATACAGTTCGATTTAAAAAGCTAAGATTACTTCATTGAGCTCAATTTACTATTTTTCTTAAGGACAAAGAAATATTTTCAGTCAGGGAGAAGTGTCTTGAGTCCCAGAAGAAAGACTAGTCACAACTGAGCAGAGAATCTGAATGTCAAAGCAGTAAAGAGGTTACAGGAGCTGTGAAGGTCAAAGGACAATCATTATAAAACACTTCATTGGGGACCTGGGACCTTTGAGTGTTAAAGGACATCAGGAGGACAGTTGAGGAAGTAGGCCAGTGGCCTCAGAATTATTCCAGGCTCTGTGAAAAAGGCGCAAAGCCAAAGCCAGAATCTGGCCAAAGAAATGGATTTGTCTTTATCTTATTACTTCGCTGAGGGCTGGAAGAACTGTTCATAGCTGATGACGAGGGTGCTTCACCTGAAAGTCTTTATCCATTGTGACAAGTGTAAATACCTGATTGGAGTCACATTTCCCTGCCCCATTATGTCATTTCAGGTTCTTGTTGAGTGTCTATTAACCCTGGCCTGGCATTTGCCCATAGACTGTGGAATCAGCCATGAATAGCCACTTAAGGGCTTATTGTAAGAGTAGTTGAGAGCTAAATTTGATAATTTATGTCCCTTATTGACTGAGTGGGTACTGCTAAGTGGCTGTGCTGCTTTGTTATTTGTTAGGCTGGCTGAACATTCCTTCCTGATGGCATTCCTTTGGAAAATAATTCAGATAAGCAGCCTCCCAAGGGCCAAGCCAAACAATGAAAAACAGAGCCCCGAAGAGAAACCTGCATCCTTGCCCAAAGCTGGTGTGTGGCATCGCCATGGCTAAATCACCCAACAAGACAGAAATGAAGAAACCTTTTAAGGGGCTTAGGCTGCTCACATTATCCTGTGTTTAGAGACTCTCCCTGGGAAGAATGAGAACACAAAACCAATTGGTGGGGGGGGAGGGGATGTACGGCCAAGCACACACCATGTCTGCACAGGGCTGCGGAGAATGCAGGGGAGTGTCCAGTGGTCATGGGCTCCACAGCCTTCCTGCTGTGGTGCATGCTCCTAGCCCCTAAAATGGTTTTGGCCTTACAGTAAGGACATCACTCCTTGGAGCTGACAGCAAGAGAATCAAAAAGAGCAATCATGTAAGGCCTTAGGAGTCCGTTACGTGACCGTAAGATGTTGGGCAAAGTGTCCTTTCTCACAGGGCTGCTATTAGGACCACAGGTCCCAACGGACACATCCTTAGCACTGTGTGGGCAGGCTGTTTGGCCAGCCTGGCAGCCAAAACTGGTCAGTGTTTTATTGCTTCTATCTCCTCCCTCAGATTGGTTCTGCAGGAAGAGGGGATTAGTGTCAGAAAAAGACAACATAGGTCAGGAAAGAATATAAATCTCCTGAACAAAAGAACAAAGTGCTTTAAAAATATAGATCCCAAAGATGAAGACCGTTCCAGGGTCTTGGCATCCTGGAGGGGTAGCAGGAATACCCAGTCCCCTTATTATTAGACCTATAATTACTCATTTCCTAGATTTAAAAAAAAAAACAAAAAAACCCCTCAAGCCTGTGCTTAAACATCGTAAGAAAAAAGGAGCCCCACCTTGTAAGAAACTGGGCCTCCACAGCACCAGCAGCACCTTCTCCACAGAATGACCCACTTCCTGTGGGCCTCAGCTAAGCAAAGGGGCATTTAGCAAAGGGCCAAGGGGATGCTCTAGCAGGATGTGGGCACATTAGTCCACTCACCTCGGGGGCAGAAGCAGCTCCCTGTCACAGGAAGGGAGATACTGAGCAAAGGGGCCAGGACTCAGCCATTTTGAAGTGCTCAGGGAGCAGGGCAAAGCGATGTGGTCCCTCCCCTACTCAGGCCCTCTGACCTCGCAGACAGGGCCTAGCATGCCGCTGGGTGCTGGAGCAGAAGCCCGGCCAGCAGCAGCGTGGGGCGGCCAGTAGGGCAGGGTTCCACAGGACGGGAGACGGGGGGTCCCATGCCCTGACTCCCTGAGGGTTTTGTCAGTCACGATGAGCAGACTGGTGGCCGAGCTGGCGGTCATCGTAAGTGCTATAGCGTTTGACATGGATGCGACGGACACGGTCCCGTAGTTCAAAGGTCTCCTCGTCTTCACTGGGGGAAGCCTGGCTATGGCTACGGCTTGTAGCCTCCAACAAGGAGTTGTCTGGGACTCGTGGGGTCTCGTAGAGTAAGACGTTGAGTGTCTCCTCGTAGATTCGGGCCTCTGGAAATTCCACCTAGGGTGAGAGGACAAGAGGACTGACTGAACTGAATAAGATTTTACCCCAAAGAGGGAGCAGCATGTCAGGGCCCCTGACCCTGTGCTTGCTCATAATGCCTCCTGAACTCTCAGGAGGCAGCTGGCTTTCTGTTTCATGAGGCCGAGGCAGGTCTCCCTTGGGAGGTGTGAGATGTACTCTGTGCACATAAGGATGCAGAAGACTAGCACCATCGCCATGTCCTCTTGGATCCCAGACCAATGGACTAGTCTGTGCAGAGGTTAGGGCCTTGGCTTTGTGGTTAGCTTAGGTACAAATACAACTCAAGTACTTAATAGCTGTGTGGCCTTGGGCTTAACCTTGCTAGGCCTGAATTTCCACCTGTGTAAAACCATGGTAGATACCTTGGAGAGCTGTGAACATTAATTTAAAGATGGATAGGGATGCATTCAAGGCACCTGAATTTTAGACTGACTTGTGTCATCTTGAGCTTCTGTTCCCTCATCTGCCAAAAGGGGAGAACGGCTCTAGCCTTGCCCCTCACAGGTGTGGTATGTGAGTCAAAAAGTTCAGAAAGAGAAAGCTCTCAGGAAAGTAACAGGTGCTGTTGCTACTTCCACAATGTAACCAACTTTCCCAGAGACTGACCCCTGAGTCCTGCTCCACTGACACCTGCACATGGGAGCTCCCACCCAAAAAATCACAAGAGGAAGCAGGGCCACCTCCCTGAGCTGTCCTCCTCCGACCCTCTAACCGTAGCCTGGGGGTCAGAACGTAATACATGAGCGTGGCTGCTGTGAGCCCTTCACATGCACAGGACTCCCCCAGATGAGCTGCCCTTCCACACCGTCTCAGGAACATACCCTCATGGTGGGCAGCTACTATCCTGGGAGGACACGGACCATTCACCGTGTGGGAGAGCGGGTGAGCGCAGCTTATGATGACTCACCTAACAAATCCTTCACGCGTGCCTGGCACTGTTGTTACTGCAGAGGCTAAGCTGACTGAGCAGGAAGCCCAAGTAGCAGAGGCCAGAGAAGAGATCTCAACAGTTATTTCCACTGCACTGCACTGCTTCTCTTAAGAATTGTCTCATTTTCACAATAGCTCTGTTAAATTTGCACTATCATTCCCCTGTTTGCAAATGAGGAAACTGAGGCTCAATGGTTTAGATGGCTTATCTAAAGTCAGAAAACTGGTAAATTGTGGCACCAGAATTCAAACCTGAACTGGGCCAACTCCAAAGATCCAGTCCTTCCCATTGCACCAGCTGTTCCCTTCCCAGCTGACCAGAACAAATAGCTTCATGCCATTCCTGAGCCCCCTTAGATTGTTTTTTATCCTTGCCTATCACCATCACAGAGAGCAAATGGATGCCCCTTTCACTCCCCGGTGTGTGTCCTGCCCCCCGTGCAGAGGGAAGCCCTACCTTGGTCTGCTTCTTCTCGGTAGCATACACAATGGAGGTGCAGCACACCTCGGCCAGCTTGCGACCCTGGCCATAGAATGACCAGCAGCAGATCTCATCCCCGATGACGTCCTTGATGAAGAGCACACGACCGTTGAAGCGCAGCGAGAGCTTGTCGAACAGCTCAATGTTTTTCAACAGGTGGTCGTCCGAGTTGCTGAAAAACCCAGGAGGGCCAGCAGGCCTGGCAATGAGGTTCCGCACAGGGAGGGCACTTGCTGGCTCTCCCCGCCCCTCCCCCAGCATGCTGGAATGAGGAAAAGTCAAGGTGCCAGAGGGGACAGGAAGAGAGAGCGTCACAGGGCACCATCTGGCTTGGGGGCCTGCGCAGAAAAGCATTTGAGTTGGTTTTAAGTTAAAGCAGAGAGAACTGAGGGAGGAGGTCTCTCATTAGGCCTGGAAAGAAGGCGGCTTGCTGCTATCTTAGCGGGATTCTTTCCTTGCTGTAAGGGTGACGCTGGGAAGGTTTGGGGCTGACTCTGAGCCTGCAGCCTCCTACAGCCTCACTGACCTGTGACGGAGGGGAGAGGAAGGAGGAGAGAGGGGAAGGGGGAGGGGGGAGGGAAGGGGGAAACTGGCTAGGACAAAGGTTGGCTTAGGCGGAGTCCCAGCCCACTGGCTTCCCAGTGTCCCTCCCCCACCCCATAGATGATGCTGGGAAAACACCTGGCGTGCTGCCTGACATGACAGATGTTAAAGGGGTGTTACATGTTCAGTCTTGTCTATTCCAGCCAGGGCTCTGCACCAAGTTCCAAAGGCCTCTGCCCTGATCTCCCTTCTACTCTCTGTCCTTCCCTCCTTAGTCCCAGACCTGTGCCAACCATGCCAGGAGTGCAGGTGGCTTCCCTTGGTCTGCTGCCAAACTTCCGCTCTGGCTGCTCGTCCCTTTTAGCTGCTCCTGCAGCCCTTCCTCAAGGCCCTCCCCTCAACCCACTGATGCCGCCTTACCTGGTGTAGGAGTACTTGTTGTTGCTTCTGTTGTACAGCAGCTTCACCACAGGCTGTGAGGGAGGAGAGTGTGAGGGCTGGGCCAAGTCCTGGAAGCCCCTGCCTGAGCCCTCAGGAGTCCCTCCGCGATCCCAGTACCTTGGTGGAAGATTCGATGAGCCTCTCCTCCTCCTTCAGGGAGGTGATGATGGGGATGTTGCACACAGGCTGGTAGGAGTCCTTCTTGTCCTAGGCGACACAGCCGAGAAGCCTTTTTGAGGTTTTTGTTTGCCAGGCTCAGCCAAGCTTTCCCCAGGAGCTGTCAAAGCCCCTCTGCCATGCCGCCCCTGCTTGCTGGGCCTCGGCGGATTAGGAGGCCCCTGGTAATAGAAACTGCCAGCTGGCAAGCAGACTTCCATTTCTAGAAAACCGAAATTGCAGGTATCTAGCCTATAAGCTAGCAGGAGGGCCTAGTCATAAGGTTTGAGTGCGCCACCTTCCAAAACTGACTGGCTGCCCACTTGCTTGGCCTGGGCAACAGCTGGTGTATTTAACTAGGTTTAGACTCATCAACCATTCCTGCCGCACAGCCTTCCAGGAACTGGACTCTCATGTCCCTGAAGGAGGCGGCCAGCTCCCAACCATACCAACCAGCCCCAACTCTGCCTCATACCTGCAGGGCACTCTGGCACATGTTCACCAGGCCCTGAATGAGGTAATATTTCGCTTCAGCCATCAATTCCTTGATTTCTTGACGGTTCTGAGGGAGGATGATGGTGTCATCACGGAGGTAATTCAAAATGGTGCCAAAGTGCTTTCCACATCGGTCTATGAGGATCCAGCCTAGGGATTCAGATGGGCCCAGAGGGTGACTGTTTGCCTCCAGGTACCTCAGAGGCAGGCAGCAGCAAAGGCCACCTGACAGCCTGGTGACAGGTGGCAGAGCGCGCATGAGCACTGAGTCCACAGCGTAGGGTAGCAGAAAACAGAACCTCAAGCTCTTAAGTCCATTGTTGCTCTCACTCCTCCTCCCTGAAACCAAGAACTGGTACGTACTGTAGGGGAGACAGGCCCTCCAGGCTCTGTGGAGCCTACAGAGATCTAAGCTCAGGAACGCTCAGGCCCACCTCCTGACAACACAGAAACCACCAGGCCGTTTGCCTCCGCCCACTGCCCTGCCACTATGGTGATGCTCTTATGAGAATGTAGTCCTACATGAAGGAAAACCAAGTATGGATAGCCTTCCTGGGAAATGGGTGCGTAGCCACACAATAATCTATGTACAATGCCAGATAGAATTCCGGAGCTCGATTAAGGACTGCAGGCAGAGTCCTGTACTAGGTGAACTGGAAGAGTGAACCTGGAATATATATGCCAGGTTAAAGCCCGGCCCTGAATTCACATCCCCAGGAACTCCTCCTTCCCTTCCCACCTAGCCCAACAAGCCCCGATACCTCACCTTCCTTGTCAGTCAGCACCTCCATGCGCCCGCTGAACATGGCCTTGAGCATGGTGTCATGCCGGGTCAGTGCCCGCACAGTGGTGTAGTACAGCGAGCCGCCCACATTGAGCTGGACGTATTTGTTGCCCAGGCTTCCTCCCTTGAAGCCGCTTAGCTTGGGCTTGGCCCCTGAAGCTGGACACAAGCAGGTATCCCCCGACATCTCCCGCTTCAGGTAGATCACCACACGGCAAGAGGTGGGCTTGGAAGGTTCCGCCGTGGTGAAGGGTCACGAGTGAGTGGCCAGTGGAGGTGAGAGCCTCATACTCTCAAGGCTGTGAGCAGGAGATGGGAGAGAAGGTAAGAGTCAGCAGGGGACAGAGGAGAAATACTGACCATCAAGTCAAGATTCCCTGGCAGAGATGAAGGCCCTAGGCAATGGTAAGAAAGGTGCTCCTGCTGTTCTTTATGGTACCAGGAACCAGTTGTGGGCGCACATTCCAGAGCCCAGAGCTGGTCACATCATCAGCCTCCCTGAGACTCGCGCTGGGCAGCAAGGAGGACAAGCAAGCCCTTGGCGCCAGTCAGAGGAGCAGACTGGGCAGGGCAGAAGGCCTTACCCTGGGGACATGCCAACCAGAGTTCAGTTATTTTCTTCTCAAGATTCCCAGGACTCAAGACTTCCAGTCAAACCTTCTGGGAGTTCAGCCTGCCGAGGTCCCAGGAGCCTGAGGGACAGGGCACACTTCCTTTCCAAAGATTCCAGGCTCAGGAGCAGCCTGCACCAGTGCTTATTTTGAGGAACACTGGAGTCTGGCTTCAGGAAGGCAAGTGAAAGTGAAAGCTCAGAAGGGCATGGAATGAGGTGAGCTGGAGGGTCCCAGCCCTCTTGGCGGAGGTGACCGGCCCCAGCAGGCGCTTCCTGACCTTCCCGTTTCTTGGCACTGGTCCTATCCATCCTAAGTTCCTGAAATTGTCACCGTTTTTCAAAATTGAACAACTACAGGATGGCTATTTTTGCTTCTTTTCCTGAGAAGGGGCCTGGCCCTATCTCTTCCTCAGTTCCCTTCCAACAAGTATGGGGATAAATCTGAAATCAATGAAGTGATTTGGAAATGGAAAGTAAAGTTAGGTCACTTCTTTTTAGATTTTGTTATATATTTTGGTTTTCTAAAGAATCCATTCACTGAAGAAAAAAATAACAGCATTCATTGCATTAAATGTTCCAGGCATTTAATATTTATTAACTCACTTAATTCATTCAGTAATAAAACAATATTGAGTTCCTATTAGGTTAAGCAGTAGGGATAGAGAGATGAGAAAATACCAGCCTAGCCCTGGCTGGTTTGGCTCAGTGGATAGTGTCGGTGTGTGGACTGAAGGGTCCCAGGTTCGATTCTGGTCAGGGGCATGTACCGTTGTTGCGGGTACATCCCCAGTGGAGAGTGTGCAAGAGGCAGCTGATCGATGTTTCTCTCTCGTCAATGTTTCTGACTCTCTATAGCTCTCCCTTCCTCTCTGAAAAATCAATGAAATATGCTTCTAAAAAAAGAAAATATCAGCCTTGTCTTCAAGGAGTTCAAAGCATCAGAATGTTAACAAGAACAAATCTGGTAAGAGTTAGCATTTACTTCCCCCTGCTACGTGCCAGGCACTGGAGATACAGAAGAGAACAAGGCATGGCCTCATGGAGCTTGCATTCTAGTTGGTGGATATAGACAAGAAAACAAATAAGCAGGAATTCCAAAAGTGAGAAATACAATATCTTTAAAATATATATATATATATATATATATATATATATATATATATTTTAATTGATTTCAGAGGGAAAGAGAGTGGGAGAGAGAGAAACTTCAGTGATGAGAGAGAATCGCTGATTGGCTGCCTCCTGCAGGCTCCCTACTAAGGATCAAGTCCGCAACCCTGACATGTGCCCTTGACTGGAATTGAACCTGGGACCCTTCAGTTTGAAGGTTAATGCTCTATCCACTGAGCTAAACCAGCCAGGGCTAAAACAGTATTAAGAAAGTGACTTGGGAGAGGAAGTAATCTAGACAGGGACCAGGGAAAGCCTGTTTGGGAAGGTGACATTCCAGCTGAGGTCTGAGAGGGTATAGATGAATGGAAACAAAAATGCCAAAATGTCAGTCAGATTCACGATTTAGGAACAGAGTTAAGGCCACAGTGGCTGGTGCAGAGAATTAAAGGGAGACCAGACCATATTAAAGAGTTCCGATTTTATATGAATTGCAATGGGAATCGATTGGAGAGTTTTAAACAGGGGACTGATATGATCTATTTACATTTGGGAATGTAAAGACTTCCAGACAAACCTACTGGGAGTCCAGCCAGCTTAGGAGTTTCCCAGAAGTCTGAGGGACAGGATACATTTCCTTTATTTTTTATTTTTATTTTTAAAATATATTTTATTGATTTTTTACAGAGAGGAAGAGAGAGGGATAGAGTTAAAAACATTGATGAGAGAGAATCATCGATCAGCTGCCTCTTGCACACTCCCTACTAGGGATGTGGCCACAAACAAGGTACATGCCCTTGACCAGAATCGAACCTGGCACCTTTCAGTCCGCAGGCCGAGGCTCTATCCACTGAGCCAAACCGGTTTCGGCAATACATTTCCTTATAAAGGATCCAGGTTCTGGCTGCTGTGTAGAGAATATATTGAAAGGGTTCGAGAGATCAAGTGGGAAGACCAGCGGAAGCAGTAGTAGTCTGGGCAAGAGAAGAATGGTGAAGGCTTGGTAGTAATGGAAACAGAAAAAGAGTGGAATTACTTCACTTAATCATCACAACACTCAGAAGTTCAGTTACACATCATCTCTTGTTAAGTGCAGCCCAGAAACAGTGCACTGGTTTTCCCAAGTTTACTGCTCCATTCTCCAAACTTAGTACAATGCCATTCACATTTTAAAGCACTGAATATATGTTGGTTTGTTAGACTGAAGGGGTCCCTGATAATTTAGATAGGTCCCTGGGAAGAATTGCCAAGGAAGGCTGAGCCGGTGCTGTGTGAGGTACGGAATTCCTTTGATGGCTTGTCCAGGTGAGTCTCATTTGCTTCAAGGACACAAAGAACCCTCACCAAAGTCTGCCCAATCAATAAGCAACATTAGTGTGAGATCACTTTACCTTCCTCAGCCCACCCCAAAGGAATAAAACCCCTTAATAGGTTTCAACAAGCTATTGTGTGTTTTGTGTCTAGCATCAATTTCCCCAGGATCAAAGAAAACACCACTTATTCTGCCAAAGCAAAGGAACTCAAAGGCTAGGTTGTTGCCAACAGAAAGACAAACCCAAAGTTAATCTATTCTTTTCCTACAAAGCCACTATGAGCCCCTGGGTGACGTCAGCTCAGATTCTGTCCATACCAATAGGTTCCAGGAATTCTCTGTCAGGTAACGCCCAGAAAGTAATTCCTGTGAGAATGAAGTTTCCACTGGGAGCTCAGTGCTCTTCCTTCCGGACTTTGTGTGTGTGGCTATCTGGGGATGCCTGAAGCTAGGGACGTATCCGTGTCACAAGCAGCGAAGCTAAGGGGAACCCAAGCAGAATAAAGGGCAAACAACCTCGGCGGTGGGAGGAGGTACGGGTCCTAAAGGAAGAACACTCAGAAATGAGTTACAGGGCAAATGGGACGTGGGGAGGGAGCCCATCTTGGTTAAAGAGGGCGGCCTTAGCAGAAATCCTAAGTATAAAAAACTTAGGGTCTGGAGAAATTAAAGAAGACCCACACTCTCTGGCCAGTGTAGAGTCTTTCCCAGACCGGGACACAGAGACACAGTCAGACACCCCACCCCACCCGCAGTGGGGGATTTGAGCTCTCCATCTCCCCTACGCTGTCCCATGCCTTTTTCCCAGGACCAGGCGGGGCTCTCTGCTCCAGCGCGAGGCCCGTCCATCCCTTCCCCTCGTCCAGGGTGTCGGCAGACCCGATTCTTACCGTCCCCAGCGGCGCCTCTCCGGTCAGGTGGGTTGCAGGCCGACACTGTGCGGCCCCTAGGATGTGGACGCCCTTCAAACAGCAATCCCGGGCTGTGAAATCACATCCTCCGACCGCACACTCCTCCCCGAGCTGCCGCCCAGAGGGGCGGGCCCAGGAGCCTGAGACTACAAGTTCCGGCATGCCCAGCATCCAATCAGGGGAGAGGGAAGAGCCTTTGGCGTATTCCTTGATGAGCCCACAACTACTTCCGGAAGACTTTCCGATGCAAAGGCCTCTGGATCTTGTAGGCAGCGGCCGCTCTTCTCGGGCCTCTGTTTCCCAGCATGCTCTGCGGGCCAGGCGGGGTAAGTGCTTCCGGTGTCAGGAAGTGACGTTTTGCGTATACAGGTCCTGTAGCCGTGGCAGCGGCTGAGGCTGGCGGGCCAGGTCCGGCTGCCGCGGGTCGAGAGAGCAGCTCTCCGCCAACCTCAGCCTGGGCCGCCGCGCGCCGCCGCCGCCGCCGCCGCGGGGTCGGAAGGTAGGCCGTGACTCCGGTCGGGAGATGTGGGCAGGCTCGGGGCGAGGTAAACCCGCCAGGCCCCGCGTCTCGAGGAAAGACCGTCCCAGGCGGGAAGAAACGTGGGGATTCTGCCCAGCTCTTTGGGGGCGGGGTTACCCACCGCGGGGGCCTGCAGCTGGACGCGCCGATGCTCACAACAAACTTGTGAGAAAACTGTGGCTCAGTTAAGTTCAAGGAGTTTACGTAGCGAGGACAGCCAGTCCCATCACCCGGGTCTTTCTGACTTTCTGCCCAGTGCCCTTTCCCTGGGCCCCCTGAGCGGAGCGCCCTCGCAGAGCCTGGCGCGGATGCGGGGGGGCCCGGGGCGGACAGCGTGTCACCGCCTCATCCCCGGGGAGCGCGGTCTGGCTCTTGTGCCCGGTGTTTCTGAGGCGCAGACGCGCGAGCGGTGGGAGTGGGGAGGGATGATAGTCAGCTGTGAACCCTCTCCCTTCACTCCGCTGGCCTCCCCCATCTCATTCAGCCAGTTGTCTCAAGCCAGAAAGATGGGAATCTTGTCTAACTCTTTTCTTTCACTCACCCCCCACGCCCCTACTCCATTCAGTCAATCCTTACTAAGTCCTAACAACTCACATCTCAAATTGGAACACTTCTAACGCTCCAAGCCTTGGTTACTGCACTAACCCTCTCTGTCCTCACAGTCTTTCATTCCACCATCACTGAGTGCCAATTATGTGCAGGCCCCAGGCTAGATGCTAGGGTTACCGCGATGAACTAGGGCGGTGTAGCCCCACCCTCGTGTCCTCCGATCCAGTCTGCATCCGAGGTCACAGTGGTCTCTCCCAAAGTCAAATCTGATTGTGTCACTCTGTTGAGAATCCACTGGCTGCTCATTAAGCCTCTGATAAAACCCAAGGTCATGACTGCAGCGCTCAGAGACCTTCCCGATCCAGCGCTAACTCCCTTGTCTTGTGACATCCTGTTCCACGCTCCCTCTTGCTCACTCCGTTTGAGCACTAGGCCTTTCAGTTCTTGGGATGTGTTTAATTTGTCACAGCTTCAGGATCTTCACACATGCGCTCCCTTGTGCCTGGAATGTCACCTCCCCCCTTCACTTTGACAAGCTTTGGGGCTTCTTTGATGTCTCATCTTTAGTGTCCCTCTTGCTGAAGGCTTTTGTTGACACCGCCACCCCCATAAGAAGTATGTCCTGCTGCTGCCGCTTCCTAGCACCCGGTGCCTTTCCTCAGATTATTACTGTCATTTGTGATGGTCTGTTTACTCTTTGTCCGGAGGTCAGGAACTATACCATTAAAGCATTTTCTTCACAATTCCAGCTCCGGAGCAGGGGGCTCAGTAGGTGTCTCTGAATAAATGCATGCTCTCAGGAAAGGGGTAACAGTTGAAGCAGATGTTTGCTCCCTCAGGTTACTTGAAGTTTTCTAGAGTAGCTTAATCACCCAGTAGGTGTTAAGTACTTAGACTATATGTGTAAATGTAACAAGTAGGATATTAAAAAAAATATGAACAAATATTTTTTAAAAGCCTGATCCGCCCATTTGATGTGGCTCAGTTGGTTGAATGTTGATCCATGAACCAGGAGGTCACGGTTTGATTTGATTTGGGTCAGGACACATGCTGTGGTTCCGGGCTCGATCCCCCCAGTGGAGGGCATGCTGGAGGCGGCCAATCAATGATTCTCTCTCATCCTTGATGTTTCTGTCTGTCTCTCCCTGACCCTTCATATCTGAAATCAATAAAAAATTAAACAAACTGATCATAAGGAAGCTCTGGATGATTAAAATGTTTCAAAGGAAGATGCTAGCCTGTTTACTTGAGTGGTTTCCAGGGAGGTCAAAGGCTCTGGGCCCCAGTCAGACACAGACAACCTATAGACATGTATTAGTTGGTCCACACAGTTTGGGATGTGTTTTATTCCTTACTTTGAATTTTTGAACTACTTTCCTTTAAAAATCAGATTCCATATATAAATCTGGATTTCTGATCCTCTTGAAAATCAGTTCTGGCAATGGTAGGACTTAATCCCCTCCCCCCTTTTTAAGATTTTATTGATTTTTTTCAGAGAGGAAAGGAGTTGGAGAGTGAGAAAACTTGGTATGAGACGAAACATTGATCAACTGCCTCCTACACACCCTCTACTCGGGATTGAGCATGCAATCCGGGCATGTGCCCTGACTGGAATCCAACTGGCCACCCTAAGTACATGGACGATGCCTGGCCAACTTGGCCACGCCAGCTTTTTAAACCATTGATCTGCTAATGGTACACATGCTCTGGGCAGTTAGTCCCAGAAGAATCACCCCTTTCAAACAGAACTCTAAGGAAGCTGGAAGGATAGGGTTGGGTTGGAGGAGGTGGGAGCAGAGGAAGGGCTGGTGTAGGGTCGGGTGGTGTACCCTTTGGAACACCTGGGGTTTTGGGATTGGTATAGTGGCCAATGGCTAGTCCTGAATAACATTGCCTTCCTTTCTAGACAGGGCATGTATTTCTTGTTTGTTTTTTTAAAATATATATTTTATTGATTTTTTTACAGAGAGGAAGGGAGAGGGATAGAAACATCGATGAGAGGGAAACATTGATCAGCTGCCTCCTGCACACCCGCTGCTGGGGATGTGCCCGCAACCAAGCTACATGCCCTTGACTAGAATCGAACCTGGGACCCTTCAGTCTGCAGGCAGATGCTCTATCCACTGAGCCAAACTGGCTAGGGCTGTATTCCTTGTTGGGTTTTATTTTGTGTGTGTTATTTTAAAGTCAGAGTGAGGGTGAGTTTTCAGTGTTTCTTTCCAAGAATCGATGCATCCTTTAGACCAGGAATGCAAGGTGGCCTAGGAAGGGAGAAGATACCTGTGCCAGTCCTGTTGCCGACAGAAAACCCCCAACCTCTTTAGCGTGGCTCCTGACCTTTCCAGCTCCATCCTCCATCCTGTCATCTTGTAGGCAGGATAGGCCCTTCCAGTGACTTCGGCTGCTGTTCATGCTGTTCTCTGCTTGGAATGCCTTCCTTAGTCTGTGTTTTCTGCTTAGAAGAGACTGACCCAACTTTGGGTCCCAGTTCAGGCAAGCGTACAGTATCCCCTGCGTACATTTTGGGTAATGTGGCTTATCTTTTTAACCCTAATTTTTCATTCACCCAGATTTTCTCTTTCACTTGCTTTTTGTGTTGTTACAGTACTGTATTTGAAAAGCTTTTTCATGTCCTTTGGGTATATAATCGGGAATAAATAAATATGCTTATGGCTAACAACTTAATTCAGATGTGAACTTCCTCACGCCACGTTAACTGTTCTCTAGTGCTTTAGGGATATTTCTGTAAAAGCACTTAACACAGTATAATTTTTCAGTTTACCTGTCTGTCTTCCTCCAGCTAAACTGTGCTCCTCCAGGGCGGGTACCATGTTGCACTCATCTTTGTACCCCCAGCATCTAGCCATGCAGGCATGTAGTAGGCACTCAAGAAATATGTGTTGAATGAACGATGCCTGTGATGAGCACCTGGACTTTATTCTTTCCTGACCCTTGATCTATGACACATCTCCTCCTGGCTGCTACTATCACTCCTTCAGAGCAGATCTCCTCTAGAGAACCTGGAAGGGAAACAGGTGAGGCTTAGAGAGGTGGAGGCCGAGGGACGGAGCCTCTGGGACGTCTGGGTTTTGGGCCTCGGTATCTGGGGGCAGGAGTGGGGCTGGGCAGGAAGCAGGCTTTCCTTGGAGTGCTGTGAAGTGATCATGGGTTGGGGTTGGTTTCTTTACAGCTATGGCCAAGGACATCCTGGGTGAAGCTGGGTTGCACTTTGATGAACTGAACAAGCTGCGGGTGTTGGACCCAGAGGTTACCCAGCAGACCACAGAGCTCAAGGAAGAGTGCAAGGACTTTGTGGACAGTGAGTGTCATTTGGGGAGACATGTTGCCACTCAGCTTTGAATTATTCCAACTGTGACCCCCCCCCCCCCCCAGCTGTCTACCTGCCCTCTTATGCTCTCAGGTAGTCCCACAGGGAACACCAGTCAAAGCGGACACTGAAATGCTGAGAGGAGGGTGTGTTTTGAGATATGCCATCTTTGATTTTTTTTTGCTCCCAGAAACCTTAAACTTCGTGGGGGCAGAACTACTGCTTGGGAGTGAGAAGTAGAGTTATGTAGTGATGACTTGATTTCTTGGGAGAAACAGTATTCTCAGTAGTGGGCCTGTCTATATTGGGAGTAATAACTGGAATCGCTAGCAGCTCAACAGACCCCATGAACACATCTTTGGACAGGAGATACGCAGGACAGCTCCTGTGCTAGCAGCCAGGCAATACCTGTGGCATGGACAAAGAGCAGGCCTAGCTGGAGCAGGGATTTCTCGCCTCTGCGCACTGTGGCTGTGGAGCGCTCACCTGGTGAAAGGCAGCAGGAGTTCTGCCAGCCTTCCGATTGCTGTGAATGTTGTCCCATCTTCCTGGGCCTTAGCTTACTCCTCAGTAGTGGGGGCTCCACCACACCCAAGGATTTTGAAGAAAAGGGACTGGGAGATTAGGCACTTAAATGCTTTGAGCTCTTTATTAGCTGTGGCCACAGTGGATAGCCCCACCATCAATTGAAGTCCAGTGGCTACAAGAGGCAGCTCCCTGTCCTGAGGCAGTCCTTCCATGAATGTGGCCCTTTATACCTCCTTGGGGTCGCCCGTAGAATAGGTCCACCAGGGCCTCCATAGCTTGAGGTAGCAGCAGCTAGCTGGCCGTGGGGACACACGGTCTAGATATTCCCTATAGTTCTGGACACCTGCCAGTCATCTCTAGGTTCAAACCAAGGGTGGCAGACTTTAGACCAGCAGGCACCAAACTGTTTGGACACAAGTTATTTAGAAGGGGCAGTTAGTCCTTCCCTCTCGCCAAAAGGGAATACCGAGGGAGAGTGATGACGCTGAGGAAGTAAAAACATTTCCTTCTTTCCCAAAAGAAATTGGCCAGTTTCAGAAAATAGTTGGTGGTTTACTTGAGCTTGTTGACCAACTTGCAAAAGAAGCAGAAAATGAGAAGATGAAGGTAAGATCAGCATGCATTTCATCTCCATTTTGGCCTGGGACTCTCGTTCATTAGCCTGTCATCTTCTGCCCTTGACTGTGTGTGTGCGTGTGCGTGTGTGTGCGTGTGCGAGTTTATGTGTTGGGGTGAAAAGATTCTTTTAATACAGATTTTAAACAACATTTCCTATACAAATATCAACTCATGTTGTACACATTAAATAATACATGTCAATTATACCTGTTTTTAAAAAACAATTCCTGGTCCAATTAACCTACTTTGATTTTATATGCCAGTACACTTTCAGCCATTTTTCCCTTTAAGCTTCACATCACTGAAATAGATGGTTTTATCATTCTGTAAATGAAGGTGTGCAGAGTATAGGTGACTCAGCAAAGAGCACTAAGTGTTTCCAAACCTGGGGGTAGTACTCCTACATCTGCCTCAGAGCTCTAGGCCAGTGGTCGGCAAACTCACTAGTCAACAGAGCCAAATACCAACAGTACGACAATTGAAATTTCTTTTGAGAGCCAAATTTTTTAAACTTAAACTATATAGGTAGGTACACTGTTATTAACTTTACGGTCCTCCTAAGCTGGCTTTGCTAAAATCTCAAGGGGCCCAAAAGCCGCATGTGGCTTGAGAGCTGGTTTGCCGACCACTGCTCTAGGCCAATTCTAATTTGGAATCCTGAGGTTAATCCTCTCCCCCAAAGCTCTGGGTTCAGCCTTCTTTTCTCTTCTGGGCAGTGAGGTAGCCCCCAAGTGGTGCTTACCCAGATGAGGACTTAACGCTAAAGATGGTTTTAATGAAGCCGTGACCTTTGGCAATACTGTTCTTCTAGGCCATTGGTGCTCGCAATTTGCTCAAATCTATAGCAAAGCAGAGAGAAGCCCAACAGCAGCAACTCCAAGCACTAATAGCAGAAAAGAAAATGCAGCTCGAAAGGTAAGACATTATGTAAAGCAGTCTTTACTCGACTGCATTTCTACTTTTCCTTCTTAACGGTCACCTCTTATCCTTATTAATTTTTCTCCTAGGAATAGTGTCTCACTTGTCATCCTAATTTGAAGGTTTTAAAAATAAAATTACATTTGATGGAAAATTTGTTATCAAATCACCTGTAGTGGTTTGAGAGCACGAAGGCTCAGGTGGCTAGTGTGCAAAGGCAGCAGGAGACACTCCAGGGGCGGAGATTTCCCACGGGGCCTGTGCAGGGCTTTGCACACTAGTCTTTGAATTTCACTCTTTCTTGGAGTCATTTCAGTCACCTGTATTCTTCTCTAGAAGAATTAAGTCCGTGGTTTATTTCATCCGTTTTTAGGGCTTCTAACAATTTTGTTTTTCAGGTATCGGGTTGAATATGAAGCTTTGTGTAAAGTAGAAGCAGAACAAAATGAATTTATTGACCAATTTATTTTTCAGAAATGAACTGAAAATTTCATTATATAGCAGGAGGGCAGAAAAACAAAAACCTCTGTACCATTCCAGTGACTTTGACTAATGACCCAAGTCTATCATGTGAGATGGTGTGTGGAGGACGCACCATCTCTGAAGGCAATAAGACCAATCTGGGGGGCGGGAAGGGGCCTTGTTTCAGATGCCGGTGCATATCTGTACACACCCGTGACCACGGCGGCCCAGGTCCTCACCTCTTGCATTGTTATTCTGAAATAAGCAGTCTGTAAATTTTTTTTTTTTTTTTGTAAGCTCACAAAGCTTTGAAAGAAAAAGCAATAAATTATTGTTTTCAAATGGCTTATCTACCTCTTTCCTGGAGCCCTTAAAGTGTACACTTAGTCACTTATAAGAGAACCTTGGACTCTCCAGCCCCTTGGCCACAAAACAAACCAGGCAGTGGTCAGCAGCTACCTTTATTTGGACTGGACACGTGAGTCAGAGATACTCCCGGTAGAGTAATATGGCTTATGAGCAGAACAAGCAAAGAGGGAATTGACTGGAAGCAGTTTCTTCTGTTGTCCATGTGTGTTCATAAGTTGTCTTTCTTAAAGTTAGCTTTGAGTATGAACTTGGAGAAAGCTAATGGGATACCAGGTACTAACTTGAAGAGACTCCACATGCACAGTGGGCATATTTTGCACAGCAGTTCCCCCATTCTGACTCAGACCAACACGGGAAGGAATGATTAAACCACTAGAAAGAATGTAGTCATCCAGGGGGGAGTGGGAAGAGACTGAACATAAACTGTGCACCTATGGATAAGGACAATGGGGGGTGGGGAAAGGGCAGTGGGTGGGGTGGGAACCTGGTGGAGGGGAGCAATGGGGGGGGGGGGGAGAATGAGGAACATCTGTAATAATATGAACAATAAAGATTTATTAAAAAAGAAAAAAAAGAGAATGTAGTCATCCAGAAGGCAGCACACTGCCAGATCAGGTTTGAGACACCAGACCTAGGGTAGAGTGATTTCTGTCCGGTGGTCTGTAAATAAACAGGACTAAGGTTTGGAAAGAAGTTGTTTTTTTAAATCTCTCCTTCTGGGACGAGCTGTTTAAAAACAGAAACAAAGCACCTTCTGATTTAACCCATATCGGACTGAAAGCCAGGGCTGAACCTTAAACCTCCTGCAGACTATTCTCTCCTCCCCACCAGAGGTGCAGGCAAGAAAACATAGTTTTTAATGAATATTGAAGAGGCATAATTTCAAACTTAAGAATGGCCTGAACAGCAAACTACTCATTTTGCTGAACAGTGATTTGCTGTAGAGAATCATGAGTCAAGGGGTCAGTCACATGTATATTGTGGATCAAATAACTCATGAAAATGCCAAGCAGGATGTGTTTCTTAGAAGTTCATTCATTTCTGGTCTGGTCCTGTTTTTAGTAATTCTGCAGTGGAACTGGGCACATGGTGAACTTGGCCCGTCCTCAGGCGATGGGTCTGTGCCAGTGCCCTTGGAAGGTGACAGGTCATGGCTGCTGGTGTTTCAAATGCGACTGAAGACATGGGTTCTGAGCAGTTTGCCTCGTGTAGTTATCTCATTTTTTCTTTCTTTTCTCCTCATATTTATAGTAGGGGCTCCGCAACATGAAAAGCAGAAGCATAAGAGGGATGAGAAAGTAAGGGGCATAGACAGATACGAGGGTTAAGCGTTCACGTAAAGTCTTAGGTCCTTGTCCTTTGAAACCACTGGCTTTAGAGAAATCCTCGAATAGGAACGTGGAGAGAATTGGGATCAGGGTGGTCATGGTGTGGGCTGAGTAGACGATGGCCGCGGTGCGAATCCACTTGCAGCCTCCTGAAGTTGTCGGGGGAGAGAGAAGCGTTAGGTCTGCTCATGACTCCAGGGGTGCCCGTGCCATGCCCCAGGACGCCTCTGCTCCTCTCAGCGGACCATTCCCCCTCCTTTACCATGGAAACAACGGGAAACCAGATGTGTCACAATGCTGCCTAAATGTGCCAGGGTGGGAGGTGGAATTTAATTCAGAAAAACTCTAGGCAGTAAAAGTTAAACCTGTTTGGTCTGGGGGGAGGGAGGGCAGAGGAGGGAGTGACAGCAGCATGTTTGTTAAGTAATTATAGTGTATGTAGGTGAGAAGATCAGTAGATTCTGCCAAGAGATGGATTTGGGAGCTGCAGTGGGAAATAAGCTCTACAAGCTTAGCTACCGCGGATGCCGGTATGACTGCTCTCTTTATAACAGCGTCAGACACATGGGGACACTGTAAGAATCATTTTTCAAAAAGAAGTTAAACCCTTAGGAATTAGTGATGCTACTACTTATAAGCCAGCACGATACTATCTAAAACAGAAAAATGAAAACCAATGATAAAGGAAAGAAAAAGCAACAGTCCTATGTTTAAGTAGCCTCAAGTTTCCCAGTTGGCTGAGGCAGTTCTGCAGCCCAGCTGGCCACAGGCGTTAGCTGAGCCACAGTAATACCCCGCTCTAGGAGCTGTCCTGGTCGCTCCCAGCAGACCCTCCACCCCCTCACACAAACCACAGGGGCCTTTGAAGATACTTTCCCAGAGACTTCTGGGACCTGATTTGAGCAAGAATGGGATTTCCCCACCGTTTACCTACCTTTGAAGAAGGCGTATGTTGCAATGGGAAAGAAAGGCAGCTGAAGCAGGAGCTCACAAAACAGGAAGGATTTAAACCACGCGGGGGGGTCCTGCAGCAGAGGGTCTTTGAATTCCTTGGCGTACCACTTGAGCAGGTTTCTCAGCTGGAAAAGATCGAGATCACAATGAATACGGCCACCTGGCAGGGCAGGCGCAGCCGCTCCAACCCTTTGGCAGAGATGGCACAACCAGCTGACTGATTCAGCCTAGACGGTCATTTAATAAAAACTCGCTAGCTCTAACTCGCATGCTAGCTTCTCCGAGACGTTTTCCCCAGCTCTCGCAGCCCCTTTGTGCCACCAGCATCGGTCTGTGATTCCATGGCAACACTTATCCAGGGGCGCTGCCCTTTGTCAAAAGCACTATCTGCACTTAGTTTGCTGCATGAACACACAAACAGTATCATCCTGACATTTGCTCTTTCACAATAGTAACTGCATGCCAATCTCGGGGCCAAAGAGCCTCAAATACAGAAATGAAGTGAATTTGACTCGGGGGTGAGGGGGACGGACAGTGATGGAAAGGCAGGAAGTTGAACCTCTGTGAGGATGCAACTTTAGACAACTTAAATGGTCATTCTTCCCCTTCCCCCCCCCCCCAAATACGTTTTTATAGACTTTAGAGAGGAAGGGGAGAATCTGCTGAAAATTACTTATCTGCTGCCTCCTGCATGCCCCCCACTGGGGATCGGGCCCACAACCAGCGCACGTGCCCTGACTGGAATTGAACCCAGACCTCTTGGTTCGTAGGTTGATGCTCAACCACTGAGCCACGTAGCTCGAGCCAAATTGTCATTGACTCCCTAGTACTCGTTTTTTTTTTTTTTTTCTTTTAGGAAACCAGTTGGATATTTGTAGAAGAACAAACTCTGTTCCAAACCACAAACTATATAGCTTCCAGGCGATGTAAAAGCTTGAGTAGCAGTCTTAGTTCTAGCTTGGGCCCCACCCTCCTAATTATGCTGTCAAGTAAAATGATACAGATCCATGCTGACAGCTACAGGCAGAGAAGAAGTAAGAGGGCCCGAGGCTGCCCATTCTGTGCTCTCTAAAGAGCCCCCCAAAGCCTCAGGCTCTCCACATAAGTCTGTTGCATTTAACCTCCTGGAAATGGCATGGTTTCAACACACCTGCCATCAAAGCCAAATATGTATTTGTATTGACAATAAATAAAGGCAACTTCCCAAGTAAGAAGTTAGCTTACAATGGAAAAATCTAAAGATATTCCTGTTAATTTTTAATCAGAAGATAAAAGCTCAATATCGAGGTCTCACTGCTGTTAAGTGAGCTTTAAGCAAATATCCAAAGACAAATATTCTGTTAGCACATTAACCGGGCTGTGTGGCTCAGCTGCTGGAGCATAGCCCCATGCACCAGAGGAGTGTGGCTGAAGAAAGAAAGTTCTCCTTATCTCAGGACTCCTTGCTTTTTATTAACACAGTTTGTCCAAAGGCAAGGTGGAGATACACACTTCAAAGGGTAGGTTTAGGTACAGAGTCCATTGTCAGACTAGGGAATTACCTCCTGCTGTTCAGGTGTTTGGCCAGGAGTAGGCAATAACACGTAGATTAAGATGCCCTGAGCTGTCTGGCAGCAAGCAACCATCCTTTTCAGGTTTGGGGAAATGCCTTAAGCCATTCCAGCAGGTGATAACCTATGTGACTCAGCTCTTGTTGAGTCCCCAAGTTCCATCAACCTTTTTTGTTATTTTTTTGCCCATCAACCTTTTGATGAAATTCTTGCAATTATGACATGCTGGAATTGGCTTCTGCAGAGTCCCTCAGCCCAGTCTGCATCCTCTCACAGTCTGGGAGCCCTCAGGGGATGTCTGATTGACAGCTTAGGACATTCTGCTCTTGCACTTGCCAACTGTGAGCCCTTCTGGCAGAGCGGCACTCCCCCTGTGGGAGCACACTGACCTGCATTAAGTGTCTGCCCCCTGGTGGTCAGTGTGCATCATAGCAACTGCTTGTTCTGCTGTTTGGTTGCTTTGCATATTAGCATATTAGCCTTTTATTATATCGGATAAGACCCCCTCAAAAGGTAATAATAAAACTGTCTCCATTTATATATCTCAGTCACATTTCACTCAACATTGTTATCCATTTAAAAACATTTACTTGATCCTAACTGGTTTGGTTCATTGGATAGAGCGTCGGCCTGCGGACTGAAAAGTCCCAGGTTCGATTCTGGTCAAGGGCATGTACCTTGGTTGTGGGCACATCCCCAGAAGAGGGTGTGCAGGGGGCAACTGAATCAATGTTTCTCTCTCATTGATGTTTCTAACTCTCTATCCCTCTCCCTTCCTCTCTGTAAAAAAACCATTAAAATATATTAAGAAAACAAACAAACAACTTTTACCTGGACTGGGCACCTGGGATTCTCAGCCAGCAACTGCTGAACAATTTTATACTTTTCTATTATAACTTAGAATGAGATCATAGACTGATTGCAAACCTATATGCTCACTTGTTTTTCCTTATTTTAACAGAAGCAATGCTACCCAGCTGCAAATCCTATATAATAAAAGCCCAATATGCTAAGTGTCTGGTTAACCAGTCAGCCACTCAACCAATCAAAACATAATATGCTAATGATATGCTAAGGCTGCTCAACCACTCACTATGATGTGCATTGACCACCAGGGGGCAGATGCTCCGACCAGTAGGTTAGCTTGCTGCTGGGGTCTGGCTGATCGGGACTGAACGAGATGGGCTGGACATGCCCTGGAGCCCTCTACCTGTGATCCCTCACAGCCTGGCCAACTTCCTGAGTCTCTTCCCAGCCCTAATCATGCACTGGTGGGATCCCTCAGCCTGGCCCGTGCCCTCTCACAATCTGGGACCTGTCAGGGGGATGTCGGAGAGCTGGTTTTGGCCCGATTCTGCAGGCCAAGCTGAGGTACCCCACTGGTGCACGAATTTGTGCACCGGGCCTCTAGTGATGCTATAAAATACTTTCCATCCTCTCCATGTTCTAATTTAGTGAGTTCCAACTTTTTTTCATCTCATAGCACACATAAACTAATTACTGAAATTCCAAGCACACTAAAAAAATTCTTTTGCCAATCTGACCCTCCCCCCCCCCCAAAAAAAAAGTCTAATTTTGATTCACTCACACTGGAAAGCTATTGTTGTGTTGGCTGTTGCCATTTCTTTAGTCTGACAATCTAAGGGGGAAAGAGGCCCATGTCCCTAACTAAATAGTCAAGTATTGCATATTTTAAAAATTCTTGTGGCACACCGGTGAAAATGGCTGTTCTAATCCAAAGTAAATTCTTACTGTTCCATAAGTTTTTCTAAGGGTTGAGCCGTTTCAAACCAAGAAAGATTTTTTAGCCCAAACATTATGTGGGCTTTTTAGTTCTAGGAAAAAATTTCTTCTACTTAAGGAGGAAAAGCAACAAATGTTAAATTTTGGCATATTTTCAAAGAGAGTTTGAGAATAACTCAAGGCTTCTATTATTATTTTCCACAAAGAGAAGCAACAAAAAACTATCATTACTCACCCAGAGCAACAAAAATGACTAGAGGTACAGGCCTTCCAAGCCAGGATGCCTGTTTCTAATTCCTTCAAAACATCATCTCACACACACACACACACACACACACACACACACACACACACACAGTTTCTGGCCAGGTCCTGCCTACATTGCCTCTTGATACATATTTTAATTGTATCTTGTGAGTTTAGATAAGCATGGACTTGTGGAATGGCAGGCACATTCAGAAAGAATAAAGAAACCAACAGCTGTTCAGTCTGGAGTAACATATTTGTCCCATATTAAGAGGACTCATGTAATCCACATGTAGGGCAGAGGGACACTGGACTAGAAGAGGTGGCAGTGATGACAGAGCCGAGGCTGAAGTGTGTGGCCACAAGCCAAGGAACACTGGCAACCAGATTCCTAGGACCTTCCGAAGGAACAGCTCTGCAAGATTCACTTGGAATTCTGACTCCGGATTACAAGAGGATAAACGTGATGTTTTAAGCCACTGGTTTTGTTAATTTGTTATGGCAGCAACATGTGAAACTAATATACACCCTGTGTCTATTTACGCTTGCAATTGAACCCAACTCTCTTACTTGACAACTGAGGCTACAGAGCCCTGATCTCCCCAAGACACTCCAGCGTTTCTTGGAATAACCCAGTCCCCAGTCTGGGGTCCATTGTCACACGCTACCTAAGTTTTTCCAGGAAAGCATTGGTCAGAGGGCTTCCCAGTTATGCTTGGATCTAGAAGAAAACAAAAGAATTTTATGAAGTGGGGGTACACTGTTTAGTGGCTCTTGACCTTTTGAGGAGGTTAGACACCCCCTTCCTCCCCAGAAGAGTTGATGGAAGCTATAGATTCTCCTCTCAGAAAACACAAGGCACACACATTTTGCATACACCACTAGGAGTTCATGGTTAAGAAAAAGCATTTAAGAGAGAAAATCAAATCCATAGGTTTATAAGTCAAGTCTTGCCCAGTTAGTTCTACAGACAAACTGCAGAAACAGGACTGAGGACAGGAATTTCATAAAAGAAAGTTGTTACACAAGGTCCAGGCGTGAAAAGAACTGGGGGTGGGGGTGGGTGTGTGTGTGTGTGGGGAAAATCTGGAGAAATAATAAATCATTAAAGCAAAGTTTGGGGTAAAGAAAACTCTCCACCAACCAGGAAAATGAGGCTCTTCGCCTGTTTCCAGCGAACCCAATTGAAAGGGTCGAATTGAAAAGGAGTCGTTATCTCTGAGCCTTTGAAGTTGCTGGATTCTGATCTAGAATGACTGTCTGCAAATGCCCTTTTGACGAATCTGATTCTACTTAGATTATTTCTTTGGGATAAGACGGTATTTCAAAGCTCTTCCAAGAAACACAACTTTAAAACAAATCCAAGGCGTGATTTAACACCCTCACCGGCAGCTGAGCCTTTACACAAATCCGGGGAATAGCTGTTTTTGCAAAGAACAAAGTGTTTGGCCCCCGCAGCAACTTGTGGGAAGAGCCTGGGACAGACAAAGAAAGCCCCGAGGGAGACGCCGGGCTGAAGAGCAAGTCCGGGCCGGAGCGCCGGCAGGAGGACCGGGGGGACAGAACGGAAGCCCCGCAGCGGGGGTCGCGGGCGGAGGAGCGGAGCCGGGAACGCGGGCGCCGCCGCAGCGCGCGGGGGGCCCCCACGCCGGCGGCCCGCGGCCAGGACCGCCTGGCGCCCTCACCTCCACGGGGTAGAGTTCGCGCGGCAGCACCACCTGCAGGTCGAAGAGCAGCGTGATGGGGATGTGGGAGAGGAAGTAGAGCCCCAGCAGCCACTCCAGGCCGCGCCGCGCACACAGGGTCCCCATCATCCGTAGACTGGGCCGCGAAGGAGCGGAGGCTGCGCTCGCCGGGACCGCCGACGTGGGAAAAGCGTGCGGGCCCGCGCCCTCCTGGGACCCGCGCGCGCGCGCGCGCGGCCGCTCGCTCCGCCCCGCCCCTCTCGAGGGCTACGCAGGACGCTCCCATTGGCCGCTGAGGAGGAGCGCGAGCGCCTATTGGCTCGTCTGAATGTAGCGTGTGGGGAAGCCAGGCAGGGGCGGGGCTCGGGCGGCCTAGCGGAAATGGGCAGAGGGGCGTGCCGCGTGGGGAGTGCGGGCCAGGCCTCTCGCCGACCGCCGCGTGGCAAGCTGGGCTCGGTGGCGGCTGCTCGCTGTGGCCCCACCTCGCCCGTTGGCCCATTCATTCATCCCCCCCCCCCCCCCCCGTCTAGCGCTTACAGAGCGCCTCCGGGGAGCTGGGCCGTGGGCGTTTATGGAGGTGGAGCCCCCAGGGAGGGGGACTGCCCCAGGCTAGGGCCGTAACGGGCCGCGCCGTGTGAGCTCCGGACAAGATCCCTGTCCTGCCCAAGTGGAGGGGTCCTGGAAGCCTTCCGAAGGCTGCACAGGAGGCAGCCAGCCTTCACTAACTATAAGCAGAGGTTATAGAAAGAGGTGAAATTGACAGGCCTTGCGTGATTGGCTGTGAACAAGGAGGGAGGTTCAAGGATTCATTGGTTCATTCAGCAAATACTGATGTTTATGTGCAGCGCCCAGGTCGGCTGTGGGCGGGATGGATGGCGCTGCCATTCGTGGCGAGGAGGGACACAAAGGAGAAGTGGGTTGAAGAGGAGGTAATTTGGTGCTGGCCATGTTGGCATGAAGCGGTCTCTGCCATACCTGAGTGCATCCTGATGAGCCTGTCTGGAGATGTAGATATATTTTTTAAAAAAATATTTTATTGATTTTTCACAGAGAGGAAGAGAGAGGGATAGAGAGTTAGAAGCATCGATCAGCTGCCTGCTGCACACCCCCTACTGGGGACGTGCCGGCAACCAAGGTACATGCCCTTGACCGGAATCGAACCTGGGACCCTTCAGTCTGCAGGCCAAAGCTCCATCCCCTGAGCCAAAAGGGTTTTGGCATGGAGATGTAGATTTATGATAGATCCTCCTTCCTCCAGTTGATGGACAGAAGTAAACCTCACCTGCGGCCAGACATTCCTGAGCTCTGAACCACCAATCAGTACCTGCCAAATACTCTAAGCCCCCCCCCCTCTCCATTCCTAAGTCCCCAGGTCCCTAATCATCAATCAGCATGTGCTGAGTGCCCTAAGCCCCGTCCGTCTCCTGTCCTTAAAAGTGTTTGTACCCCGGCGCTCGCTCTCTTCTGCCCTCTCTCTGTGGAAGCAGCCCGCAGGGGTACGCTTCCCTCCAGTAAAGCCTGTGTGTCCTGCCATCCTGATCTCTGGCTACCTTCTCTATTTAATCTATCCATTTGTGAGGTTGTCGTTTGCTGGAGGTGAAGTTCTGAGATCAGAGGGCCTGTGAGAGAACTTAGAGGAGCACCAAACTCAGGATTTGTGGGAAGAGGGAGCTGAGCTACAGGCGGACCACAGGAGTGTGATGTTACAGAAAGGGGGGCAGAGGTGGGGCAGCTGTCAGAGCAATACCAAATGGTATCCCCTGGTGGCTCTGAGAGCAGTTGTGGCAGGGTGGAGGCAGGAGCTAGAGGACAGCAGGGCCTGGAGTGGGAAGTAGGGAAATGGAGGCAGGGAGTGTAGATACCTGGTTATGAAGGGAAGGGGGATGGGGCGGTAGCTGGAGGGACGTGCACTCAAGAAAGAGGGCTTATTTATTGTCAGAGGAGGGAGACTAGAGCACTTCCTCTTGTTTAGTTGTTGGAAGTTTGTGGGGTGGAGGGTGGAGAGTGGGGGGATGTTGTCATTCAGGAGGGAGGCTCTAGCCCCTGAGGAACGGGAGGGAAGGGAAGGGCTGGAGGAGCGCTGTGCTCCCAGGGCGGGCCCCGTGAGGACGAGGACAGAGGAACTGTGGGCAGTGCAGAGGGCCCGGCTGAGGTGGGTGGCCATCGACCTGGAGGCCTCCATCTCCTGAGCTGTGTGCTTTACTCCACTGTGAGGTCTGCTCAGAAAAAGGCTGTTAGCCTCATGCAGGTTGGGGTTCAGAAAGAAATGGTGATTGTGAGGAGCTGAAAGAGTGACTGAAGGGATAGAGCATTGTGGGAACCCTCATCGGAGTACGCTGGATGCTCAAGGCCAATTTGCCATAGGCCTGCGTGCAGGTGAGGGTGTACCCTGTTTGTGTCAATGTGGCATGAGCGTCAGGGATGAGGCCTCTAACCTAGGTGCTCCTCTAAGTTCTCTCACAGGCCCTCTGATCTCAGAACTTCTGTTTGATGCCAGGACCGGTTTGGCTCAATGGATAGAGCGTCAGCTTGGGGACTGAAGGGTCCCGGGTTCGATTCCGGTCAAGGGCATGTACCTTGGTTGCGGGCATATCCCCAGTAGGGGGTGTGCAAGAGGCAGCTGATCGATGACTCTCTCTCATCGATGTTTCTAACTCTCTATCTCTCTCCCTTACTCTCTGTATAAAATCAATAAAATATATTAAAAAAAAAAAAAAGAACTTCCGTTTGAGCCGGGGCGAGGCGGCCTAGTGTGGCTGCGTTTGTGGGACTGCTTTCAGGAACAACTTTGTCCGGTGGTTCCTGTAATAGCAATGGCGACTCAATCTCCAACAAAGTCTCTTCTAACATGTCTACAACTTCTGTTCTCCGTCTAATACCCAGCGTCCTAGGACCTGTGCTCCCACAAGGTGCAGTTCAAGCTGGATAGGGAGGGAGGGGACATGAGGCCAAAAGGGCTGGTAGAGAGAAAGTGGAAGAAGAGTGAATGGAATAAAAGCCCAACCAAAGGACACAGACAACAGGGGGGTGAGGGCATGAATGGGAGGGTGGGTGGGTAGGGGAGTTAATAGGGGTACGAGGACACATATGTAATGCCTTAATCAATAAAGAAATCAAAGATTGGGAGTGAATGGATTTGAGGCTGAGGAAGCAGTGGTGTGATGGGATAACTGGATGAATGGGCCAGGAGGTTGAGAGATTATGAGAAGGTGCAATGTCCCAGTTCCTGGGGTCAGGAAGAGGTTCTGTCCATGGGAAGGTTTGAGCTAAACAGAGTGGAGGGAAAGGACTTTGGAGATGAGATCAAGGGACAGAGAGCCTGGAGTATGGGACAGATCGACTGCAAAGGCCACTGAGGGTGGTGGCAGCAGTTAGGTGGAGGGAAGACTGTGAGTCCATTGCCAAGCTCTTGGGCATATAAGGGGAGTTACCAGGCGGAAGGTGGGCATGGGCTGAGGTATGGCTCACGCCTCAGAGAATAAAAGGGAAATGGGTGGATGTGGTCTTGGGGGGCAGGGAGGCTGGTGACCCCTCCTCCTGACCCTGAGCTTGTGGAGTGTGAGAAAATGAACAGCCTGACCTGGAGAGGGCTGGGGGAGCTGAGACCTTGAGGAGCAGGGGAGCCAGGCTCAGTGACAGCGGGCCAGAGCTAAGGTGTGGAGGGGTTTGTCAGCTCCATAGCAGGGGAGTAGGGGCTTGGAGAGGAGGGGGGTTTACCCGTGAGGACAATCAGCACCGCAGGAGCGGGAGAGCAGGAATGAATGGGCGGCTCAATTGGCAGAACACAAAGTCCTGTGGCCTCAGGGGCAGCTGGAGCCCTCGCTCCCAGCTGTACTCAGGGGCCTGCGGAAGGTGTGTTCCCCTTTCCCCAAGAACGGCAGCACCTTTCAAGCTGGACTGCTCGCTGCGGGGGGGGGGGGGGGGGGTGGGCGGAGGGGGGACGCGGGGGGGGGGTTTGCCCAGAGAACGTGGTAAGTGTGCAGCTGTTAATGCGACTCAAAAACAATCTCACCCAGCCAAGTTGGTTATCTGCAGATAAAGATTTTCAAGGCCAAGCCCTTTCATGGAAAGGTCCCTCCATTAAAAACAAAAAATCCCTGTCCAGCTGCTGTCTTATGCTTGGAATTCCTCTCGTGGGGAAGCCACAGCTCCTCATTGCACGAGTTCAGATAAACAGAAGGCAAATGGCCCCGGAGTGGAGGACCAGGCTCAGCAGCAGATCCCTCACCCAAAGCAAGTGCTGAGGGAAAGAACGAGGGCAAGAGGCAATGCTCAGCACCTTTGAAAGTTCCTTGTGCTGTGAGGAGACCCAAACCATAAGCCCAACAGCACACCTGGGCTAGTCCGACGGCTTTCCTCCTCGGCAGCAGCTGTAGAGATTTCCCCTCTTCTCTTTGCTTTTTGTTTCACTATTCTCTTTTTTGTTGTAGTTAATGCTCACCTGAGGATATTTTTCCATTGATTTTTAGAGACAGTGGTAGGGAGGGGCAGTGACAGAGAGAAACATGGATGTGAGAGAGGCACATCGATTGGCTGCCTCCCACACACACACGCTGATGGGGTGGTATGGAGCCTGCCACCCAGGTACCGAGACCCGTACAAGGGCTGATGTTCTAGTCACTGAGCCAAACCAGTTACAGCTCACTTTTCTCTTTCAAGTGCACCCATCCATGCCAAAACCGGTTTGGCTCAGTGGATAGAGCATCAGCCTGCAGACTGAAGGGTCCCAGGTTTGATTCCAATCAAGGGCATGTACATTGCTTGCGGGCACATCCCCAGTGGGGGGTGTGCAAGAGGCAGCTGGTCAATGTTTCTCTCTCATTGATGTTTCTAGCTCTCTATCCCTCTCCCTTCCTCTCTGTAAAAAAATTAATAAAATATATATTAAAAAAATAAATAAAGTGCACTCATCCCCTCCAAAACCCTTAAGTGACTCTAAGGCTGAGCTGATGGCCGCCTCCCAGGGTTGCCCTGTTTGGTGGCTCGGCTGTCATCGCTGAACTTTTCTGACACGATTCCTTTCACTCTGAGCAATGTTGATCGAAGTCCCTTTCCTGTTAGAGTAGGTTTCTTGACAGCAAAGACTGAGTTTTTGGCATCTTTATTTGACAAACAAAAACCGAGGC